AGCTTCATACTTGTTAAAACTTTTCAGCATAATGCTCGAATGTAATTATATTCCTGGAGCATGTAAATCTGGAGTAATAATTCCAATACATAAGGAGGGGAAACTTAGAACAGAACCAAAAAGTTATCGACCAATAACCCTTCTGCCAGTTATTTATAAACTATTTGAACGAGTGCTTCATCATCGTCTAACAATATGGACAGCCTCAAAGCAGCTAAAATTTCCGAGCGCACAACAAAATGCGTATCAAAAACATTTAGGACCAGTAACCGCATCTTTCAATCTACAAGAAGCTGTACTATCATACACAGAGAGTAACTCTAGTGTGTATGCCGCTTTCCTAGATACTGCAGGTGCATTTGACAATGTGAGACACAGTGCCATTATCATGAAAATGCATAATTTAGGAATCAAAGGTAAATTTCTGCGACTCATAATTAACAGTTATAAAGATATATTTGGCTGCGTCACCGTTAATGGGCGTAACGTCAGATATATTCCCAGTTTTGCAGGGCATTCGACAGGGCGGGATAATGTCTACTTGGAGCTACCTACTTTTATTGATGAGCTTTTACAAAATCTTGAAATTTGCAAACATGGAATTATAACCGGTAATATTGCATGTGGCAATCCAACACTTGCCGATGATTTGACACTATTAAGTCCATCGTTAACATCACTAGAGAATCAGCTTGCTATTGTTAACACATACGCAAATACATGGGGATATGAATTTAACAATAGCAAAATGTTGTGTATTGAAGTTTGGCGGAAAAATTTCTGACAATATATTTCAAGCAAACTTTGGTCATTCTGAAATATCATCATGTGATACCGTTGTGCATGTTGGAATTAAACTTAATAAGACATTAAGTGTAACAGATACAATCGATCAACGTATACATAAAGGACAATCGTCACTTTTTTCAATATTATCCCTAGAAAACATTGTTGGTGATATAAATCCACTGACCCTAGCATCATTAGTAAAAAAAGTATCATTTTCAACCTTTCTCTATGGGGCTGAACTATGGCATAACATTTCAAATACTGACATGGTAAAGATCCAACGATTTGAACGATTGGCAGCGAAACAAATACAACATCTCCCACAGTCAACTAGAACGGACATGGCTCTGAGCACACTGGGATGGTTTACTATTGAAGCTGACATAGACCAGAGAAAGCTAACTTTCCTACAAAAATTGTGTACTATACCAACACACTATCTGTCAAGAAAACTATTCAATTACAGACTTAACTTATTTGTTATGAAAGGTTATTGTAACCAACGCGGCTTTGTTCCCGAAATATGCAGACTATTGTACAAATACGGATTATTCCATTTCATTTCTGACTACATGAAACATGCACATTTTCCATGCAAATACTCGTGGAAAAATACTATTAAAAAGGCAATTACACATACACAAAACAACATGTGGCAACAAAGAATTAACAGTGATAGAGATTTTGACAGATTTATAGCAGTTCATCAATCAGTAACGCCTTTACATTTATGGCTGTTTTCAAATACAAACAGTGAGATTAAACATGCTATAAGTGCAACGAAAATACTTCTATACCGACAGTTTTATACAAGTTATTCCTGTACAAAATGTCTACAAGAAACTGGTGATATAAACAGACATATCTTAGCTGAATGTGATACATATACACGTGAACGGACACGCTTTACAGATTCAATTGATCAGAAATTTAGCTCTGAAGTTTGCAGCTATTTTCTTAGAATTAACTCGGAAGCATTCTTGCGAGGACTCTTTGATTCCAATTTATTGGCTGTCTTTGGTATTAATCCAGAACTCCAAAAAGGCTTCACCAACCTATGTTGTAAATACGTTCACGACCTAACGATGGAATATAAAAAGTAATCTCTAGAACATTCTAATAACATTCTCCATGAGAGGATGTTTATCTTAGACTATCTTAGATTATCTTAGGTTAAATGCAATATAATAAATCCATACTAAATGTTCCTTTACATGACACTTATATTTCGTGTTTTCGATAAGTTATAAATGTAATCGGGAAAATATTTAGTCAAAGTGCATAAAAAAAAATATTCAGTAAATACCATTATGTCGAACATTTACAATGTATCATATGCTTATTAATAAGCTAACATTGTGTATGCAGGTTGTTATAATTCTATATAATGTATCTCTATATTTAATGTATGACATTGTGTAAGACATGCTTTTCGTGTATATAATCAGTAATCGTATGTTATTATGTTATGTTCTCATGTAAATGTGTTAATTAATTGTTATATCAGTCACTGAAAAGTGGAATAAAAGATTATATATATAACATAACATGATAACATTTATTCAGCATTAAATGTTACAACATTTATAGCCATTTCAATCTATAATAAAAACATATAAGGGCAAGTACATGGTTAACAGAGATTTATACAAATGATTTAGATAAATTAAACTTAAATTATTTTTTTGAAAAGAGTGAACATAATTGACTTTTAAAGTCTTTCCTTAACAATATTCCTCATCATTATTATCATTTATCTGTTGTGTTACTTCTATAGTAAACATATTACAAAGAATATTTTTTTCTTGTTACGAGCAATTTTTGTGTTCATTTAATACATTTTTAAATATGAACCGGTTGGAGATCCATTTCATTGTGTTTATATTAACTTAAAATACTTACAAAAGATAAAAGAAAAGAAAACAGTGAAAATCAGGTTATGATAATGAAACTCGTTTTGGAATAAAGAAGAATTATTGCATATGGAAAGCTTTGTATATAATTTTGCTGACATTCATAAGACTTTTAACAGAGTCCAAATTCATGAGTGAGATAAATTTTTGCTTATATTATCCATGTGGTGGTCATACCTTAAAATTATTGAGATAATAATTCGAAAGTATATCGTTTAAAACCATACCAGGCAAAGATTTTTTTAAATCTAACTGGCAGAGATGGTATAACATGTTTTAATATCAAAACTGGTTTGGGTTTCAAAACGCATCCCTTTTTTTCCATTTTTCTTTTCTGTATTTTTATTTTTATTGTAAAAAAACATATACTGTAATCGTGTATGGGGACTATATTTCAGCATATCGCCTTACTATTTTTGTCAGTATATATTGGTATCATAATATTTTCCTTTCATAACCTTAAAGTGATTTTGAAGTTTACAAAAGTGTTCGATTGAATAACAGTTTTATTGGATTAAGATATATTGTAATGCATTTAAGTAATTGTTAGCCTTATGCAATAGCGAATTTCTCATATGCAAGATTATGTTCATTTAAATGGTACGATAGAATATATATTTAACCACCCTTTATTTTATATTAAAACAGTTATACGAACTGGCCCTGTATTTTATTGTATTGATATTTTTCATTACCATTTCACTTCTAACTAAAAAAATATAGTTAAATCTACCGTGATGAAATCGAGTGTAAATTAATAAAATAAATGGCCGGTTTTTGATAAGAGACGCAATTCTACCGCCGCCGAATTCGAAAGTGGGCGCTTTGATGTCATAGTAACGCTGTTTATTTCTAAAATAATGCTGCTGAAATTAAGGCCGTGTCTACACCTATTCAAGTTTCTTACATGTCACATTTAGATAAGCTAAATAAATGGCCCTTTCAATATTTAATCTGGCACAATTTTTTCTGAAATGTCAAATTAAGATTGCCCACGATTTATACCTTTGTCTTTGAAATACTATCATGTTTCTGTAAAATATGTGAATAAAAAAGCGGGAAAATGATGCAATTAGCTAAAAACAATGGAGTAAATGAAATTGAAATGTGTACATTCTTTTAAAATGATGGAAAATGTGAGAAAAATATTTTTTGAGCTGGTAAATTGATGCAAATTTTTTATTTGATGAAAGTTATTCACTAAATGAACAAGATCATTTAAAATCCATTTTGACTACTTGAAAAACTGATTTTTTTTTTTTTTTTTTTTTTTTTTTTTTTTGCTCTTCTGTGTATCAGTCATCAGTGTATTGATCTGTTCCTCTGACCAAGATATTGTATACATTTACTAAAATTTACAGATCATGAACAAAAAAGTCAGAAAATAATAAAAAAAAACAACACTATCACACCTTCGGGGCACATGGTTTGTGTCAAACCGGTGTTATCAGTGTCTTGACAGCCAAAAACTTGTAGAAAAATAGAACGTGTTCTAACTTTCTTGCAAGGAATTATCTTCTTGGATGTCACATAATTTCTCTTTAAAACTCATTCAAGTAGGGTGTCTACATTATCCAATACAAGAGAATATGATACTTGCATTCAAGACTTGGATAGGTGTAGACGGGCCCTAAGATGTTTGCATACTAAAATCATCAAGATCTGCGATGTTGTCAAATTTCGGTCGAAAAGTAGCGAGCTACATTTAACATTTCACGACATTCAATCAACATTTAATGAGGAAAACATTCCTGTTCTTGGCCATTCATGCCCTCTACCTCTTGTATATAGATGCTAAGCAATTAAACATTCTTTATGTGACAATCATTAATAATTCAGTACAGTTTCCCTGCTTTAATTTCAAACAATTAACATCATCTTAAATAATTTGATACAAACAGCCATCGCGGCTATATACTATTTGGATCGGGATCGGAGCGAATGGACATATATATGTGATATGTAGCTTCGATATTTGACTCAGCCGCGTCGTTAAACAAAGAGGCTTATCAGTATAAGTTGTATAGGGCATAGAATGAGAAGAGTTTTAAAGTTTATCCGGAAAAAAACCGTTCTGTCTTGTCATAAATGTGTCGTTAAAAGATAATAAAAAATGAATAAAAAAAACAAACAAACAAAATCAAATGATAGTTTTACAATCGATCTTTTTCTCCCTTTATTACTCTTACTCTTTAATCTTGTTTGACATAAGTTGCATGTATATTCTATAAAGATTATTATATTACTCACTATTGGTATTGTTTACTTTATCATATTACTTGACGATTTAAATTGTAGCGCAAATCTACCAAATTTGACTGTTACTGCGGATTCCAGGTATGTATTCGCTACACACAGTTAGTATGCACTGCCAATTGTAACCCCCATCATGGGGTCAATGCGGGGGCTATCGGGGTAAATAATAATAATAATAATAATATCTTTATATAAAGTAGGTAACACATGAAGAAATACCATCGTGGAAAACAAATAACATATCTTGATTTTCAATGTGGCCTTCTAAACAATATATAGAAACACCAAACACCATAAATAATAACAACAATTGGGTTTGAAAATACAAACGTCTAAATCTGTGTTCCTTACGGCGGGGTTAAAAGCAAATATCTAGTAAATAATATACTTATAATCATATGTCTTCACTCAATATACTAGAAGCTAGCTTTGTAACACGCTTTCACTTTTGCATGCTAAATATTGTGTTGCGTTCATATGCATCGCTTTCTTAACTTTCTTATATTGAAATAAAAATCAGACGTAAGTCTTTTCTTTAAGTCTTAAGTATTTTCTTTACTTTATCATATTTTACTTTATCATATAAACAACATCAACAACAACAAAGCATACATTATTTTGTTTGGAAGTCAGCGTTAAATTGAGAAATATGTAGCACCCATGGAACTATATCTGTCTGACGTTTCTTCTAACACGTGTTTTGTGGCTTTTCAAAGGCGTCTGTTTCGGGTTTTTGTCGCTTTTTGCGTGTTATGTTAGGATAGGAAAAAGGGGTAATGAGTGAATAATACATGTGTGGAGTGGGAAATTTGTGTTAAAGTTTTATGCCGTATTGCAGGATTCAAAATACACATTGGCCTATTGCATGCCGATTTTTTTCAGATGAGGAAATACCTTATATAATTACATCACACACGTTTCATGGTGACGTTTCTCTTTTCCTTTTTTAAAAAAATATAATATATTTACATACTTTTAAAAACACAGCGTTGTCGATGTACATAGCAATTTTGATAACATAGACATGTGACACATCTGTCGAATAAATAACTACCATTATGTGCAAAGGAAACAACTTATTTTAAAATGCTTTTTACAATTTTATCTTTATTTTTGTTTTCCGAAAGTCTTAAGTTTTTATGTGTGTGTGTTTTGTTTTTGTTGTTTTTTTATTTGTCGAGATATTTTCCCTGCGTTCACAATACCAATATGTCATCTTTTTGCTGAAATCTGATCTATAATTTACTATATGTTATAACGTTGAACCTTTTGATATATGAACAGCGCACATCTTCGGCGAAATGACACGAAAAACCTTGTCCGAAAAATGGAGATGGGGATGGAAGATGAAGATGACGTTGACAGTAAGTCCAGTACTTTGATTGAATCACTTCCATCTGTTCATTATGTTTGTTCCATAGCGCGATTGTACACGTCACATCCGGTTTTCGGAACTTATGAGATGGAGTTGCTTATAGAATTTTAAACGAACTCTTAGAAAGAAGCGTACATAAAAGCTGAAATTATGATTGCTATGTTATTTCTGGTTCAATAAAGCGTCATTTTATTGTCCTAAATAATAACTTTAACAGTAATACACAAGGGCCTCCTAATGCTTTTCTATCAAGGTTACTGAATTCCGGTCTTTGACCCTCGCCACCTTGTTTGGAATCCTGTCAGACATGTCTTCTGTCACGTTTGTAGGCCTTAAATATCCAGCTTGAGTTGGTCCTATTCTAGTACCGAACATGTCAGAAATGATACTAGTACAAGGCTGAAGAACATGTGGTCTTCTTTCATTACCTAAGCTAGAACTCCGGCTCATGATTACTACTGTCTCGGTGATACAGAGAATCCAACCAATTCAAACCAAATTTTTAATACTGATATTTAATATACTTGTAATAATGTTGAAGTGGTCGATTTTTATGCTCCCCGAAAAATTTGGGGGAGCATATAGTCGGCGCCATGTCCGTCTGTCCGTCCGTCCGTTGTCTTGTCCGGAGCATAACTTGAAAACCCATGGAGATAATTTGTTGAAACTTCATACAGTGGTAGAGGGCATTGAAGGGGAGTGCAGTGTCAAAAAACCATAACTCTATTTTGCTCGGTTTTTGAATTATCTCCCCTTATAGAAAAATCTTGTCCGGGGCATAACTCTAAAACTATAAGAGATATCAACATGAAACTTTGTAGGTGAATAGATCTCAATGGGTAGATGTGCAGTGCATAAGAACAATAACTCTTTTTGTCCTAATTTTGGAGTTATTGCCCTTTGTTAATTTTAACACTTTGAACTTTGTCCGGAACATAACTCTAAAACTATAAGAGATATCAATATGAAACATTGTAGGTAGATAGATCTTATTGAGTAGAGGTGCAGTGCAAAAGAACCATAACTCTGTTAAGCCTCATTTTTGAATTATCTCCCTTTTAGAAAAATCTTGTCCAGGACATAGCTGTAAAATTATAAGAGATATCAACATGAAACTTTGTAGGTAGATATATCTCAATTGGTAGATGTGCAGTGCACAAGAATCATAACTCTGCCTTGCCTAATTCTGGAGTTATTGCCCTTTGTTTATTTTTACTTTTTGAAGTTGTCTGGGACATAACTCGGAAATCATAAGAGAAATCATCAAGAAACTTTGTAGGTTGATAGATCACATTGATTAGCAGTGCAGTGCAAAGAACAGTTACTCTGCCTTGCATATTTTGGAATTATTGCACTTTGAACTTTTTCCAGGGACATAACTCTGAAACTACAAGAGGTGTACTTTCCTGTGTCCAAAACCTATTCGGGGAGCATCACCCGGCTCAAACCGGGCTTTTGTTTTAATGGAATTTAAACCTTTTTGTTAATATTTTACTTCAAATTCATTGTTATGTAGATAACTCGAAGCCTTCGATAAAAAAGCATGATCGTACTACGTAAAGAGCAATAATATTGTTGTGGTGTTTTTTTTCTAGACATACTTGGACTTGATAGAATGAAGACCAAACTGCAGTTAAAGAGAGAGAAAACTCGAGCGAAACTTACTCAACCGAAAGGAAAATTCGTACAAGCTGCAATGAAGGTATGTCTGCGGTTTGTATGCTTTCCGGAAATGCAAATAGCACTGTTATGAAAAATGCTTTATGGAAATGCACACGTGCACAGCAATGATGTAATAAATGTTATTGGGAAATTCACAAAGTAATATTGTAATATTTTTAATGGGGAAATACACAAAGCAATGGTTTGATAAAGCAATGATGTAAAACATGTTGTAGAGAAATACTTAAATGAGCCGTGTCATGACAAAACCAACATAATGCGTTTGCGACCAGCATGGATCCAGACCAGCCTCCGCATCCGCTGTCATGACGCGGCTCAAATAATGTTATAATATTTCTTATCGAGAAATACACAAAGCAATGTTATAATTCATGTAAATGGTAAATATAAATACATAGAGCATGAATACATAGAGCATGGGGAAATGTATGTGAAAACAAATTTCTAGTCAAAGCTGAAATAACTTTTTAAAGTCACTTTATAGTTTAATCAATATAACAGAACGCAACTGTAAAGTTTAATTAACTATTTTAATTCATAGTATATATAGTAAAAGTACTTTCCTATCGATCGATTGATCACTTTATTCAAATGTATTTGCTATTTATAAAGAAATTAAAGGCACACTCTATTCAGTTAAGGGTTACATTAAGTGCAAAATGTTTGTGAAAGTGCGTGGTCAATTAAATGATATATTTAGCATTATACACATGAATGTCAACCATAAGTTCAAGTTTTTACTTAAACACGTTTTATAAAAACCTTTCAATGTTTAATCTAATTTAAAGTGTTTTATAAAGCGTATATTTTTGTTTGTATTGTGTGTTTAAGGTGCAAAATAAAGCCAAAAAATACGATGGACCTCGAACTGATCTTGATGAAATATACATGGGGAACGTGAATGTTGAATGTCCGTCCACTGCAAAAGTCGTCCGAATATTTACAAGCAGTACATTCACAGGTAAATTGTCGTCTGCTTAGTAATTATCAGATCTTCAAATGATGCAAAATAACAGTCCCGTTTACTTATGGCTCGCTCCATTTTCGCCAAAGCTGCGGAATAGTCTATATTACTTTTTCACATCATGATAGTCCGTCTGTACGGCGAAAGATCAGACCTTGTCCGACTGATAACCAGAGAACGCTTTATTGTACAATCCTGGAGGTTGGTCATGATGGTTAATAAGTCACATGCGTGGAAACGCGGTGACAGATTGTAACACTCTAAAATATATGTGCCTTGGGGATGCGTAATAATTTTTGGAGCAGCAAGCATTATTATGGTAAGATAAACTATAAGTTTGCTTCGTCCAAACTAATGATATTGGTAAATTGTGTTGACGTTGAGTTAAAATAATATTTAGATTAGAATACTTATTTGTTATACCATTATATATACGTTTAAGCATTCAAACATTCAAGATAGATGTATATTAATCGGTTACACTTATATTGCTATTAAAAAAAATTTAATCTACTAAAATCAATGAAGAAAGTATAGTTTCTTCCAAAACTATGGATATGATAAAATTATGGTCTTCAAGATTGAAAAAAAAAATCAGAAAATCGTATAATGTTGTATTGTTTCTAACAGAATACAGGTCAACTCAAAGTATGTTTTTTGTTATAAATGAAAGGACATTTAATTCAATTTTGAACTAAAAACACTTTAATCAACCTGCTTTTTAATCATAAAATATTTCTCTTTATTTAATAGACACAATGCACGAGAGGAATACACTCATGGAGAATGCGTACCCAAAGTTGAAGTCCTTCTGTCAAGAGCTTGGCTATGAGTTTCAGGTTGTCGACATGAGATGGGGTGTTCGGGACGAGGCGGCGGATGATCATATGACAACGGAAATCTGCCTGAAAGAACTGGAAATGTGCAAGAAATTATCAACTGGTCCAAACTTTGTCGTAGGTTCTATCAATATGTACTTTCATCAATAAATTAATCTTTCTTTGTTTTGATTTATTGACCAGATATTCCATTATCTGAAACTTTTGGTGGCTGATTTTTGTTGCTGAATACCTTTTAGAGTTAAAAGCCGTTTTATAAACTAAATTCTGCTGTACAGGAAAATATATATTTATCTTCTACACAAATTTTTCAATCTCCAACGTTTGGAGGGGTTAAACCCCTCTTTATCAAGAAATTTATGATTATTTTATAAATCACATACATTGTATTTATCTTTTATCAAACGTTGGAGATTGAAAGATATGTGTAGTAGATAATTATTAATTAACTGTTTCCAGAATGATTTTAGTAAAAAAAATATAGTAGCAGTATTTTTTGTCTTTGATATTCATTTTAAATTATATTTTACCAGCGCACTGAAGGTCCTTCGTTCTACCAAGGTTGCTAACTTGCAACTTAGCTGAATCATAGGTCTTGCTCCACCATTAAATTTGGAAAAGTCCAATACGATCTTTACTGAGTCGGTGAAACGACAAAATACATGTATTATCTTATCTTATTACTTCAGTCACTGATGTCGCACAAGTATGGCTACTCGGATTTTCCAAGATGTATAGATGCAGACAAATATGAGGAGATGTTAGAGCATATAGACTCAAAGGAAATGTTGGAGCTTTTAAACAAGTAAGCCCTCATCTTTTTTCATTGTTGCAACATTTCACCTTCTTTCATATAGATAAATTAACCTCCTTTATGTTACTTGTTTCAAATAAAACAACTAAAGGTTTTATGTAAAATGTTGAATTCTGCTTAAGCCGGTGTAAGCAGTATGGACGGAAGTTTTTTTTCCCACTACCATGAAGAGACTCAGTTAAACCTGGCTTGCAACATTTTTCAATTTTGCCATTTTGGGCGTTCTTTCGGGATTTTGTTTTTCTCTATTTTAAATCTTGATGTGTGAGATATGAATGAGTGTACCTCATTTTGTTTTTATTCATACTTGCACCTGCTGTTCAAATGACATTTTCGTTGATGTTGTTGATTAATTATCTCTTGTCCGTTCACCTCCGCCGTATCAAATCTTGCCAGAATCGTACATATATTTCATATGAGAAAGATCCGCAGATGGTCGGAGTTTTATAAGGACCAAGCCTGAAATAATGCACTGAGGGGAATCTTCGGTATTTTTTCATCAAAAAAAAGCTTCACTGGTCTTGAGGCAACTTAAACAGTCCTTGTGTTACTTAAACACAATTTAAAACATGATCATATAAAATATAATGTACTAGTACTCCTCATATCGGAAAATGTGAAAGTCAATGGCGTTTATGTGATTTTTTTTCAAAATGAAGTTCTCGTCTAGAATTATACTACATGTAAGTATAAAAAGCCTGTAACTTATTACATTGCTCATACAAACAGACAAATTAACAGACACGCCGGCACACACAAAAACAAACAGACAATAAGGGGGGGGGGTAATATTAGCACTTTTAGGTATGTACTTGTACAAAGAAACATACTGTAAATATCAAATACTGGGCTTTTAATGCAATTGTTATGTTGTTGTTTTTTCGTTTGTTTGACTTATTTTCTAATCATACGTTCTCTACGGGTTTTTTTATTACACAGATGGTATTCTAAAGATACGAACGCTCTACCGCCTGTGTATGTCGTTCATCCAATAAGCTTCCACATACCTGACTTTGTTAGTCAGGATAAAGATAAGAAAAATGCCGCGAGAACCCAGTGGTGGTCTGAAAGCGAAGCCATACAAGCGGCACTAGAAGAAGTAGCGCAAAAACGATTCGACACTGAGACTGCAAGAAAGTACATGCGTTCAGGTGATGACAAAATAATTCAATATCCAAGTATTTATCAAACAATTGACATAACATGGAAAGTGAAAAGCAAATTTTAGGTCCAGTTATTAAAGAAGAAGAAGAAGAAACTAAATATAAGACGTTATTGTAGCGGAACCCTTTTAGTGAATAAATAAAATATAAAATAAAGTTTATGTATGCCGTTTAATAAAATAACAGTGACGTGTCTACATAAGGCCTATTGGTTTTAGTCATGCTTTGGTAACGAGCACACTGATTTTTTCCTCGATATGGCACTGGACTGATACACGTCTGTCCAGTATGGAAACAAAACTAACAGTTGCAAATAAAGTGTTTATAGAGTTAAATAACTATATTCAGTATATTAATAAAACTATTGTATAAAATAACATGTAAAGCACGTGACTTTTCTTTAAACTGCAGTAACGGAAACGGAAGTGTATGGCGGTATAATAAACGCAGACGACATCAACAACACGTGCATTTGGTTGAAAAGAACGATTGAGGATATCGAAACAAAAGACAGTTCCTATATATTGTCACGTTACATAGGTATCATTGTTTTTAGTTTTAGTTTATCACTTTAATAGAATTACATTTTATTAGTATGCCAGTACCAAAAGCTGTTATAAAACCAACTATTTTTTTCTGAATTCTGAATCTATATTTGTTTCTTTGTCCAAAAAGAGAAAAATTTCTATATAAAACGTTTGAAATCGAGCTGGAGAACGAATGGTTTTAATAATGTAGGTTCGGCAACCAAATTATTAACCTTGCTCACAATGTGTCGAATATTATCTTGAGCACTTTAATTATGATTGCTTACGTGTTTCGTTGCTCAACCGAGGAAAATAATAAAATACTATAGTCAGGAATAAAGTAAATACTTTTCCATGAATTTTCATTTTAAATTCATTTTCCTTATAGTACGAACATATACTTGTAACGACCATTGGGTTTGATGTCTGAGCTAGATGTGCGTTTTAAATAAGTGACAAACACATGCATTCCCTGATAGCAGTATCGCAGTATACATGTATCTGTGTCTTTTATTATTATTATTGTTGATGTTTTTGTTGTTGTTGTTGTTATTATTATTATTATTATTATTATTTCAGAATGCACGTACAACAATTCTGAAGACAAAGTGAAAAAATCTCAAGAACTTCTGAACCAACTGAAGAACAAAATCGAACAGAAACTTCCGGTAGAAAACATCTTGGATTACAAAGTTACATGGAACAAAGAGAAAGGTCTTTGTAATTTTATCGTTGTTTTTTTCCTGGCTGTTTATATTAAGAATATAAGCATTGCAATATATTTTCCTACACATATATTTTATAAAACTCTTAATCTTAAAGTTCAATAATTGAAGAAAAACAAAGACCATATTTGAATTCTTCTTATAATCCACCAGGAATTGATCCAAACTCGGAAGAACACCGGAAATATCTTGTAAAGTTGTGTGACGATTTCGTATCGAAGATGTGCTCAATGATTCATGCAGCTGTCCAGGCAAAGAAGAGAGCAGATGGACCACTCATAGAAGAAATAGTTCAACATATTCAGTTCTCTCAGGATAAATGTAGACAGTTTCACGGACGCGACGATGTGTTTAAGGTAACGTAAGTTATTTCAATAACGGTTGCTATAAATATAAATATAAAAGGACAATATTATATAGAAATTAGTCAACAGAATGAATTATAAAATCACATATTGAACTTTTTTGTGGCAAGCATGGTATCAATGTCAATTGTCTATTACAGCAAATAAAGCGATATGTTCAGGGTATGAGTAATGAACCAATGGTATTATACGGCCCGTCCGGTTGTGGAAAAACATCCATAATGGCCATGGCAGCAAAACAATGTGCCGAATGGACGAATAACAAAGCTGCGGTTGTATTCAGGTAGGGTTTCTATCGTTTTTTTAGTTCGATGTGTTCGAAGAAAAATTTCGAGCTACTGCTACAGTATAATTGTCGTTCCAGTGCCGTCCGACCATTGCTTTCTTATTTCCTGATTGACTGTGTTCATTCTTGGACACAAAACATTCTTTAAGACAGGAATTTCATGTAGACGACGCTTAACTTGACCTTGACTCATAAAATTAATGACCTTGACATTCAAGAATTTTGATAGAAATTTGCTACAATTGGCTCTACTTTGGTATTTATGAATGGATTGTCTTCATACTTGGAAAATATATTACTTTGGACAAGACCTTCAAGCACACTAAAGTTATTTTGATCTATGCTCATCAATGGCATTCGCTTCCATGGTCAAGTTATGGACTTTTGCTTGATCATTGCATTCGACTTACTATACTTTTGTTATTTTCTAATGGATTTTCTTCACTAACTTAAGAACAATGCCTTAGAGATCAATTTGACCTTAAACTCATCACCATCACTGACGTTTACCTTGGGGAACAAATTATTGTATTTTTGCATAATTTCACAGGTTTTTGTTTTTGCTATGATTGACTATAACTTTGTAAGTTTTGAAATTTCGCATAACAGTCCTTTGAACAATCCATTAAAAAGTTTAATTGAACTTGAACTTGACCTTAATTTGACATTGACACTAAAGGTCAATAAAGGTCAATTACTGAATTTTCCTTCAATTGGCCAAAAAATATTATTTATTTATTTATGGATTTTTTAATACAAAACTGACATATTGAGTATTTAAATTTGCCCTTAACCTATAAATGAATTTGCCCGTCAAGGTCAAATTATTTAAATATGCTTAAACTATTTTAAGGATTCATTTTTCATATCTGAACAAAAACACATTTGACAAGACCGACATGTTGATTTATTTTAATTTGACGTTGACCTATTTAAAATTGCTTAAATTTTCATTTCTTATTTTTAATGCCCTCACAAAGTGGGAGCATATAGCGTTGCACTTGGCCGTCCGTCCGTCCGTCCGAGCAAACATTTTGGGTTTAGGGGCTATTTAACAGTAAAAACAACAAAAGAGAACAATAGGTTCATTCCGTGATTAAAGGGTTTATGGGCTAGAAGCCCTTAAGAAAACAAAGAAAATAACAAAGAAAATAGCCCCTAAACCCAAAATGTTGGAACGTCCGTCCGTCCGTACGTCCCGAAATCTTGTGAACGCAACTTCTCTTAAACCGGATGGCAGATTTTGCTTAAACTTCAAGGGATGTACAACCTTAATGTGTAGATGGTATTAAAGGAAGGAATATTCGCTGCGACCAAATTTAACAGAATTATAGCCTTTTGTTGATGTTTTCACTATATACTATGTAGAAATTTTGTGAACGCAACTCCTCTTAAACCGGATGGCAGGTTTTGCTTAAACTTCCAGGGATGAAAAACCTTAATGTGTAGATGGTAGTAAAGGAAGAAATTTTTGCTGCGACCAAATTTCACAGAATTATGGCCCTTTTTTGATTTTTTCACTATATACCATATAGAAACTTTGTGAACGCAACTCCTCTTTAACCGGATGGCAGATTTTGCTTAAACTTCAAGGGATGAACAACCTTAATGTGTGGATGGAAGTAAAGGAAGGAATTTTTGCTGCGACCAAATTTAAAAGAATTATGGCCCTTTGTTGATTTTTTCACTATATACCATAAATATGTTGTCAGTTGGGGCATCCGTGTCCTTTGGACACAGTTCTAGTTATTTGCAAATTTTCTGTATACTTTTAAAGATCCCATATGACAAATACACATATCAAATTATTCTGATATTACCTTGACCTTTGAAAGTTGTTTGCATTTTTATAACTTTATTATTAATAATAATGGAGAGACATAATGATTATGAATACTTTACCAAAACAAGACTTGACAATATCAATGTTTTCAAGGAACATTTTTTCTTATTCTTATTAGATATATTGCATGTATTTTAGATTTATTGGGACAACACCAGATAGTACTGATCTCATTAGTTTCTTGTCGAGTATTACGTCACAGATAAGACACGTGTATGGTCTGGAAATGCCGGTGTCTAAGGTTTGTAATTTTATCATAACAAATGTACCTTAATTTTTGCTCAAGCCGGTGCTAAGGCGGTGCGGGATAGCATGATGCATTAGCTAAACGAAACGAAAATAGTGCATAACGGCATTTGAAATGTAATTGATAAGTAATTTAGTAAATTGAAATGTAAATTTAGACTTCTTTAGGTATATATCAATTCTTTTACATATGACAAAAAGTTTTATACATGAAATAAGTGTTCATGTTTTGATCAAATTATATACTCAGTTAACCGTTAAGCTGAAGTATCAGTGCAACAATGTTAAAAGATCGATAAATCCATTTAAGCTAAATGTTGACAAATAAAAACATATCGAATTTTCTAGACATTGGAGGTTTTATCAAGCATGATACAAAATCATACTTATATTTTCACCGCCTGATATTTTTCAGATCTACCTGTATAATATATACATTTCTTTTGAGCCGCGTCGCGACAAAACCAACATAAAGGGTTTGCGACCAGCATGGATCCAGACCAGCCTGCGCATCCGCGCACTCTGATCAGGATCCATGCTGTTCGCCTACCAACTGCATATCAAGTAGAGAAACTGACAGTATGCGCGGCTGGTCTGGATCCATGCTGGTCGCAAACCCATTATGTTGGTTTTGTCGTAACGCGGCTCATTTTATTTTTCAATTTTTCAGGATCTACGAACCCTAACGGATGAGTTTCAGGTTTCGCTGTTTTTGGCATCAAGCGATCGACCACTGGTGTTGATATTTGACTCTTTAGACATGATGAATCCTTCCCATAATGCAAGACAACTCTACTGGCTTCCGGCCAGGCTGAGGCCAAATGTTAAAATCATCGTTTCTACTCTTCCGGACAATCAGTTCGAGTCCTTGCCAGTATTACAGGTAAGGCCGGAATTAAAACCGTGTTGTTTTTAAAAGATTTTTATACTTCCGGACTTGTTCTACAGATAACACATTGTGGTAGCATGATCTAGTAGTTAACGCGTTGGACTAGTAATATAAGGATGGCTTACCAATTCAAACCCCGTTTGGGGGAACCGTTGATTTCTTGAGCAAGAAACTCTTACACTCATTGTTCAGTACTGGTTGGTTCCAGGAACAAATTCAAGAGTGTTTCTGTAAGCTAAAAGCTTCTTAGACAATCGAACTAAAATAAATTTCTGTTACACATTTAGAGTATCTACCTTTAAAACACAACCAGTCGTCGGCGTTGGAATTGGTAAAGAAATTTGACAAAGCTTTACATGTAGCTTATATTTCATTAACTACTCTTGAAAGTTCAAATATGACTTCAACATCATTATTGTAGGTAATTTTCTAAGACCAATACCTCGAGCATGAGCTTTTACTGAATTAAACTACTTTTTTGATATTTTGAGAGTTTCTGGTTCCGGGTTTTGATCAATGGTCTTTCTCCCCTTCTACTGAAATTATTCACTTTAACCTTTCTTCAGGGTCACTCACTTAATATAATTAAATTTTGTGTATACCATTAATTTTTACTGTAAATGTCGCTTTGTGAACTTGGAAAATCTTTGGTTAAGGTATTGCATGCAAGTTCAATCCCTGAAGCCACAGAAAATACCCATTTTCCTCGTGAAATTAAGATACTATTTTGTAATGTTTTCAGTCAAATTTTGTAATGATTTCAGTCAACTGTAAGAACCAAGGACAATTTCATACAAGTACCAGCACTGACAGTGACGGATCTCAGTGAAATCATTGATAAATGGCTAGTATTAAAACAACGACAACTCACGCCTGAACAGAAGAAGATCGTAACAACCATGTGTTCCAAATGCCCTTTACCACTGTATTTGAAACTGTCATTTGACAAGGCTAGCGTTTGGACAAGCTGTTTAACCAAAGCCGTAACTGTTTTGGAACCAACCGTCCGACAAAGCATTGACGGGTTGTTTCAGCGTCTTGAAAAACTTCACGGGCAGATGTTTGTATCTCGTGCGCTTGGTTATTTGACATTAGGTAGAATTTCCAATACAAATGGTCATATCACTCATATGTCTTATCAAAATATGTTTACTAAGTATTAAATAGCAAGTTGAATGGGATAAGATTTAGTATTTTATGTAGATGTGTAGAAATATCTAGAGTAATGTTATTCATTTCTACATATGGAAATACATTCGTTACTAAGCTCACCTGGAATTGCTCCTTATGTCCAGCTAATATTTACCACCCCAATTAAACCGAAAGAAATAGAAACAAAGAAAAATGTGTTTCATATGCTTAACCCTATTTTTCTGATATTTAGGTTCCTTTTAAGAATTGACAAACCTCTTTTTTGTTGTTTTCAGCACGTGCAGGTTTAACGGAAACGGAACTTGAGGACGTGTTGTCGTGCGATGATGATGTATTAAATGACGTGTACATGTATTGGACGCCACCAATTCGACGTCTTCCACCTTTATTATTGATTCGTATCCGTTCGGACTTGGCTCAGTATTTAGGTATGAAATATGTTCTGTATAAACCTCTTATACTGTTGCTGATATAGACCTTTTTACGACGCGGTCCGTTGCTATGAAAAATCTACCGGATGTAGTATTTTTCTCGCGCATGCGCAATCTGCGTAGAACAAAAGTGCATCACCTTACATAGAAATGTAGCAGTTCATAGACAATTCTCAGTTAGTTCACGGTGAAAAAGTTTTAAAAAAGATATATTAAATAGCTTTTAACAAAAAGCAAAGATGCTTTTATTCCTTTGTGTGCGAGATTGCCATAAAAGACGAAAAATATGGTGTTTTAAGAAGACACTGCACATAGGTACATTAAGCAAATATATCTGTCCCCAGCCATGGACAGTGCAGTTTAATATATTTTTTTTGAAATTGTGACATTACTGACCGCCAAAACAAATCATACAGCATTTCTTTTTAACATATTTTGAATGACGTTTCTTTATACGTAAAAATATAAATTGTGGAATTTATAAAACATGCGTTGCAATCCATCTTGAATAATAATTATGTAAAAGTCTTGCCGGCTGGTTCCCTGCCTACAATTTATTAAGGCAATGAAGCGTAAGGGGAAGGAACTCTTGACTCATTGTTAACTTACTTTGCATTGTAATATTAATTCTGCTCGTATTTACAGTTGATAGAAGTGCTGACGGCGTCCGTGTCATGTCCTGGTATCATCGACAGTTTATGGAAGCTGCCGAAAATAGATACTGCAATGACGTCACACTTAATGAGAAATTACACGCTTCTCTCGCAGATTTCTTCTCCGGAAGATGGGCTAATGGTATCAATATTATAATTAATCTGTTTAACTCCTTTTTTATTAGAAAAACGAAAATATTTGGAAATTTTAATTATGTTTACATATACTTGTAAGAGTTGAGATTTTACCACTGCGTTAGGAGCATTTTACATAGTCAAAGATAAACAACTGACCTTTAACCTACAGGACATTGGACCTCAGTTTTAAAAGTTTGTCCGAAAACATGTATGCCATTCAATTGTAGCAATGTAAAAGTTATTTGCATTTTTTATTTTTGATATTAAACAAGTATCATTTATTCATTTCAGGTCATCAAAAACCATACACAAGTTCAAAAGGAGAAAAAGGCACTGCCGACCGTCATGTTGCTTTACAACCAAACAAGTTCGGTCACTCTTACAACATTCGTAAACTAAATAATCTCCCCTTTCATAGATGCAAAGCGAAGCAGTGTGACGTTTTGAAGAAGGAATCGCTGTGCAATTTCGAATTTCTTTTAGACAAATTGAAAGCAACATCACTGTGGTGAGTTGTTTTAAGAAAGTTTGACTTTAAAAATTAACAAACAAAAACAACTTGAATTACTAAGATGTAGCGCATTTTTAAATATGAAATCGTTTTTAATAGAATGTTATTTAAAAGGTCAATTCAGAAATACATACATAACTGTACTATCTCCGAATAACTCTCGTTTATGTACACAAAAATGTGCATGAACAAAAGTAAAATTTTGCTCGACATATTCAAAACTGGTTAGGTCTCCGAGGCAGAGTGGTAACGAACTCCCTTATTTCGAATCACTTGCCCTATACTCTCTGCGTATTTGAATTCAGCCGAGGAGTTAAGATTCTTTTATATGAGAATGTTATGAAGGTACTACTGAAAGGCCCCGATTGTGCCTAAAATAATTTCACAAGTAGAGCTGATATGTCACATTCAATGTTGATGTGACTTAAATCTCATTTAACTTAAGAGTAATGAGTACAACAACATATCAGTCGCGCCAAGACAAAACCAACATAATGCGTTTGCGACCAACATGAATCGAGACCAGTATGCGCTTCCGCGCAGACTGATCAGGATCCATGCTATTCACTGTCAGTTTCTCTACTTGTTATAGAGTTTGTCAGCGAACAGCATGGATCAAGATCAGACTGCGCGGATGCACAGGCTGGTCTGGATCCATGCTTGTTGCAAACGCATTATGTTGGTTTTATCATGGCGCGGCCCATATATCTATATCTGTTACTGTTTCATTGTATAACACAGCTTTAAAATTTTACAAGTTATTTTAGAAGATGGTAAGTTAGACAGATTTTAAAAGTAAGGTTACATGTTTCTGTCAAACATTTCTTTCAAATTTCTCGAAAAGTACTGGACTAAAAAGGAATTCTTGAACATTTCAGGATATTAATGGACGATTTTACCATGGCCAAGGAATATTTTCCTCAAGATGAATTGCTCAACAGTATAAATGATGTGTTACGCCTTGCTCAAGTTGGACTGTTGTATGACCCACACCAAATTGTCCCTCAGTTTCTCGGCAGGCTTCCAAACAATAAGGTTTTATAAAATTTAGTACACTTTATATACAGTTTGAAAGTCACTTTCATTTTATAAAAGGTTAAAGTTTGAGTGACCGAGTGGTTCACATCATTGATTTGAAATAACTTGCCTCACACCGCCATGGATTGAATCAGTCATTGATAGGATATTTTCACATGTGGAAGCTATTCAGCTAGCTAACTCAAGTGCCTGCAAGTGCCTGAAATAAGATACGAAGGGACACCTATTGTCTTCCACAATGATCTTTACAGAGTTTGTAAGACTTTAGATCCAACAAAAGAGTCTTTAAAAGCCCATTATAACCTCAAAAATACTTACATTCTTATTTCTCAAAAACAAATTATTTTTGTGTCTTATTTTAATTTCCAAAAAGCTGCTTATTAGCCAAGCATCTGAACCATCTTTTGCTTCTACCGCTGCTCGGCAATGAGTATATTTATAGTGATTTGGAACTATTTTTGCACTCCTATGCTTATTTTAACGTGCGCTTTGACCTTTGTCAACGATCGTGAACTCGACTAAACTATGTAACACCTGCACTGATAAGTTCATCTAATCATTTTTCGTTACATTCGAAATGAAAATGAATCAGTTTCAAACAAATAAAATCAGCTCCTAATTAACGCTTATTAATAATAATAATTGGCAGGCACCAATAGGAGGTCACCTCGTGACCTTTCAAACAGTCAATCATTGTCAAGTTTTCACAATTTTGAAAGTGATGCGGTTTCTAATTTTTCCGCTGGAAAATCAATACTAAGTTGATTATTTTCACACAATTTCGACAAATATGGTGGCAATCAGATCTCCATGCAAGACATAACAAAAGTAGATCTGAACTTCAGTCAAATTTAATAAGTTTAAACCTATATATTTATTAGCGTTATTATTTTATACAGAGTACGGAGGAGTTTATAAAGAAATGCAGTGCATTTCCTCTACCATGCATACTTCCAGACAAAACAATTCTTACCCAGCCAGGCGGTCAGTTAATACATTCCATGGCTGGACATAAAGGAGATATATTGTCGCTAGATCTTACAGCAGACGGCCTTACAGCATTGACATGTATGTATCATTTTGTTACACTGTAAGAATATATTAACGCATTATTTATTTATTTATTTATTTATTTATTTATTTATTTATTTATTTATTTATTTATTTATTTATTTTTATTTATTTATTTTTTTTATTTATTTATTTATTTATTTATTTATTTATTTATTTATTTATTTATTTATTTTTATTTATTTATTTATTTATTTATTTTTATTTATTTATTTATTTATTTATTTATTTATTGTTCGTGTGTTTGTGTAAGACTAGCATCAGTCATATACAGGCAGACTATTTCCTAGTAACCGTCAAGTAATCTTTAAGTCTTTACCAATACTAGCCAGAAATATTTCCACAAGTATAACTGTAAACGTTTTCACAATAAGAGAAAGAAAAAAACCAGCAAAAGAGGTCTAGAGACCTTCAGAGAATCATTATTTGATGTTGCACATATATCATTATTTGATACTGCATATACATGTATATCATTATTTGATACTGCATGTATATCATTATTTGATATTGCACATAAATCATTATTTGATATTGCACATATATCATTATTTGATACTGCATATATATCATTATTTGATATTGCACATATATATCTTATATTTACACAGGTTCTGATGACGGATCTATACGAATGTGGAACGTTGAATCAGGCCAACAAGTGCATCTGTTTGATGGGCTCGGCAAAGTTTCTCGTGCACGATTTTGTCACTATGACAACTGTATATTGATAGATATGAACAAGAAGCTAGCAATCCGATCCTCTAAAACAGGTAAACGTTATAGAATTGCATTGTGATAATTAGTTGTTCAGAAAAAGGAGATGCCTATCGGGTTCATGAGGTCCCGGGTTTGAGTTCTATCAAGGACATTTCTAATTTCTTTCAGCAAACATATGATTCTACATCGTTTCACTTCACCCAGATGTAACTGTTTATCTGATAGAGTGGTATAATTATGTGTCATCATCATATGGGCTGCCAAAGTTCGAGAAAGATTAGCCCTTGCATCTAAATGGCCTTGGTGATAAAACTGCAAGATCGACAAGTGTGCCAATTGCATAAATCTTATACTATAAGAACCTTCATTTTAAAATGTAATTCCTTCATTAGCAATTTTAGATTTGTCTTTTATAAAACTTTTTTTTGAGGTTCTAAAATTAAGTACTAGGGCCCGTCATAGCAATCTTATCAGGGACAGTCACACCACCGCATTGAGTTCGAGTCTTGCCTAGTTTTCATAATAAATCTGATTAAAAAATTGTATGAACTCTCTTTTTATGAGGTTATTTTTAGGTTCATGTGACAAAAATCTTGCATTAAGGTCCGCGGCATCCCAAAACATTTCTTAATCAAATTACGCAAAATGTGTGATTGAATCTTTTTTATTTTTATTTTTCATTAAGTGAGGAATTTTTGGTGCTTGCCAAAACTTGAGTAGTATATGATATTACGGGATATCATCTAGATGCATCCTAATTCGACTATTATCTTAATATGGGTATATACCTTTAATGTGTTAATTCGAAAGTAATTTAATTTTCAGGTGAAAAGGTCTTTGATATGAATTCTGTAACAGACGACTGTCCGTCTTGTTTATGTGGTGACAACAAATCTCTTCTGGTTGTGTTCAAGGATAACTCTGCATTAGTTTATGACCTTGAGGACGGTGTTCAGAAATCCAGTGTTCAGCTCTCGGAAGAGTTTCAGTTTAAGTTCCCGGGGTTCGCTACAGGTAAAAACAGTTAACGTCTTTAAAAAGAGTATAGTAGAACCTCAAAATTAATACCTCAAAATGGACCAGGTTTAAAAAGGTTTATAAAGTGTGGAAAGTGCGCTATGTGTAGATATTTTAACAACAATTGTTTCTACATATTCAAGTTAATAATCATTATATGAATAATATATTAAATAAATTGTTACGGTAGATGAAATGTTATGCATTCAAACACGTTTCGCTCTAATACCTTTCGAACAGCTATGGTAATCTAATGTATATCATATATGACAACAATAAACCTAATGACCTTAGAAAGATAACCTCTACGCTCAATGTTGTTAATATATATTTATCAATTCTCTTTTTTTATTGGTATGTTAGAATGGAAAGAGATATTCATAGGTCGTGCATTATAGTATAATAAATGTGATTATATTCCTAGTCATTTTAACACGAACGTGCATTATTCTACAACAATGATATCTATTTCCTAAATAAAAGTCCATAAGAATAATCATGCAAACTTCAGCAGTTTCAAAAAAAGAAGAAAAAAACGTATGAAAACAAATGAAAAACCGAAAGCTGGATCATTTAAATATCAATAAGACTATAAATTTATAAATTTTGATATTGTTTTTCTTTAAATTGAAGGGTCAAAAAATTTTGCTGCAGTTACCACGTCGGATCAGATATATTTAACATTGTTTGATCTGAAGAAGAACGAATTTCTTCCGTTATTTCGGGGCTTCGAGCCGTTCCAAGACCAAGGTAAAACTAAATATATGTACTAGTATAGTATTGGAAATGTTTCATTTTTCCCAGAATGTTCCACATTCATGCAGGCAGGACAGAAAAGCTTTTCTTCCATATCTGACAGGATTGTCTACTGTTTACCCTGACGTAGAAAAACTTGTCTTACACTCCCGTGTGTAAAGAAAAAAGTTCTTAAATGAAAATATTAGTTTCCGCAATTTCTTTCCGGGATTTGATATATATGTAATATACAAAAAATAGAATCAAACACCGGCTATATCATCACAGACGGGATTATCGACCTCTCGTGGGAACTCGACAGAGCCTCGGTACCGCCTTAAACAATTACCCTTGAGCTAGATATTCCGATCTATACCGGTAGCTTTGTAGTAACAATAATGTAGTGAGCGCCTTTATTGCAAAAATGTGTTGTTGTTGTTGTTGTTGTTGTTGTTGTTGTTGTTGTTGCTGCTGCTGCTGATGCTGATGATGATGATGATAATGAGTAGGAGGAGGATAATTATAATGATGGTAATGATGAAAAAATCTTGTTATAATATCTTACATGAGCATACGATTTAATGATCAAAATGTGTGTGCCAGAATTTAAGTAATGTATGTAATGTTGTAGATATTGGTGAAGAAGTCCAGTATGAGATTGATGAGATGACGATAACAGCAGACGAGAAATATGTCGTCTATAGCAACATTTACTCCAACGATATTGTCTTCCTTGACTTTAGAGCAAAAAAGAAAGCCAAAATTATAAAAGGTGTGTCAGTATGTGCAGTTATGTCCGATTAAGAATGTTATGTAACATAACACGTCTTCTTATTTATAAATGTGCGATCGTATGTTGTATTGCTTTTAAAATGACGTCAAAACACTTTTCATGAGGGAATGTGATATTTACCATATAAAAGGTAGATTTTTTTGGCCAACTCACGTTTCTTAGGGTTATCATTTTTTCAATGATTATCTCATGTCTGTAGACTTGATTATGGTCACATGAGATCAGTAAGCGATGTGGCTTCTAACCAAGCCAATGAATTGGCCAACGTATAGATTTGTGACATTTATAACACCTTCTTTTCTTGAAGTGTTTGTTTTCAAACAGAATCAGATATATTCAGGAGAAATCTCTAAATGAATGTCTCACATATCTTTTTTGTTTATAGGAAATCCGGACGATTACATGCGCAGCCTTAAATGCTCATCAGACGGGAAATCTCTGTACTTTGTTAAAGGTGCTTTTGTCAACTTCTTCGAGACTAAATCGTCAAAATCTAGTGAGGAATTAGAACACAACGTAGACATAATCAGCGTCTGTACAAATAATATGAAAACAATTGTGACCACTGCTGAAGACTCAAATGTTCGGGTATGGGACAGAACAAAGCGGGCACAGAAAATAAGCCAGACGCCCGGTAAAAACGCAAACAGAATAAGGTTATCAATTTTATTATAATTATTATAGTATAATGTCGTCAGAAATAATTAAAAATCTTTATAAAGGATGATCCCACAGAAGCAATGAACATAACAGAATTACATTTAAACGCAGAGTCGGTTTGATTGAATTTGTGCTCATGCCTGCGGGTGTATCACTGAGTGGTATGCCGTGGCAGTTATGATAAGACATTCTAGTAACAAGCACATAAAATAGCACAAAGTGTCACTTGCCAGTTTAAGATGTTAAAAATATGAATATCAGGACTTTAGCCCAAAGCGCCTTGTCTTATACCACTAACATACGACAGTGCATTTCTATAAAGTCGACTGGGCAAGCAAATGTCCGTATTAGACGAAAATGCACCATGTATCGCTCATAATTGTAAATTATTCCATCAGTATTAATGACTTTATTATACCCCCGCACAACAAAGTTGTAAGGGGGGTATACTGGAATCAGCTTGTCCGTCCGTCCGTCCGTCCGGCTGTCCGGCCGTCCGGCCGTCCGTCGGTTTTTTCTTGTCCGCCCAATAACTTAAGATTCCTTTGACCCTTAGTCTTCATATTTGGCATGCAGGTTAGTCATGATTAGTAGATGACCCCTATTGATTTTGAGGTCACTAGGTCAAAGGTCAAGGTCACAGGGGCCTTGACTTCAAAAAGCTTGTCCGCCCAATAACTTAAGATTTCTTTGACCTACAGTCGTCATATTTGGCATGGAGGTTAGTCATGATTAGTAGATGACCCCTATTGATTTTGAGGTCACCAGATCAAAGGTCAAGGTCACAGGGGCCTTGACTTCAAAAAGCTTGTCCGCCCAATAACTTAAGATTCCTTTCACCCACAGTCTTCATATTTGGCATGGAGGTAAGTCGTGATTAGTAGATGACCCCTATTGATTTTGAGGTCACCAGGTCAAAGGTCAAGGTCACAGGGGCCTTGACTTCAAAAAGCTTGTCCGCCCAATAACTTAAGATTCCTTTGACCCATAGTCTTCATATTTGGCATTGAGGTTAGTCATGATTAGTAGATGACCCCTATTGATTTTTAGGTCACCAGGTCAAAGGTCAAGGTCACAGGGGCCTTGACTTCAAAAAGCTTGTCCGCCCTATAACTTAAGATTCCTTTGACCCATAGTCTTAATATTTGGCATTGAGGTTAGTCATGATAAGTAGATGACCCCTATTGACTTTGAGGTCACCAGGTCAAAGGTCAAGGTCACAGGGGCCTTGACTTCAAAAAGCTTGTCCGACCAATAACTTAAGATTCATTTGACCCACAGTCTTCACATTTGGCACGGAGGCTAGTCGTGATAAGTAGATGACCCCTATTGACTTTGAGGTCACCGGGTCAAAGGTCAAGGTCACAGGGGCCTTGACTTCAAAAAGCTTGTCCGCCTAATAACTTAAGATTCCTCTGACCCACAGTCTTCATATTTGGCATGGAGCTTAGTCATGATTAGTAGATGACCCCTATTGACTTTGAGGTCACCAGGTCAAAGGTCACAGGGGCCTTGACTTCAGAAAGCTTGTCCGCCCTATAACTTAAGATTCCTTTGACCCACAGTCTTCATTTTTGGCATGGAGGTTAGTCATGATTAGTAGATGACCCCTATTGATTTTGAGGTCACCAGGTCAAAGGTCAAGGTCACAGGGGCCTTGACTTCAAAAAGCTTGTCCGCCCAATAACTTAAGATTCCTATGACCCACAGTCTTCATATTTGGAGTGGAGGTTAGTCATGATTAGTAGATGACCCCTTTTGATTTTGAGGTCACTGGATCAAAGGTCAAGGTCATAGGGACTTTGACTTCAAAAAGTTTGTCCACCCATTTACTTAAGATTCCTTTGACCCACAGTCTTCATATTTGGCATGGATGTTGATCATGACTATAAGGTGACCCCTATTGATTTTGAGGTCACTGGGTCAAAGGTCAAGGTCACAGGGACCTTGACAAATAAAAGCTTTTCTTCTCAATTGCTAAAGAATTTCCTGTCCGCAATGTATTGATTTTTCACATTTTCACATTTGAAGCATGTAGAATACATAACTTAGCAATGCACTGGCTTAGTAACCTCAGATTTGGCAGGGAGGTTGTCCTTGAGCTCTAAATGGCCACTGTTGATTCTGACAAAGTGGTATGCGGGGGTATTCACGCCATGATAGTGGCAGTTCTAGTTAATGTTTTTCTTTTTCTTTTCTGTAGGTTGTTACAAACCCATCCAAATGGTCGTTATGTTATTGGGTTTGGATTCAGGACGAAAGAAAACGACAGCCAATTTTTGTTTGTCTACGATTTGCTGAAACATTGTATAGTTAGAGAAAAATCATTGGTATGCAACAAAGATCTTTATACCTTTATTTACATCAAACTCCTGTTTTTAAATTGCACCATTTGACCATCCAGTAAACGTGTGTTTACTTATATACACTATTTCATGTATTGGACAGATGACTGTGTACATGTCCTTTAAAATGTTAAAGTTGTTAGTGAACGGAGTATCCGAATGGCATTTGTGCGCCTTGCTAAAACCAAACTGCCTGAATGTTTTTACTAGAATTATATAAGTTAGATACATTTTGTATTTCCTGTTTATAGTTTGAATATAGAATATGTGTTATTTCATATACATATACATTATATATTTGGACTAGTTTAACAGTTTTGTTGTTGATGTTGTCGTTCTGTCGTTTTGAGGTTGTTTTTTTAGTATTTTTTTATATCTTTATTATTTTTTTATATTATATATATTTTTTATTTGATTTTTTTTCTATTTGAAGAAGTTGAATCAATTTTCAGCACCATTTTCTTCCCTAACATTCTTCATTCAATTTATTGTATGTTATGTTTATATATCGTTCTTAAACCGCCTCCGTGGTCGAGGGGTTAGAGTCGATGACTTCTTATCCAGTTACCTCTCTAGCGTGGGTTTGATCCCCGGGAGATACTTTGGTAGTTAAGCGCGGAGGAAGGTAGTCTAGTATATGTACTGGTGTAACTCTCCAGGAACGATGGTTAGGAAACTACCCGCCTATATGACTGAAATACTGTTGGGAAAAGGGGTAAAATGAAACAAACAAACAAACAAATATATCGTTCTTTAAGTTAACCGCGCTTCTGACATGTTCAACGCCTTTGAAAAGGGTTACTTCTTAGTGAAGGTTTTGAGAATTCAACGATTTGTACACATACATTTACATATATATTTTGTTATTTTAATATTAATAATTATTAATATTAATATTGCATTGGTAGTGAACGTTGTTCTGTTGTGTTTTCCAGGATTGCTCAATATTCCATATGGAACTGCTCAATGATAAGGAACTGCTCATAGTCCATGATGTCTTTCAAAAAATCAAAACTGTCAACATCGAAACATTACAAGTGACCAAAGAATTTCAAGGATTTCTTCCAAGCAAAAACTGGAAATTTAACTTGATTGGAAATAAGAACGGTAACTGGTATATAACATGTAAATTGATGGATTGATGGACGGACGAACAGACGGGCGGGAGGGCGGACGGATGTATCTATCCATTGTGATTTTAACGATAATATACATGATACAAATGATAAATGGTAATCAGAATTGTACTTTTTAACGTGTACAAATACAGCGAATTTTAAATTAAATTCTAGGGAGAATTAATTAATTATATTTAGTACTTATAAATAAATAAATTCTCGGTATCTATCACTTCAGAAGTTGCTTGCCTCAGCTGCGGACGTCATAATGTTAAAATTTATAACACGCAGACGGGAAAAACGTCTGCAATTCTGGAAACGAGGCACCAGTCAAAACTAGACGGATTATGTGTAAGGATTATTGCATTTAAAAAAAAAATGCATAAGTTACATTTATGTACATCAAATGTTGTTAACTTAGCATATATATAACATTTAAAGGCATTTGAAGCCTCAGAAATGAATTCTTTTCTTCTTTTTTTCTTATTTATAAGCACCCTACATATTCATTTTATTCAATTCTTTTCGGTATTTTTGTTTGTTGTTGTTGTTTTTTTATCATTTCTATTTCTCCAAATTCAAACGATGTAAACGCAGTTTTCAATATACAATGTACTACAAATCAAAAAAGATTGACTTGTACTTTGTTTATGGCACATATGCATGCCTAAAAATGTTGCATATACAAGACGCATCACTTATTTATATGAACAAACTACTACTAGGTGAGCAAAGATGGAAAAACGTTGGCAACATGGTGTGATGAAACAGGTGACGTGTTCGTTTTCGACCTTGGAAGCAAGAAATTACTGCATAAGATAAAATCATCCAAGACTGCGATGTTCGAAGAGGAACAGATAATGTTGTCGCCGGACAGCAAGTTTCTACTTTTCAAAGTTGAAGGTAAACATGTATATTTTTTTGTAATAAAGGTTCTGTCCAAATAAGAAGCATGTCGTTAAATCTATTAACAGTTATGCTTTAAAGCGGCCTTCAGCTTTTATTCTTCTGTTGTAAAAACTGTTTTCTGTTGTTTCAAAATTTAGTATTTCAGTAATTTTATCTTTTAAAAGTGCATCATATCACTATTAGGCCTACTGCAAAACAGTGTCATGAGAGTTATTTATTTTGCACCTGTGACGTTCTTTTCTAAAAATAGAAGATTGAATTTACTAATTTACATAAACAGAGCGGACCGGTATATAAGCGGTATCGAGGGGTTTCCTTATTCAATTTGTTTATATATCATATTGACTGCAAATTTCATTTTCCAACTTAATTCTTTAAATTTGACATTTTATCTAAAAATAACATATTTAACCTTTAGAAAAACTGAAGGCCGCTTTAAAGCATTTTTTTCAATATCTGAGGGACACAATATTTAGGAGATACCAGTTCATTATTTTCATGTTAAGATTTAGAAGTAAAAAAATACTAAAGATCACCGTATTTTCAGACATTGTTTTACCCCGCATCATTGATTAGGCGATATTTGCTGCCATGTTTGTAAGTTTGTCTGTCTACCTGTCTGTTTGTCTGTCCCTTCCGGTTGTTTGTTTGTTTGTTTGTTTGTATGTTTGTCAAACAGCAACAAAAAACGCTACCAAGGACCATAACATCTTCAGTCGATTCTCTTGGTTCATCAAACTGACTGACATAACCAAACATTTGGACAGGGATATTTTTGTAATATTCACATATCTTGTTTTAAAAAAATTTAGTTTCTAATGTGTGCAGTCAGTCTATCCACTTATACAACGAACCGTATCATTCATAAGCTTTGGGTATACGATTTAAGCATTTTCTGGCAAAGAAAACAAATTCAGTCCGAATTGATATCACCTTTTTTACAGAAAAGCCTACGATTGATGGAGATAGTAAGATATAGAAAACGTTCTTGTTTTATGCTTACATTCTGTAGTTTTCACTCAATTTCTTTAAATCTATATATAATTCAGATTCTTTTGTTGTTAATAAGTTAATATAACGCATTTAAATTTCTGTGTTTTTGACAACAGTTGATTTTATACATTTTATAGCTTTGCCTTCTTTTTCTAATAAGCTTAATTCCTGCTTATTTTAGGATCTAAAAAATCAAATCAGCTTGCTTTCAAATGCGTGGTTTGTCTTACATTTGTAGATTGTGATGAAGATGATGATGATGATGATGATGATGATGATGATGATGATGATGATGATGATGGTGATAATGATGATATCTTTATTGAAAAAAACACACATGAAAATATACTTTCGTTCAAAAAATAATAACACATCATAATTTTGAATGTGGCCTTCTGTGCAATAAAAACCCACTTAAAGCTTATTTATCATAAAAGCAGCAAAAATGTTAACAAAGAAGTTTTTTAACTTTAATACAAAATACTAAATCACTATATAATTGTACTCACTCCCAAATAGGCATAGTGGGCCTTTAAGTTATATACGTATTACATGTATAATATAATGACATACTTAATATGATGTCATTATGATATTTATTTGATATGAACGTTATGTTTTATGTATATATTTTTTAAAAGATGTCATAGAATTTGAAGAACGGATAATAAATGGTATTATATTCAAAACCTTTGCGCCACTGTTAACAAAGTCTTTTACCATAATTTGTGCGGTGTTTGTTTATAAATAACTATGGCATTAAATGATTGTGTGTTCCATTGCTCATCCTATACTGTACCTAAAATATCTATCAAACGTAATAAGCTATTTTCATATTCATATTGGACCTTTGAGAATCATGTTATAATATCAATGTATCAAACACTTATACCAATGTTTACGCTTTATGTTATATTTCTGTCCCTTGCCTGTTTTGCAATTTTAAAATATATAAAGAATAGCGCTTCTTCTCTAGAATGTTCTGTCGTCTGCTCGTGTCGTCTGTAAGTTTTCGGAAAGTCTCTAGACTTTCTGTCTCTTTCCAGTATCTTTTCTGAGTAGTTGTTTTACTGATTTTAAGCCAATCTTTGCTTTCTTTAAACAGTAAAATAATATTTTCATCATAATAAAATTTTGTTACGTGAAACGCTAACTTAATGTGCATGTTTGTTTCACCCTTAACCTGCTAAATTTGTGTGATGGACTCTACCCTGCTTTGAATTTGTAACAGTCCATTTGTATTTTAACAATAATAAAATACTGAGCATGGAGGGATCTGAGAATTGTCAGACTGGCCCTCCTTTTTTTTACCGATTGCAAAGGTTATTCGCTTCCGGGTCGTGCAGATTAAAGTTTGAATGCGAGTATTTGTATATTTTAGCTCGACTATTCTATAAGAATAAGAAGAGTTATTGTAGTCACCCGAGCATCGGCGTCTGCGTCGGCGTAACCACTTATGTTAAAGTTTTTGTAATACCTCAAATATTTTCAAAGTCCATTGACATATGGCTTTGAAACTTTGCACACTTGTTCATCATCATGAGCCCAACCTGTAGACAGGAAGAGGTAACTGTATCAAGCATTTTGACAGAATTATGCCCTTTTTCGACTTAGAATTTATGTTAAAGTTTGTGTAATACCTCAAATATTTTCAAAGTCCCTTGGCATATGGCTTTGAAACTTTGCACACTTGTTCATCATCATGATCCCAACCTGTAGACAGGAGGAGGTAACTGTATCAAACATTTTGACAGAATTATGCCCTTTTTCGACATAGAAAATTTACGTTAAAGTTTTTGTAATACCTAAAAATTTTCAAAGTCCATTGACATATGGCTTTATAACTTTGTACACTTGTTCACCATCATGACCCCAACCTGTATCCACGAGGAGGTAACTGTATCAAGCATTTGGCAGAATAATGCCCATTTTTTTCAACTTAGAATTTACATTTAAGTTTCCATACCACCTCAGATATTTTCATATTCTATTGACATATGGCTTTGAAACAAGTTGAATTTTATACTCTTCTTTGAGAGCATAATAGGACTCTCTTCAATGCCTATAATTGTAACATGGATTTAAAGAAAAATGTTGCCCGTTTGTTAACTAAGAAAATTTTACATTACCAACGCTTTTTTACTATCAAGCACTAAGAATAGTCGAGCGTTGCTGTCCTACCGACAGCTCTTGTTCATAAACTAATAACTTTTTTTCATTAAAGAGCATGAGTTTGAGATTGAAATAATAAATCTTTGTTGAAATGTCATCAGATTGCACAAGCACAGTCTGCTTTATTTTGTTTCGAAAGAAAATTTGCGTAAAATTGATAATCAGTATGCTTTTTTCGGTATTGATGAGATCATTAATGTAATTATATAATGATTTTAAAGTACAAGCATATCAATTTTAAAGTACATGTATATCAAAAAGATGCTCTATAAAGTTTAAAATTGTACCAACTAGTACTACAAATATCCTACAAATATAAATTCCCGACGTATATAACTCTAATTGTTAGAGGAAACATTAAAATCAACCGCATGTACTTATTAAAAAGTAGCAACAAAGTACAACACTAAATTACTATTTGGTTTTACATAAGTTGCAAGTATATGGCAATCATCAATTTATATTTAGGTGTACCTGCTAAGTCAAGAAAAGATGATGAAGTGATCTATATAGAAGTATGGGACCCGCAGAAAGGTAAGATCTTACCTCTCTCTTTTATTATTTATTTATTCATTCATTTATTTATTTATTTATTTATTTATTTATTGTTCAGACTCATTCCATCATTTTGTAATAGATATGGTGAATCATCAACTTTTTTTAAAGTAAAATAAAGTATGTGTTGCATCTCAGTTCATCGGGCATCTGCCATGAAGCAATATAACCATAGTTTGGAGGATTTTCTATTTAAAATGTGTCAGAGTTAAATCATACAGGGGAGTGCAGGAATAGAAATAGAACATGTCTATGTTGATTGGCTCATGTTTTCTGAGGTTTACTTATTGTGACGACAGGGAAAGGGATAACGATAGAAAAAGGTATATTTAGTTGCTGGTACCTTTTCTTGGGTTTCACGTGTTTTTTATATTTGCCTAAGATACAAAAGAGAAAGGACATAAAATCATTTGGCAATCTGATTAATACTCGGGGGCTACGTCCCTTCGTACAAATCCGATAGCCTTGTGTTTCGATGCTCTTCCTATTATTATTAACCATTTGTAAATGATTGTAACCAATTTAAAACGTTAAAACCATATATTAATAAACATTTTGTTAAAACATTTTCAGGGGTGAAAGTGTCAGACCTGATGGATATGGAATATTACAACAAATACAATAGTGAAAAAGAGAGAACAGGAAACTCCTCGTCCGTCGATACATTCGAAATACTCGACAACAAAACAGTTTTAGTTGCCCACGACGATTTTATTCTCCGGGTATTTGACATCGCATCAGGTGACGAAAATATTATTGTAAAACTGTTTTATTCTAATTGTTCTAAAATGTTTGCTAAAACTTCAAAGAAGTAGCGGCATGGGCGAGTGGTTAATGGGTCGGATAGTCAATCTAACAGATTTCGCTAGCCGCATTTGTTCAACACCCAAACAGGGCAAAGTCCTTCTTTCAGTTTAGCACGAAGCTTTAACCTCATTGCTTAGTTAACTTGGTTGGTTTCCAGGAAGGGGATTCGGAAGTTGTGTCCTTTTTTAGCTATAAGCCCTTCCCTACACAATCGGAACTAAGAATGAATTTTTTTGTATACTACTCAACACTTTAAAGATAAATTCGGAATACAGCTTATCCGTGGACATGCATTTTACTCGCATTAGCGTAGTAAGACCCTATTTGTTCTTTTAGCATGTGACCGACCGAACCACCATAAAAGTCACGTATGCCACAGTTACCTACTGGTTTAATTTTTATTTTGCACTCATAAATTTTAATTTATTAATTAATTAATTGTGACAAAACCAAAAATGCTATTTTCAGTGTGCTGTATTTTAAAAGTATGTTTCTCAATAGTTTTTTTCATGTTTATATTTTGATATATTGTTCGTAATTATCTGAATATTTGATACAATTGTTACGTTAGAATCAAGTAAAATATAATTCACACGTAGTGTTTCTGATTTTTTTTTCCTTAGGGAACATTCTTCATCGACTTTTTCGGTCATACAACTTGCACTGAGATAATTTATTCACCGCAAGAATCCATACGTTTCTCACGTTTGGTAGCTGGTCGGAGGAAATGTCATTACGTTTATGGGACAAGTCAGATTATTCGTGTGTCGCATCATACACCCTTGACAAAACGGTAACAATTACAGTTGTAAATCGCAGAGATCCTTTAGATAATCACGTTCGCTGCGTGCCCGTTTCATTCGCAGTGCTAACTATTTGCTCCATTCCACCCAGATCACAGTTCCATCTATTTGCCCCGTCCCATTCACACTGCTTCCTATTGTTTCCTTTTACCCATAATGTTACCTTTTCTCCCCTTTCCACTGACAATGTTACTTATTTGCCCCGTCCCACTTATTGTGATATTTATTTGCCCGGTCCCACTCACACTGCTACCTAATTGTCCTGTCCCACTCATAGTGCAACCTATTTCCTCTTTCCCCATGCACTCACTCTGCTACCTTTTTTCCCGTTTTACCTATAGTGTAACCTATTTACCCCTTACCACTCGCAGTGCTGTATATTAGCCCCATCCCAATCACAGTGCTACCTATTTACCTCATCCCACTCACAGTGCTACCTATTTACCTCATCCTACTCACAGTGCTACCTATTTACCTCATCCTACTCACAGTGCTATCTATTTACCTCATCCCACTCACAGTGCTACCTATTTACCTCATCCCACTCACAGTGCTACCTATTTACCTCATCCTACTCACAGTGCTACCTATTTACCTCATCCCACTCACAGTGCTACCTATTTACCTCATCCTACTCACAGTGCTACCTATTTACCTCATCCTACTCACAGTGCTACCTATTTACCTCATCCTACTCACAGTGCTACCTATTTACCTCATCCTACTCACAGTGCTACCTATTTACCTCATCCCACTCACAGTGCTATTTTTGGCTCCTTCTTAATCATAGTCCTACCTTTTTTAGTTTTTCAACTAGTTTGCCAAAATTTACAAACAAATTGCCTTAGAGGTCTATTGTCAAAGAAAGAATAAACAACCCTAAGATCTTGAATATCTTTTGTCTGGATGACTCCTAAATATCAAACTAAGTAATGCTTATAAATTGCATTCAGTATTTCAGACATACATATATATACAGTAATTCTATAAAATTATGTAATGAATTTTACATTTGAATTTTTTTATTTGTTTCAGGTGACAAATCTCGGATTTAACGGTGATGGTAAACTTATTGTAGCAACTATGGGAAAGCCAGCTGAAATAGTAACATGGAGGTTTAACCATTTCAAACAAGACTTGGCTATCACGAAAAACATTTACCAAGAAATATTCAAAGCTGACGGTAATTTTTATTTTAATAGTATTAATTCATTTACCTTCTGTTGTATCATAGTTTGAGGACCTTTCTGTTGAAAATGTGTCGGAGTTAAATCGAATACATATATATACGTGCACAGTGCGTTAACTGGAGCGCAGGTATAAGTTTCCCCCATTCCAGAGCATGCCCATTGATTGGTTCATTTTTGCTGAGGTTTACTGATTGTGACGGCAGAAAAAGGGAAAGTGACAGAAATATCAAATCCAGATGCTCGTTCATTGGTTCCTTTTTTCTGGGGTTTCATATTGTGACAGCAGGGAACGTGTTTAATGTTTGACTATGATACAAAAGAGAAAGAACATCAAAACACGAGGCAATCTGATTAATACTCGGGAGCTACGCCCCCTAGTACAATTCAGATAGCCTCGTGTTTCGATGCTCTTTCTATTACTTAGATCAATCCAATGACACAGGCCTACTAATCTTGACTTAAGTTGTCTTATTTCGTGTTCCGCATATACTTAATTTAGAAATAAAAAAGATAATGTATTTAGATCTAGATAAAACTGTATGAAAAATGAAATACTGATTGTTATAAAACATCTTTTGAATTAGAATTTAACGTACAAATCAAACTGGATTCATATATCCGTACACCAATTTATAATGATGATGATGATGGTGATGATGATGATGATGATAATAATATATTTATTGGTAACACATTGAGATATACCATCGTAGAAAAGCAATAACATATCTTAATTTCAAATGTGATCCCCATCTATACTTTCATAAACAATATATAGAAACACACACACACACAAAACAACATCATAAAACAATGATTATTCCTTTTGTCAAAAACGATTTTGTCCTAAAACAAAACATAATTTGATTGTTTTGACAGGTTCAAAGGAAGAGTACCTTGATCTTATTCCTGAAGACGATCCTGAAATTGATCCTAACGACCCTGATAAGGACATAGAAGAGAATGGTTCAGACGATGATGATGATGATTTTATGTAGCTGAATGTAAATTCAACACATTTCAGTAATTTTTGCTTTGAAACCACGCCAAGGTTTTCAGAACAATGGAAAAAATGATTTATATGAGGACATGTTTACCATTGCACGTGACACGAAGTCGTCTGTTGTTCTTTTGTCTAATGCATTGTCGTTTGTAACAATGTCACCTACTACGTTTTCGTCTGCTTCATTTCATTCGACTACATAATATTGTCTTAAGCCACATTGTCACCTGCTAAATTGTCGTCGCCAACGACGACATTCGTCCACTACATTGCCTCCAACTAGTTTGTCGTCTGCTGCATTGTAGACGTCTTCAACTAAATACTCAAACAAACAGAGAAGACTCGTACTGCTAATTTATAAATTCAATGGTTGTGTGTGTGATTAAGAAAAAGCAGGAAAGAACGTTGAATTTCTGCAAGATTTTATAAAGAAGTGTTTATAAGTTGTTTTTCCCTCCTGCATTTTTTTCTGTACATATTTTTGTTATTTATTTAAAGTTGTTGTTATTTTTTACCCAGTACTTCATGTTATTAATTATTGAGAGTCTTCCAGTACTAACTTCGACTTATGAATTGTGTTAAATATGCTGTTTGTTAAAATTTATCAAATCTTTCTAAACAAAACCAATGCTTAAAGGCCTATTTTGCCTCAGAAATGCTATCATTTTTTTCTCATAAACTTTATATTTTTGATATCTTATTACAGTTTCCATAAATATACTCATTTTGCATAAACATAAACTATCTTTTGCTGCTTTTGCTTTGTCAGCAATTCGTATAATTATAGTGAAATAGTATTTTGTTTGGAAGTCAAAATACTAATTTGTTTACATTTTTCCTCATTCAATTAAAATTTGTAATTTCAGAATTTTACAAGGGATTTGTTGAATTCTTGCCCCTTCTTATAATAAGATATTATTATCATAACATATGTAATTACTGTTACATATTTTGTACCTTCTATAAGGTAAATAAAGCAACTATGAGAACTATTTTATATTGTACATGTACATATGATGTGTTTTTGACAGTAAAATCGTCAATAGTTTTATAACGTTTACACAAATGCTGTTATTTCCCCCCATTTGTATGGGTTTGTGGGTACCAGTAAAAAATATCACCCCGAGGAAAATATTGTTACCCGAGGCGTATGAATGTTCGTAAAAACACAATTTTCTGAACTATTCTGACAACGAACTAAATGTGGACGGACAACGGACAATCAATGATCCGTTAAACAAAAAAATAAACAGTATAATCTTTGTAACAAGATAAAAAAAAGTCTATTTCGGTAAAAGTATGATTGGAAATATGTTTGAAAGTCATACTCGATTTTGAAATGCCCAATGATGTAGAACTATAAACCGATCCGAATTAATGTCATGAGTTAGACATTTTGTATTTTCGGTTTTTACAACTATATAAATAATATACTGTTCACTGTTATATCCATGAATTTACTTTATAATTTAGGTAACCTGTTACTCGATATATTAAAATTAACTTAGTCAACAAAATATTAAATTAATTTTTAGTACATCTTTAGTTTCATTAAGACTGAAAAACCTTATCTCGAGGTTCTTATCCGAAGTTTTACGGAAAGGGCCGAGAAGATGCGACTGACAGACGTGAAACACAAAGTGGCGGCAAAGTAGAAGAACAGTGTGTGTTCATGCATGTGTGTTTATGTATAGCTGTTTACATGTATATGTATAGGTAACTAATTTTTTTTGTTTCGTTTAAATTTAACGAATTGTAATGTGAACTTATATACATATACATAGGGGATACGTATAATTTAGTGACAGTAGATAGACCTGTCACAGATATATAAACTTCTAGACCAATATGCATTATGGATGGTGAATTATAAACTATTGATTAATAGCTGCTATTAGTCATTATCCGAAGTTAGGCGGAAAGGGCCGAGAGGATGCGATTGACTTAATCTATATACTTATACACACCGTCCGGAACGTCTTACAAAGTTTCAGTTCAGGTGGAAAGACAGGTAGAAGATTTTTTTTTCAGTCTATACTACAAGTAGTTTAGTTTCTTAAAAATGTTTTTGTCCAAACATTGTTTTTTCGAACAGGAAAATAGGTTCCACTGGTCATTTACATATACTGTATAAACATTTCTTAACAAAATTAAAGGACTAACGTTTTGTAGATTAAGTTATTGTAGGCTTGCTTAAATATTGTCAGAATCGGAGAAAAATGCGTTGTTCTCTCAATTCGAATTTTTAAATACGCACATTTATGAGCCAACATAGTGATGATACTTCGGTGCAGGGTCTGAGGAAATATACGACAGGATGCCGGATCCTGTTTAAGAAACTAAACTACTTGTAGTATTGACCGAAATAAAAATTTCGTCCCGCAAATAATCCTTCATCTTGAAAATTCTATACTGTAACGGGAAAGCGCGATACTGTAACTTGTTCCCTATGGCATTGTGTATGGTGATCACCCGAAGCAGTTGGTAGTCTATTAAATTCTATAGGTAAAATGACTGACTTTTATATGTTAAGTGAAATATTTCATCTACTTGTACACTGTTTTTCCACCACATAAACCAAAGCGTTTTGCACTTTACTGTCTCGAAGCGACAGTCTTTTGAGTTAAGAAAATAAGTACACATACTAAAACATGGTTTCGATTTTGACAATTAAGTCGTCATGAAACAACACCACCTATCATGATTTTTCAAAATGTCAGTGCTCAGTGTCAGCGCCGGAAGTAGCACATCTGATTTGAAGCGGCGAAGCACCGATATGCTGCTGCTAAAGATGTGCGATGAGCAGACCTAATTAGAGAAGAATTATCTAAAAGTTAACGCACAATTTATTAAATTTTATGGAGAAAGCATTGTCAGCTATTTGAGGACATTTCAGCATTGATCAGTAGTCTTATTTAGTTTGTTTGTGATGCTATGATTTACTGTGATTATAAAGTTTGTGTTCATACGAATGTGTTGATCTGCAAAAGATTGTTAAAATATTTTAGCCGGACTCATGGAGGGAGAAGATTTTGAAAGTAAAAGAGGAACACAGCAGGGATGTGAAGATGTCGCCCTCACAACGGTAAGCTTGATACTTAATAAATTACAAATTATCCAAAACATAAAAGGCATCTCTAGCGCGTTGATTGTCATAGTGAACAATCAACGCGCCAAACACCTGTGATCTTCGTGTGCAGACGTCATTTCCCCGCGTTATTCTTACCAACGATCAGTCGTTAATCAAAATGGGCTTCACATTTAACATGAATCTTTGAGTTATAATTTATGCAAGGCTATTTGTCAGTACGAGGGTTAGGGTAAGTAACGTACACAGGACCCGATAATGCCTCGAACAAATCACAACATTCAAAAACAAGAATTATACAGAATATATTGAACATACATATACGATAAGTGGATTTTGCTTTAAACATGGCGCACAAGGAAACGTACGTGTACGAAGTGTTGCCTACGAAACACAGGTACTGACATTTTAACTTCACTATTTCACTTGAATTTCTGAAGTTGAATCTTAATTTATGGAGCTGAAATCGTGAACACGTGAAGCTACCGGTATGCTTGTTCTTGATTCTGTAGTATCTCGCACTATCTACTCATTTGACGATTAATTAGGGCAATGACTAATAGTCTTAATCAATGTGTTGGACAATAACCGAGATCTTGGGGAGATATTCATCATTTAATGCAAACTGGTCATTTTGTCATTGTGAAGTTGTGCTGAATTGACCACAGATGTCCAGGCATTTGTCTTGTCAATAGTGGTCAAATTTTCATAAAATAGACTCCCCTTTATCATCAAAAACAAAATTACTAAGCACCCGGTTACTAAATGAAACAGGTGATGGATATAAATTTGTTTGCTTATTACTTTAATTTATTATTTTTGTTGTTTTGTTGTTGTTGTTGTTGTTGTTGTTGTTTTGTTGTTGTTGTTTTTTTTGTAATCAAGTCGTTATTATTTTCATTATTGGCAATGTGCCGGACGCCTGTGTAACTTACTATATACGATATTATTACAGTATTTTTTTGTGCGGGGTGTTGTTTGTTTCTTTTTTGTTTGGTTTTCTTTTATAGATTTTTTGTACTTTAATCAGAACTCCAATTGAAATATATGCCTTCGAAATGTCACCTTTGTACTTTGCTTTTTCTGCCGATAACGGTTGTTAAATGTATTATTTTCACTTGAGAATATTTCTCTATCTCATTTCAGCTATTAAATAAGCGCCATTCCGGTGATCCTGCCAAGCACGTGCCTTCTGTGTCAATACGTAAGCGACCAGAGGACCCGTGTTCCTCGTGCCTTATAAAAGCGTTGTATTGTTACAACATATTTATCTTGGTAAGATACTGTCTGGATTGTATCCGACATCTTTACTTTAACTTGAACATATGATAACCGTGATAGTTAAAGCAGTGATCCGTTTTGTATAACATCATCAAACTTAATTTACTCACTGATATTTCTATCAGTATCTTTATGTAAAAAATGGGAAAGTGTATGTCTGGTAATGGTATCTTTCTACAATTTCTACAATGAATAGGTTAACATTATTTTCAAAGTAATACGAATTCACTTAAAGAATTATATATTTAAGTGTAATATTTTAATGATATTATATTTGATATTGTAGATTCTTGGCTTAGCAGTTCTCGGGGTTGGAATATGGTTGCTAGTAACAGAATACACCACACGGGTGGTAACGGTTCATGTAGGTTCGAATCTCTTCGAGATGAGTACATACCTAATGATTGCTGGTGGGGTGACCATAGCCTTGCTTGCATACTGCGGCTGCTGTGGTTCATTGCGAGATGATAGATTTGCTTTAGCCTTTGTAAGTTTTTATTTATTTCATTGGTCTTGAGTTTAATGCAACAGGGCCAATGCAACAGGGTTATGTGGAGACTCTCTAGTTTGACTGGTGAAGGAAGACCTAAGGGGTCAAACCGCGTATTAATTCCAGACATGAGAGGTCATAGGATGGCTTTCTGTATGATAATTTATGAAATAAAGGTTCTGGTAGGATTCGAACCCCGAGCGGTGTAGGGCAAGTGAATCTTGACCAGCTTATAAGTTTTAATGTGGATATGAATTGATTATTATATACATGTATATTTATTATATATATCATTATATAAAAAGTGTTTACTTTAATCATTTCGGTCTATTGTATTTCCCACATTACATTTAGTAAGTAGTGTGTTTCATAGTTTTTTATTACAGGTCATGAAATAAAATAAGTATATGTGTGTCATAGTTTACGTGTGATTTATTTTTGATCGATGTGGTAGCTTAAAGATTTAACTATATTTTGTTTTCAGTACGGCGTGACGCTGACTTTAGTCCTTCTCGGACTCGTGACCGTGAGTGCACTAGCTTTTATGTATAGAAATGAAGTAAGTAAAAAACATAAGTCATAAGACTTATCTTTGTTGCATATGATATATGTGTAATTTGTGCCTTAAAGTATTATTAAAGCCCCACTTTTTCAAAAAAAGTTCAATAATTTTATCTTTTCCATACCTTATAAAATTTAATCAATGTATTATTCAGCTTTATCAACCTATTATATTCTATTATAAATCAAAACTGGGTCCAGTTTTTATCAGTTAGCCTCGTTTTCATTTCGTCAAATGCATATTGTATATTAAATTCATATTGTACTCTATCTATCCTCGTTTCCATTTTCCTGGTATCAAAGCAATATACTGGAAGTCTGGAAGTAGCTGTATCTTTAATTTGATACAAAAACAGTTATGTTACATAAAAAGTTCATTATACATTGTTTAGTGCCATATTGTATAATAACCTCATAGTATTGTATTTCCATAATATATCTGTTTAAATGACGTTTTATATTCCATTATTTACAGCTTACGGGTCAAGCAAAAGATAAACTTGTGAATACATTGTCAAAAAGATATGGCACAGATTTAAAAGAAAATGTCCAAAACCGTTTGATAACTGATGCTTGGGACTCACTGCAAAGAAGTGTATGTATATTAATTAAGTTGTTTTAGTAAACATTTGAACAACATAATAATCAATAAATAATGGAAAGAGATAAAATAGAGCTTTATTTTGCCAAGGAATCGAGGTTTAGAACTTTTCTGAGTCCATGTTTCCTCAAATGGCATCACTGGAAGCTAATTAGAGAGTAGTTCAAATGAGATCATATAAATAAGTTTATTACAATCGAGCTTATGTAAATATGGTGATACTAAATACAAAATTACATTTGCAATAAACATAATTAATGATTTACCATACCCTACACAGACAATACATGTTGAGGAAAACAAATGTCTTTATGCACATTAACAAAAGATAACAAATGTCTTTAAGTACATGTACAACACATGTATTTAAGTACATGTTCAAAGGATAACAAATGTCTTTAAGTACATGTACAAAGGATAAAAAATGTCTTAAAGTGCACGTGCCAAGGATAACAAATGTATTAACGTTCATGTGCCAAGAATAACAAATGTCTTTAAGTGCACATGCGGAGGATAAGAAATGGTGTTTGTGCACGTACTAAGTATCTGTATAACAAATGTAATTTAGTTTACATACCAATTTAATAACAAATGTATTTTAGTCCTCTAAACGTTATAGATAAGCTATATTTAACCTTAATTTGTAGTTTCAATGTTGTGGACCCTATGGTGATATAAATTCAACGTATTCCTGGTCATTCTACAAACTTCATTCTGACTGGTACCTGCAAGCAAACAACAGTAAGTTTATCCCATTATTTGTATTGATATATGAATATACAGTAGTAGGAGTGTTCTTTACTTGTGAAAATTTCGGACAGTGTGCAAAAGCTAGTTACATCTGCTCGCTCACCTTCTGCTTCACACACGCACGCACGCAAGCGCGCGCACACATGCACGCACACACACCTATAAGTCTTAAGTAAGAGTAATTTTGATAGTCGGAAATAACTGTTGTTAAAGTTATGGTTTAACTATAAAATTAATGACATTCAATTATTCAAAATCTACTTGTCGGATTCATATGTTGGCTGACTTGTATGGTGGCTGATTTGGAATGCTTTTGAGTGACAACACGACAAAGCGCCAAACGGCTTATTGTCGGACTTTCGTCTTGTCGTCCTGTCACTAACGATGCACGCCAAACGGCTTATTGTCGGACTTTCGTCTTGTCGTCCTGTCGCTAACGATGCACGCCAAACGGCTTATTGTCGGACTTTCGTCGCGATGTCACATTTTCACTCGCTTCAAATCGCAGGATTGGCTTATAAGCCAAGCGACAGTGCGACATAGCTACAACGCGCCGCACAAAACGATATAGGTTGCGTTGTCGATAGAACGCACAATGTACCAAATCAGCCACCATAAAAACAGCCACCATAGATATACATCTTTTGCCGTAGGCTGGATTTATTACTTTGCTTAATTTGCATCTTCTTGGTTGGACCCATCCCTCTGTTCTTCTTTACATCATTCTGGTCAAACATGATTTTGCCTACATTTTCACCTTATTTGGTCAGTCTGATCCATTTGTTTCACTAGCATTTTCACATTTCTGGTTGGGTATTTCTACTTCCGTTACTGCTCGTGTAGATTGAGTTCAAATTTCAATTAATTTCTAATATAATTAATTTCAATTAGTTTTCAATACACCCTTTATAAAATTATTACATTAACATTTTATCAAGTTTAAAAATGATGTACGATGTTTGTTTGAATGGTCACGTGATTACGGCGTTGAAAGTTTGTGTGCTTGGGCCACTTTAAAGTTCCCCACTTATGTAAAAATCCTTTACCAATATGTTGTTTCAGGAGCGCCCTTTGTACCAGATTCGTGCTGCTCAGGGGACAAACAAATCTGTACTGGAGTGCAGACGATAAAGGGTCCACCATCTAGAGGTCCGCCAGTTTCTTCTTCATATGCGAAAAATGAGCATTTATATACACAAGGTTGTTATGAAAAGGTCATGGTACATCTGGAGAGAAATGCGTTAATTCTTGGTGGTGTCGCAGCGTTCGTTCCTTTACTTCTGGTGAGTTTGTAGCAGTGAGTGTAATTAAAACGTGATCAAAGCTTACATGTTAAAGGAAAGGAAAATTTCCAAACAATAATGATAGGATATTTGTGTAAATGTATATAAAAAGTTCTTATGTACTTTACGTATGACATCACATTTGCTCAACTTTTTTGTCGCCACTGTGTTTCAGCTCTTTGTACTTTTTATGAATGCAGTGGTGGATCTTAAAGCATTCTTTATTTTACAAATGAAACTTCCTTGAGTTTAAATTTCATATTACAACAATTTATTTACTAACTTAGTTTTTTTTTCTTTTTCAGATAATAGGAATAGTGATAGTATTCTGTTTGTGTGCACGCGTGAGTAAGGACGAAATGTATGAGGACGACGTTTAAGATTGAGTTAACCAATGAAATATTTCCCTCCTCTAGGACGGAAAGATGTCAATGGTTGTAATTCTTAAAATATATGTGATCAACTACTATTGCTGCAGTGTTGACAACTCTGAAATTCACTGATAAACAAGTAGGGTATAAGCTTGGTTGGTATATTTAGATTACTCGTATCAAGACATTTTCATTGCTATAGACCTACTATTCATTCACCTGGGAATATTATCCTGTAATTTTGGTCTCGTTTTCCCATTTCATAAAACGTTTCCAGCGGCTTAGAGATGGATAATGATGATGATGATGTTTCACGCACACGGAGCCAGCTTAAAGATAAAGGTCACACATCTACACCGAAAACCATTGTTTTTTGAAAAATGGTCTTGTTTCTACATAAATTTGTTATGTTCTTAAGACGACATGAAGTGGACAAGATCATGCTAACCAGTCAAATTTACTGACAAATCTTATACGAGAATAGTTGGCTTACATATGTAGTTACTTCAAAACCATATGTGATGAGTCGGAAGTCACATTTAACTTTTTAGGGTAAAATTTCATAAAAGAACATTTATGCCATGTCCTGGAATTCATGGATGGCCAGAAAGCTAGAAATGTGAAGCTGTACAAAAATGTACTTAAATGACACACATTTATGGTTGTGTCTAGTCATATTTTGTCATTTATATATAGATGATTTATTGAAATAATAAGGCACAGGAATATAAGAAAGTGTTTGTTAATGTTGTTTACCTTTGTAACATTTTTATAGTGAACAAACTTTTGTGTAAGACTACGTGATGACTCTTTAGTCGGCCCTGCTTGGGAACTTTTGTCTGTTTCCATAGACAGTTCTTTTATACTCGTATTTTATATATGTATCTTTTTTAATATTAATTTTATCTTGTATAATTGTAAAGGGTGATTTAAAGTTTTGTAACGTTTATCTTATTAAAGTGAAATTGACATCTTAAGTTATTTGTAATGTTGTTTATAAAACACATCTTTAAAATATATTAAGTTTATTTATCTTAAAGGCACAGTATGCATAATAAATCAATAATTTTTATAATTCTTGAGAAAGGCCAAACATATATGTTTAGATCATGTTAATTGTAAAACAACTGATGAATCTTACAGTAATGTGTCATAAAGGTAACAAAATGTAATTAAAGAAGTATTTTGAATTCCATACAAATACTGAATCACTATGACTTACCCAAATGCGAAAGTGCAAAAGATAAACGAAATGATCAATTTGTAACTTTTTTGAAACTGTAAGAAGATACAAAAATTAAAAGTTTTTGAGAAATAGATATGGTGGCTTTCGAGTACTTAATGAGCCTTTAAAGATGTGTTTAGTTACATATATCATTTACCATGAGCTTACATCTAAGTGCATTGTTATCTAGCTCTACTTAAACATTAAGACTGGAACAAAATAAAATAACATTCATCATTTAACTGGTAAAGTTACCTCCCCAAAGGAAACATGGGTTTGAGCCCTAGTTTGGGGAGTTGGGATAAAGATCCTAGTGATATTGGTTCCAAACTCTTAATGTGTAACGACTCTTTACTGGTCAAAACATGAGATCTTTTTTTTTCCTTTTTTACATATTTATTCACTTGTTTACAAATTACATTTTATTATGAATGTCTTGTTTAGCTTAGCAGTATAATCACGGCAAATAATTTTATATAGAAATATATTTTACAGTATTGCTTTTCAAAATACCTAATCAAACAGTGAGCAAGAAAATGTTGTACATCCGTTGCCGTGGTATTCTCCAACTTTTCCCGCCATTTGTTTCACGTAAATGACGTCATACCGCCTGGCTTCTACAGCTACGGTCATTGATGACGTTGCTTTGTCGATGGCGCCATATCCGGCCATAATTTTACCTACAATTTTATCATTACATATTATCTCGGCAGAAACTTGTTTGTGAAACTGTGCCCGTATAGTGACGGAAATCATGTATTTGCCAGACACCGGAACAGTAAACTCCCCTGTGTAGGGATCGAACCCATCTCCATCATTAGTTAAAACTTCGTCAAAGAAAAGTTTCTCGCCACCTTTAAACATTGTGTTGGTTGATAGACAGGCCGTGAAAGCGGGTCCGCTGTCATCACCCTTTTCTATTCCATAAACTCCACATCCTAACATGAAATATAGGAACAGAAAAATATATAATGCATGTATAATTATGGCTTTCGTGCACTTCACAAAATAAAATTATCAAACTAAAATCAAACGATTTATCAATAGCCTTGATATCAATAGATTTACATATAAACTGTTAGTTATATTTACACCAATACTGTAAAGGTTCGGCTTTAGCTTAACAGTTGAGGAAGACCAATACTGCCTCCGTGCATTATTTCAGGCACAAACGGGTTATTCAGTAGAACCTACGTTCTGTAAGCTATCGTTTTTTAAGACCAGAGATCTGAAATTTACATGACGATTTCAAGTCTGCATGGTAATAATATACAACAATAAGGCCTACACATTATTTCCCAAGCCGAAGACAATCCACAAAAACACACATCATCTTTATTTTTATTTGAGAAACATTTTCATCAAATAAATCTTTGGAAACATTTATTTTACGATTATCACATACATAAAACAATATGGTAATTAATGTCAATAACAAACATAATTATGAAAATAAAAGTAGCACTTGTAAGCATTTATATGACGTTTAGAATTGATTTATTTGTTTTTTGATATAGAGGCAAATATTTGCGATTTCTTAGAGCAAGTGAGTAAGTTACTAACTTTTCATAACGAGTCTCGTTTTCTTCTCCAAACTAGGGATCCTCGTTGCCATGGAAGCCATCTCATCCTCTAGACGCTTGAAAACACCCTTCTCATCCAGACGCATGCTTACAGACCCTTTCATAGCTTGAAATTCTGTTTTATTCATTCTGTTTCTGTTGTTTAAATTAAATAATCGTATAAGATGAGCATTAATAAAATGATAGCAAAATATATACGATACATGATCATGAGAGTTATGTTATGCTTGAAAAAGAGCTCGACATCACAAAATACTGTTTTGTTTGTTTTTAGCTCACCTGTCACAAAGTGACAGGTTGAGCTTTTGTGGTCGCTTTTCGTCTGGCGTCCGTCCGTCCGTAAATTTTTACTTTAAATGACATCTCCTCATAAACCACTAAGCCAATTTCATCCAAACTTCACAGGAATGTTCCTTTGGTGGTCACCTTTAAAATTGTTCAAAGAATTTAATTCCATGCAGAACTCTGGTTGCCATGGCAACTGAAAGAAGAAACTTTAAATATCTTCTTTTAAAAAAGCCAAAGAGCTGGAGCTTAGATATTTGGTATGAAACATCTTCTAGTGAGTGTCTACCAAGTTTGTTCAAATAAAAGCCCTTGGGTTTAAATTGGCCTCGCCCCAGGAGGTCATTGATTTTCCCTATATGCATATAGTAAAAACTTAAAAAATCTTCTTTTAAAGAACTCAAGAGCTAGAGCTAAGATATTTAGCATGAAACATCTTCTAATGAATGTCTACCAAGTTTGTTCAAATAAAAGCCCTGGGGTCAAAATTGGTGCCGACCCGGGGGTCACTGATTTTCCTTATATCTGTATAGCAAAAACTTAAAAGTCTTCTTTAAAAAAACCCAAATAGCTAGAGTTTAGATATTAAGCATGAAACATCTTCTAGTAAGTGTCTACAAAGTTTGTTCAAATAAAAGCCCTGGGGTCAAAACTGGCCCCGCCCTAGGGGTGTCATTGTTTTTAACTAAATTGTATATGTGTATAGTAAAAACTTAAAAAATCTTTTAAAAAACCCAATGAGCTAGAGCTTAGATGTTTAGCATGAAACATCTTCTTACGGGTGCCTACCAAGTTTGTTCAAATAAAAGCCCTTGGGTTAAAATAAGCCCTGCCGGGGGGATGAAGAAGTCATTGTTTTTCATTGTATGTGTGTAGTAAATACTTAACATCATGAAACATCTTCTAATGGGTGTCTTCAAAGTTTGTTCAAATAAAATCTCTGCGGTTTAAACTGGCCCCGCTCCGGGGGCCTATATACAGGTGAGCGACTTCAGGGCCATCATGGCCCTCTTGTTTGTTGTTGTATGTCATTAAATTTTTATTATTAACGTCGTCGTCGTCGTCATTATTATCATAATCATCATCATTAAACTATTGCTAAGATCACATTTGACAACAACAACAACAGCAGCAACAATAATGATGATGATGATAATAATAATAATAATAACCCATCTCATGTGAAGTTATATAAGAGATCATATCATATCGAGAAATTAAAAAAAAAGATGTTATATAAACAGAATAATTTACTTCATCTTCACACAATATTAAAATATCACATAATTGGATACATGTTAAGTATAACAAATGAACCAATAATTAAAATAAAATTTAAAAAAAAACGCCTCAAAGACATAATCGGACCACGGAACGTGTCGGAACATAGTGCGTTGAAAGAAATGTTTGACAGAATATAAAAAATGATGGTTATATAAACGTACGTGAAAACATTTACATGTAAGTACTAATTATACAACTGCTATAAAATATCGTTGACAAAGAAAGAACAAACAAAAAAAACACGATATATTGCTTATTCTATTTATTTATGTTGTGTTTAGTTCTTATTTTATGTTTGCAATTAAATGACACACTAAAATGTTTCAGCATTCGCCTTACTTGCCTACCTATAAATCTTTATCAGAAAACTAAGAAGAAAAATAAAGTACACTGCATTGACTTACATAAATTATTAAAGATGTCATCTTTAAATCAAAAAATAAAATCTTTTCAACAAAATAATTGTTATAAAAGAAATATATAATAATAATTGTGCAAACCTTTTTCGAACTATTTCCTCGATCGATATTGTAGAAATCTTAAAATGGTAGTTTCAAATAACAGTACTATGCTTTGTAAAGCAGATTTTCTAAACACTTCAGGTTACCTATAATCAGTGCCGCACAGTATATATGGTGGCTGATTTGTGTCACTTCACAATAAGGAAGTAAATCCGCATATAAGAATGCCTGCGTTAAATGACAAATATAAATGAGTAAAAGAGATAGGAAAAGGACATTTTCTGACAGAGTTCATTTCAAATAGCAGTTAAATGCCAACTTTGATCCAGTTTTTATGTGGTTAAGTATTTTTTGTGATTTTCTACATGATATAATTCGCATGGTTCCGGCCGATTACTGAAAACTTCCATACTTATGTATTGAACTGAATTGCTGTAAAAAAAAATGCCGAATGACCCCTAGTTTGATATTGCTGGAATTATTTATCTTGGATGATATGATAGTAAAGCTCACACAACCCACAATGATATGTCTTTTAAAGGGAGACACAGGCAAAATTTTCATTTCTTAGTTTTTTATTTTTCATTCATTATTCTGTTAATGCCCTCAAAATGAATATACTTTAGACAGTCAAAGGAACAAAACTTTTCTCCATATAAAGAATAAAATGGTGGTTTCCTAACTTGACCCGCGTGGGTCAGGTTAGAGCGCTAGCATTTCACAATAGTTGTCAAAGTGAACTCTGGAAAACTCTTGAAACGTTAAAGAACATGTCAAATGAATGACTTAGGCTTGTTTCAATCATATAATATCCACAACATCTGTTATTGTAACTTCAGTGGTTTGTTCAAGTCACCTGACTTGTTTTAAACTATTTGGTGATTCTACTGGCGTCTAAATTTTGTTCAACATATATAGATATATTTACGCTTCAAACCCAAAATATATAGAATTTTAACAGAAATTCAAGCTGAAACTTCCAGAAAAATAATTTTAGCGTGATTTGAGTACATAAGACCATTTTAATATTTTTGTCATTATTTTGCCTGAATATCCCTTTAAGGGGTTCTTCTCGCAATAAAACCAACGGTAATGACCTCAAGGATTGCAGAAAGCTCACTTGACCCGCGGTGATACACCTTTTAAAGTGTTATTATTACAGTAAAATCGACGGTGATGTCCTCAAAAAACTTAGAAAAGTTCCCTCCCCTGTGATATGATTTTTAAGAGGTTATTATCACAGTAGAACCCACAGTGATGTCCTCAAGGATTGCAGTAAGCTCACACAACGCACGGTGAAAGGCCTTTAAGGTGGTACTAATCACAGTAAAATCCACGACGATGGCCTCAAGGAATGCAGAAAAAGTTCACACAACCAGCGGTGATAGGCATTTAAGTGGGTTATTATCACAATAAAACCCACCATGGTGGCTTCAAGGAATGCAGTAAAGCTCACACAACCCATGGTTTAAGGCCTCAATGAATGCAGTTAATCTCATACAACCCACGGTGATAGGCTTTTTAGGGGGTTTTTATCGCAAATAAAACCCACGGTGATGGCATCAAGGAATTATTAAAGCTTACACAACCCACAGCGATAGGGTGTTCTTTTTGCAGTAAAAACCACGGTGATGGCCTCAAAGAATGAGGCCTTTTAGGGTGAACTTATCGCGGTATAACCCATCGTTGTATTATTTTTCGTGTTTTTGCCTTGATCCCAGCGAAGTTCAAATTCACTACTTTGTGGTATTTCCGTGTTTTTGCATTGATCCCAGCGAAGTTCAAATTCACTACTTTGTGGTATTTCCGTGTTTTTGCCTTGATCCCAGCGAAGTTCAAATTCACTACTTTGTGGTATTTCCGTGTTTTTGCCTTGATCCCAGCGAAGTTCAAATTATCTACTTTGTGGTATTTCCGTGTTTTTGCATTGATCCCAGCGAAGTTCAAATTCACTACTTTGTGGTATTTCTGTGTTTTTGCGTTGGTCCCAGCAAAGTTCAAATTCACTACTTTGTGGTATTTCCGTGTTTTTGCCTTGATCCCAGCGAAGTTCAAATTATCTACTTTGTGGTATTTCCGTGTTTTTGCATTGATCCCAGCGAAATTCAAATTCACTACTTTGTGGTATTTCCGTGTTTTTGCCTTGATCCCAGCGAAGTTCAAATTCACTACTTTGTGGTATTTCTTTGTTTTTGCCTTGATCCCAGCGAAGTTCAAATTCACTACTTTGTGGTATTTCCGTGTTTTGCCTTGATCCCAGCGAAGTTCAAATTCACTACTTTGTGGTATTTCCGTGTTTTTTGCCTTGATCCCAGCGAAATTCTAATTCACTACTTTGTGGTATTTCCGTGTTTTTGCATTGATCCCAGCGAAGTTCAAATTCACTACTTTGTGGTATTTCCGTGTTTTTGCCTTGATCCCAGTGAAGTTCAAATTCACTACTTTGTGGTATTTCCGTGTTTTTGCCTTGATCCCAGCGAAGTTCAAATTCACTACTTTGTGGTATTTCCGTGTTTTTGCATTGATCCAGCAAAGTTCAAATTCACTACTTTGTGGTATTTCCGTGTTTTTGCCTTGATCCCAGCGAAGTTCAAATTATCTACTTTGTGGTATTTCCGTGTTTTTGCATTGATCCCAGCGAAGTTCAAATTCACTACTTTGTGGTATTTCTGTGTTTTTGCGTTGGTCCCAGCAAAGTTCAAATTCACTACTTTGTGGTATTTCCGTGTTTTTGCCTTGATCCCAGCGAAGTTCAAATTATCTACTTTGTGGTATTTCCGTGTTTTTGCATTGATCCCAGCGAACTTCAAATTCACTACTTTGTGGTATTTCCGTGTTTTTGCCTTGATCCCAGCGAAGTTCAAATTCACTACTTTGTGGTATTTCCGTGTTTTTGCCTTGATCCCAGCGAAGTTCAAATTCACTACTTTGTGGTATTTCCGTGTTTTGCCTTGATCCCAGCGAAGTTCAAATTCACTACTTTGTGGTATTTCCGTGTTTTTGCCTTGATCCCAGCGAAATTCTAATTCACTACTTTGTGGTATTTCCGTGTTTTTGCCTTGATCCCAGCGAAGTTCAAATTCACTACTTTGTGGTATTTCCGTGTTTTTGCCTTGATCCCAGCGCAGTTCAAACTCACTACTTTGTGGTATTTCCGTGTTTTGCCTTGCACTGAGAGGAGCAAAACTACGACATGGCACGATTCAGCCACCACAGTACAAGGAAGAATTTTGAGCTAAAGAACTTTATTACATAATTGGATAATCCAAAATCATCATAGCATATTAAACGAATCAAAGGAAATGTGTTAATAACAGAATGTAAAGTTTTGTACCAGGAAATATTAATTTTTCTTTGAGCTAATATACCACAGTGATCTGATACATGTGTATATGGAATTTACTTGCTTACTCAGAAAATTGATTTTATTCGATAAATAAATGGTCTTATATATTCTACAGAGAAAAAAATAACAAAATTTCATAAACCGTCCACAAGAATGTCGCGTCACATATAATACACAAGGGGTATAATATTTCGATGCATTTTATTTAGCAAAATGAAATTCAGAAACAGTTTTATAATGTTTAAATTAATAAAGAAATCAATGCGTAAACAGATCATTAAAAAGAATGAATGAATAAACAGAAAAAATCATTTGTAAGCCGGCTCCACTAACCGTTTATTTTCCAAACCAACAAAGACATATTCTGGATATATAAATCTACATATAAATTTTTGTTAAGACAAAAGTCAAAAAAAGCTTCCATATGACTTATAGTAATAAATCTACTAAGCAAATTCATCTGTTAAAATATGCCAAATACTTGGTGTAAAAGTAAAGACATATAAAATTTCCAATATAACTGAATAAGAGAGTTTTGTAAAAACAGAAGTTTTTGGAAATGTTCAAAAAGTCAGGTTGCTGCGAGTGGGATACCCAACCCTACTCCAACGTGGGAGGGGGAGGTTTTGTTGAAGGATGAATCCAGGCTCAAGACCAGCGGCTCCTTCGAACCTACCTGACATAAAACCCAAATTTAGCGGTCAAATTTTTTTTGTCATAATGGAAAAAGGAAACGAATTTTGACAATTATAAAAAGACAAAGACACAAATAATTTCTCCCTGAAATAAACTCATTTCATGTACATAATATGCAAACGAAAAAATAATTCACAATGAATCAAAACGGAATTAAATGAATATGCCTCATCGATTTTGAAAGTCCATTATTTATTTTGCGTATAAAGACACATGTTTACTTTGCTCCAACTGTACATAATCCTGAAAAAGAAAACAATTGTAAGAAACATTTACAAAACTTTCTGTATAATATGATCGAAAATATTTCAATATTTTCGGAAATTTCACATCTAAACGGCTTGACAAATAAACCTCGAATGCCCGCTTTACTAATTACAAGAAACTCGTGCACTATTGCCGCCAAAAACATAACTTCCGATTACTTCCTTATAAGGAAATACTAAGTTACGGTGTATGATACCGATAATAAATACATGTAATGATTGTCAAGTAGTCATGGTACTTGTCTCGCGACCAAGGATCTAAGGAGTGAGTAGGAAAGACTGCAAATTATATGACGTAACAGAAGTTTTACAAAAAAATATTCACATATTACATGTTTGAGTCACATAATAAAATTTTACCCCAGAGATGGCACAGATTATGCCCTGTATGTGAACATTTATATGGATAAATCTAGCATCAATTAGTTTCCCTTTTTCAATACATTTATCATCAATCAATCCCTTACTTCACTCACTAACTGGCGGAGGACCATAATCTGTGACGTCTCCTCCAATGATGCCGAATGCTTCTGTAAAGACAAAAAAAAATTTGTCTTCCGGAAATGTTTATAACATTGAGAATCAAGTACTGCATATATATAAAAGTGTTTGGTTAACTAACCCACAAATTCTTTTATGTTTGCATAATAACTGGTTAAATGTATCCCTAAACTATCTAAGCAAGGGAGGTAACCGATACGATATGACAACTAAATGTCCCTAGCATAACAAAGAAAATTTCAGCAACTGAATAAACCAGTTAAATGCGAAATTTTACATGCGAAAGTTACTCAGCATTTAAGGACAGGTGTGCCTGCTTCCGGCATATGCGTGCCAAAATTGCGTAATTACTCTATGCAAGGGTGCCGGGATAGAATAACTTGAACCCACCGCCGGTTTGCACATAATGGCTGATTGGTAATGAGAGCGGTCCAAAACGTGATGTTACTATCTGCGTGATTCTCCCCCTTGAACATGCAATATCTGAATCACCAACTACCTTCTGATAGGTAGTTGGGAATTCACACGAATAATCAACTGAGTCCCCTGTTCGACGTAGAGTGCGGGGTGATACCATTTGGTAGAATTCACCTATCTTGTTATGTATTTGTTACTTTTATTCTGAAAAAAAAATACTATAAGATTGTAATAAACTAAAACTATTTTTCTTGATTCGTGACTAACGCAGTAAGGGCTTTTTTTGCATATTTTGACATTTATTTAGTAATTTATGTGGATTGAAAGTGTTGTTTGCAATATGTAAATTACTTTCTTTGTTAGCTTGAAAATATTTTACCTGTAATTTACATTACATTTCCAAAATTGTTATGAAAATTAGCACGAGTCTAGAGGTTTGCTGCTTTAACATACTTTTTCATCTAATTTCCGACAAAAGAAATATTTTCAACTAGTGAAAATATATCAAATAAATTTGTCTCAAACCATCATTAATCTTTACTTCACCTTACTTATTGTCAATATAAAAATTGCGATTCTATTTAACGGAACATGTTTTTCTGGTATGTTTATAACCCCTCGAGCAAGGACACGAATGTCAGTTGAGACATAACAGCTATATTAACTATTTAGGTGTGAAAATTCAATTGCATTACTAATGTGATAATGTTTATAGGAACTTCCAAAATGGTTATTAAACAGAGCGGGCGCTGTGGTGCAGTGGTAACACTGTCTGACTACAAATCTAGGGGTTGCGAGTTCGATCCCCCGCTACTCCACTAAAATTACTTACAATCTTTCGTATGAAAAATAATAAAAATTACTCAGACACTGAACTGACACACATGACACTACTAGCAAACAGGATATTACTCAAACAATGACACGACACATAGGACACTACTCACAAATTGACACAGGACAATACTCACACAGGACACAACTGAAACACTGTCCTATGACTACTGACACACTGACAAAGAGGTCACCACTCACGCACAGACACAGACCACTACCGACACACTGAAACAGACCACTATTGACACACAGGACATTACCGACACACTGTACGATTGTTCTGACACGCAGGACACTAACACAGACACATCTGACACACAGGATACTACCGACATACTGTTCACAGGACAGTTCTGACACGCAGGACACTACTGATACCCTGACACACACCACTACCGACACACTGCACTGCACAGTACTGACACGAAGGACACTAACGACACACTGTACAAACGACAATACTGACACAGGTCACTGACACAGCACACTACTGTCACTGACACAGACCAGTACTGACACATAGGATACTACTGACACATTTGACATACAAAACACTACCGATACACTGTTTACAGGACAATTCTGTCACTCACGCACTGACACAGCACACTACTCACACTGACACAGACCACTACTGACACACAGGACACTAACGACACACTGTACACAGGACAGTACTGACATGCAGGACACTACTCACACACTGACACAGACCACTACTGACACACACTACTGACACACAGAACACTACCGACACACTGACACAGACCACTACTGACACACAGGATGCTATTGACACACACTACTGACACATTGTGACACACACTACTGACACATTGTGACACACAGGACACTATTGACACAATGAACACATGACAATACTACCACACAGGACACTACTCACATACGGAACATTACTAAAACACTGACACAGCACACTACACGCACAGCTAACATTAGTCACAGGAAACAACTCAAACACAGAACATTACCCACACACTGACACAGACACCACGCACACAACTATTATAGCTCACAGGAAACTATTCACAGACCTTACAAACAGGATACTTATACTATGTACACAGCGAACATGACACAAAGGACACTACGCAAGCACTAACCACACATAGTAAACAAGACACACAGACCGTGCATCACAAAACTCACACAGAACACTACGCTCACAAGGTAACGCTCACATGCTGTACATGATTCACAGAGTGTCATTATTGCCATCATCAGTGCGTTTATTTAACATATTAATAAACAGAAGTTAAACATATTTTCTGTTGTTTTTCGATGGGATCCTGAAACTAGTACTAGTAATTCGAACTTAGTATGTTAGCATATAAGATGGATGACTTCAACCAAATAGTATCACCCCGTCTCCCTACGTCGACCAGGGGATATGATATGCTGGTGATAGTGGATTGAATTACCAAGTACCAGCTAACTTCCAGCTTGTAGGGAGCTGGTTATTTGAATATCAAACTACCAACTACCTACCAAATTGACACTCATTATGAAATTTAAAAGATACAAACTTTACTTTTCCTCCCATATATTGAACAGCATAACATATATTCATACAACAAAAATACACATTTCATCGTAAATGGATAAATTGCGTGCAAACGCATTACAACAACAGCAATTTGTAACAGAAATTGGAACTGTTCTGTTAACAAATCATCTTCATAGATGTCGCTGTTGCTGTTTCGATAGTAAAAAAAAATAAAAATTACGCACATGTGATTTGATAAACATATGTAACAATTTATAAAATAATAATGATAATTAAGAGTTATGAGTTATGAATATGAAACACTTCTATTCCATCTAACCATCTAGTTTAATGTAACAATTGTGCTGCGGTATTACACCCCAAACAACCAACTCACGAAATAGGACCCTCAGTATACAGGATTGTGTATTGCAGCTGCGGACTTTCCTTCCCTCTGACCTTCAGGTGTGAATTAACTTGACTTTTGATCTGCTCACAATGGTGAAGCTATAGTCATTAAAATATCTGTGCATGAAGTTGAAATACGTCAATGCATGAATTAGCTTTGCTGGGGACAAGCGTTTTTCTTTGATCTCTAAGTGCGACCTTGTCTCATGACGTTGTAGTATTATGTCAGTGAACATGTGTGATACTACTAAATTGCTTCAATTCATGATGACATAATTGTCGTATTGCCACACTTTCATACTTTCTCTGACTTTAACCATTTGTAAACTTCACCATAGCAGCTGAATTTAGTGCGCAACACTGCCTTTAAACTGGTAAATAATTTTGCCAGGTTAAATTGAAATGTCTCAACTCATGAAGAATGTGTGTTCCGCATGTCTCATAATATCAATTGATTCAGGTAGAAGATACCGGTATATTCCGGACAAAACCGGACGCCATCCGCCCGCAATGGGTGCAAGCCATATAGTGGTAATGTACAGTTTAAGAACAAAATGATTGCGGCATGTGTTCTAAAAGCGGAATTATGGTAATGCATACGTCTTAAGAACAAAATAATTGCGACATGTGTATTAAAAGCGGTATAGTGGTAATGAAGAAAAATAATCGCTGATCCAGATGTGCGCTATAACACCAAAATGTGGAGGAGAAAATAGGTCAATCACATGGCATGTTTTCAACTTTTTAAACATTAATATAAAATTCAAAGCTTTTCTTTAAAAAGAAAATCAGATTAGGATGTTGGTCTTTAACATTTAAAGTTAACAGAGTTACTGGAAGAAGACAAGTTATAATTATATAAGCTTTTAAAAGTTTTAACATTTTAAAACATCAGGAATAAGCAACTATGAACAGTATAAAAGCAACACAAACATATAATCATGTCATCATATAAAATTTCCAACACACAATGTTGGAGCGTATCATGTTCAAACAATGACGTCATTACATAGCTTGGATGTTCAAACAGTATCATCAAGTATTTATTTCCTTGTAAATAGTCAATCACTGCAACAAAATTCCCGTAAACGATGTATACCCTTCGCCGAATAAATTTCCAGTCCAAGGTTTCGACTCCCGAACGTAAATCTCGTCGCCAGCTTGTAACGAGACGACAACAGTTATCGACGCCGAGGCTCGCTCAATCTCGCTATCACCTGCCGCTAACTGACCAATCACGTGCGGCTCAGCTATAATTTCCGCACACACTTGCTTTTGGTATTGCGCGCGCACTGTAAGAGAGAACAAATACCGTCCAGAATACGGAACCTTGAATACTCCGGTGCTAGGGAAGTACGATTTGCCAATGTTTGTTAAAACATCGTCAAATTTGATGGTCTCAAGTGAGCGTACAGTAACATGTTCCTTCAAGCGGGCGGTGAATGCCACCCCACGTCCTGTTGGACCATTTTGTAAGTTTATCCCGGCTTCTGAAACAAAATAGATATGCCAAGAATTAATTTTCTTAGTCTACTTTTCGTTTGTACTTAAGATCATGTAAAATACATGTATATTTATTAAAATTTAGCAAGACTGTAAAAATGTTGGAGTACCACATTTAATTCAATATTTTGGTATATATCGGACAAGGCGCTTGAATGATAAATGCTAAAATTTCGCCTTTTCCAGCCCCCCCCCCCCCCCCTCCCTTCACTTAAGTATGTCTAACCCATTTCTTCATACGTTTTATATACAAAAATGAATGAAAATTCTAAGAATCTGCGAGAAAGGCGATATTTTTCTGCAAATTGCTCCAACACTGTAGTGAGTTAATTGTGAGTTATGATGTCCAAACTATACATGTGTATAAATTTACATGTAATCAAAATTTGTGACTAGTATTTTCAAAATTTCATTATGCATTCATTTTAACCAGCTATATGTACTCCTGTCCGGTAATGTTCTGGTTAATGTAAAACTAATTTAATCTTAATTAACTGTTAATATCAAAGAAAGTACAAATGTATATTAATATAATGTAAATAACAGCAACCTTACCTTTCACAATTTTCTCCACCTTCTCCTCTAGAGCTCGAACTTTAAACGTCATGATTTGCATTTCATTCTGTAGCCTACGATAATCGCTCTTCTCTCCGGCATCCGACGACGACAGCCGACGGGCGCTCATTGTTGACGTAGAACTTAAAGGCGTTCCTCCGCTAGACGACAAAGATGTTCGTCTGTTACTTGGTACAGTTGGTGCAACAAAATCATCCCGACTGCTATTTTCATCCATTTTGTTCGATTATCCTCAAATTATCGTGTTTTTGACGGGTTCTTTGTTGTTGTTGTTTTGTTGTTATTTTTGTTTTTAATTAAAATATTTAAAATCCCGTCTTTGCACTTTCCTCGTTAACCTACATATTAATCCAGCAGATTCCGACTTCAACGTAAACAAACGTTCTCTTTATAAATTCTCTCCATCAAGGTATTACATAAAGTGTTTGATATATCCTAGCAGAGTGAATCTATCGGCAAAATAATAATGTTTATGACTGTTTAATGGGAAAGTTAAATCAAGGCTTATTGTAAATGTCAGTCTACCTAGAGCTACCCAGCTCTATGATTGATCATAAAATATAACTTAAAACTGATGAAAACTTCCAAACCTTTCATGTATACCATCAACTTTGTTTCAGGCGTTTTATGAAAGGGTTACGATTATCAAAGTTATAATTAACCGTATTTCATGAATTTTATTACAATATGTGAAATTTAACCTATACTAGAGAATAAGAAAGTCTAGATATTCAAAAACATAAAAGAGAAAAATTACAAACACTTCAAAAGGAACAGATATAATCATGAAAAGTGAATCTTCTCTGCGTTAATTATAACAAGTTATTATACTGAGCGACTTTTTGTTTGAACATAATGTTTTCGTTAATTTTATTTTCTGCAAATAATTTAGCAAAACACATCATAAACTTCTGAGAACATTATATATGTAATATTTCATGCATAATCAATCTTAAGAAGCTCACATGAACTTTACCTTGGGTAAACTAGTAAGATGAAACTTTAAATCATGTCTTACTTAACACGCTATTTATTTTTTTTTTTTGCAATGGAATTGCCCTGCTTTGAATTTGGAACAATCCATTCAAAGCTAAAGGGATTCCAATATTTAAAAATATAACGGATCTGCAGGCAGACATGGTTCTATTCTGATGACAATGACTTATCACTTCCGGTTCCGCAGTTAAAGGGTTAATTAATTAATGTCATGAATATAAAAAACGCAAATCAAGGGTTAAAATAATTTAATATGACATAGATTCATAATTATAAATACAGTAACAAGTCTTAAAATACTGAAAATGTTCATAAAACATGATATCTTGTATACTTTCTTTTCTTTTTCGTCGAGAACAAATATAAAAACAATGTTGATAATTTAATCATTAACCTGCTGAAGCTAAAACAATGGACCGTAGCCACCAGTATAGACAATCGCAAACCTTCTGTCCTTTCCGTTAATCTTCGGGTATTGATTACGAATAATAACGAGGTGTTCCGATTGCAGTATAGAGCTAATCAAGTGTGCACATCTGTGTAGTCTGGTCGTTCATTTTTTATTATATATATATATATTTATTTATATATTTTATTTTCATTTACTTTTTTACATCAAGTTTGATATCAATTTGATATCATTTTTTATATCAAAATACAAGAATTCCTTAATAGTTCCAAATTTGAAACGGGACAAATCTATGATATGAATTCAGCAGGTTAAGGGTTAAAATCGTACATAAGAACTGCCAACCATCATTTAATGTTGTCCTTCCTTTTGAGCTTAAATTGATCTCATTTTATAGAGAGTATCAATACATGTATATCACAGTTAAAAAGAAAGAATAAATTATATATGTAACAAAAAATGGCAAGGCTGACAATGTCGTACACTTTCTAAAAGGTGTAAGCTGTCAGCATAAATTTAGTGTTGCCTAACTTGCCTATAAATTGCAATTAATTTTGTTTGAACGCTAGTTTCGATATTTAGGCGTCTAAACAGTCCAGCACAATGAACAAGATCTTTCTAATCTATACAATATTTTAGCGTTTGAACACCGTTGATCAGCGTTTGAACACATTGTCCTGTTTGATCTATTTATGTTGATGGTACGATTTTGTAAGGTAAAATGTTCAATGTCTATGTTGACTTGACATGTGTTAGTAGCTGTAATATTCTACGTCGATCCGTCTGCACAAGTACACGGAGAAAAACAGACCAAAGAGCTGAAAAAGACATGAAAACACAGTTGTAATGATATCGTGGAGAACCTAAGCAGACAAAAAACAACCAAGTAATCTTAATTAATTATTATCAATATGCAAGAAAGTTTTTTTTTAACTTAAGACACTGTTAAAATCAAGCTTAAAAATATGAATGAAGACATTAAACAAAAATAGTTACCATGACAACAACTGTTGCTATGGAACAGACACCAATGATAATGGCGTGACTCTGTATGTAATGTACCAGCTCGTCATAACAACCCTGAAACCATGTATATAAATAAAAATAATAAATATAAAATGTTAATAACACTGAAACATTGTGTTTAAAATGTTTTGTATTTGAAATGTTTCTGTACCATATTTGTAAAGCCAGGGTCTTTCAAATATTTTAAAGACCCTGGTGAAGCGTACTGTATTTGAAAATATACATCTATTTGTCCAAAGTGTTTATTTTTGATATCCTGCTACAGTTTATATAACCGGACCATCTTTTGCATCCTTACGTTTTGGAAATATAACTGTTATAATGATTAAGTATTCTGTATGAAAATGAAAATACCACTTTGTTTACATTTAGCTACCTCTATGAAAAATTATTCCACATTCAGCACTGTTTTCTTTAGGTGACAAGCATTTCACATTTTTCTACATTTATTTACAACATTATGAAACACATGATTGCACTTTCAACAGAATGAAACAAAACTCATAGGCTTTAAAATTATACGGCAACATATCTTTGTAGAGTACTGTATTTGAAATAATTCTGTTACATATCACAGAAGTTCCGTATGTGAAATTACATTGTAGCATATCATTTTGATGTTGTGTGTTTGAAATAATTCTGTAACGTATCACAGAAGTTTTGTATGTGAAATTACATTGTAACATTTCTATTTGATGTACTGTGTTTGAAATAATTCTGTAAGGTATCTTTGAAATGTACTGTATTTTAAATTATACTGTAACATATCTTTGAAGTGTACTGTATTTAAACTGTAAAATATATTTGAAGCTCCCTTGCATTATATTGTAACACACTGCATGATACTGTAACGTATTTTCGGAGCGTACTGTTTATAAAATTACATATTTTTTGAAATGTACTGTATTTAAAATTATACTGTAACATATCTTTGAAATGTGCTGTATTAAAAATTATACTGTAACATATCTATTTAAAATTATACTGTAACATATGTATTTAAAATTATACTGTAACATGTCTTTGAAGTGTACTGTATAAAATTACATATTTTTGAAATGAGCTGTATTTAAAATTATATTGTAACGTTTCATATACAACATTTCACTAAGACATATCTTTTTACTGTAGAGCTCTAATGTATTTGAAACTTTTTGAAGTGTAAATAGTATATACAAGAAGCGCCGCAATGTGCCGAAAACCAGGTTTTCAACGACCAAGTTTTGATGTGACAGCAATCAATAGGTCAAAGTGCACTGAAGTTATTGAGTAGAAGCTGAAAATTCTATTGTAAGCAAATGACCTTGAACTTGCTCCCAGATATCTAAGTGGCAATCCAAAGCTGCCACTCAGCAAGTTTGGTGTCAAAAGGTCAAAGCAAATTCAAGTTATAACATGAAAACTAAATACATTAACCTTGATCACAGACAGCTGGGTAGCAATTCCAAGCTGCCTCTTTATATAAGCTACCCATTCATCAAGTTTGGTGTCAATAGGCCAAAGCAAACTCAAGTTATTGAGCAGAAACTGAATTTCTATTTTTAGTAAAACTGACCTTGACCTTGATCACAGACACCTGGATAGCAATCCTAAGCTGCCTCTTGATATAAGCTATCCATACACCAAGTTTGGTGTCAATAGGCCAAAGCAAACTCAAGTTATTGAGCAGAAACTGAATTACTATTTTTAGTAACAGTGACCTTGACCTTGATAACAGACACCTGGGTAGCAATCGCAAGCCGCCTCTTGATATAAGCTATCCATGCACCAAGTTAGGTGTCAATAGGCTTAAGCAAACCCAAGTTATTGAGCGTAAACTGATTTTTTTTTTAGTAACAGTGACCTTGACCTTGATCACAGACAACTGGGTAACAATCCCAAGCTCCCTCTTGATATAAGCTATCCATACACCAAGTTAGGTGTCAATAGGCCAAAGCAAACTCAAGTTATTGAGCGGAAACTGAATTTCTATTTTTAGTAACAGTGACCTTGACCTTGATCACAGACACATGGGTAGCAATTCCAAGCTGCCTATTGATATAAGCTATCCATACACCAAGTTTAGTGTCAATAGGTCAAAGCAAACTCAAGTTATTGAGCGGAAACTGAATTTCTATTTTTAGTAACAGTGACCTTGACCTTGATCACAGACACCTGGGTAGCAATCCCAAGCTGCCTCTTGATATAAGCTACCTACACACCAAGTTTGGTGTCAATATGCAAAAGCAAACTCAAGTTATTGAGCGGAATCCAAAAGTTGACGCCCGAAGCCCGAGCAACCGCCCGCCCGCCCGCCTGCCCGCCCGCCGACTTCGGCATTAAAATAACCTGGTTTTCGTTAAAATACCTGGTTAAAAATTACGCGAATGTATTTGCATAAATGTAAATAAAGAAACTGAAAAATTAATATTTAAAAATTGTGACATTTGTCATTTACTGACCACAGTATAAAGTTCGGAATTAGTATCAAAGTTTCCCAGCAGTGGTGGAGTTAGAGATGGTGGCCCATTAAAGTCTGTAATACCGGTGCACAGGTTAATATCTCCGTCAACCTTGCAGCAGCTCTGCGGAACATATGGTTTACCTGAAATGTACGAACACGTGCGAAATACAAGAGAAGCAATCAACTTTACGTAATTTATAATATTCAAAAACCATAAACTCAATAGTCTATGGTTTAGTAATAAATAAAGTAATAACTGCAAGTGGGTTTTTTTTTCAGTAAGAATTAGATTGTTTGACTATTGCGACTTCAGCCCGTCAGTTGTCTGGAATTATTGTTCAGACATATGGAATTGTAGTGTTGGTAACACTTATCTTAGTCTCTAAATTATGATGGCTGATTCATACAATGACTTACGAAAGTATTTTCAGTGCAAAAAAGGCAAAAGTTCAAACACATGACAAACGCTGACTTTGTCGTATTTTCATGCGATGGCACGGCAAGTAAAAGGCGGAAACGCTTGACCTGAAATGTGTCGATCTGTCGTGTTTTAATAAATCAGTCACCATACTAATTGCTACAGAATAAACTCACCAGTCTCAAACCCTTTATACCATTCAGCATGTCTATAAATAGCCCAGGATGTTGTACTGTTAAGTCCGCCTGTCACACCACAGCATTGTAACTGAAAATTTTACAATGGAACATGTTGGTACACAGATAGTCACGTGTTTTCGTGTCAAAGTTAGGCTCTTTATGACTTAGCAAAACTATTAATCAGTCATAATAACTAAAACGAGAAAATTCTCACTGAATGTCAATTTTTCTATTGCATATATTAACCTGTAAATTATCTTAAGTCGTATTTTAAAACACAGGAACTTAAAAATAACAAATAAAGGTCCATCAAATATCTTATAAACACATATACAAGAGATAAACTTGTGTATGTAAAGAAGTATGTGGTTGTAATTCGACTCAATGGAATTGTTATGAAAATGTACCATATTTTACAGACATAATTTTTACGTTTATGTATACTTGTTCAAATATATTTTCAACAATAATCATGATACTATGACAATCTGATTAAAATCAGTTCCTTATTAACGCTACGCTTTAGGATCTGAACTTCAAATTGGTTATCATGATTTTCCGCAAGCGCGGCTTCATTTTACACACCATTTTGTATGAGCCTTTTTGTGTCTCTAAATATATGTGAATTAGTCATATAAGAATGCAGTGATACGGAATAACATATATTCACATACTTCTCTCTGTAGCCAGTTCCAAAAGTCAGTGATCATTCTGTTGTCTGAGTTCTTTTCAAGGTCTACACCATATTTCTCTATTAAAATGTCTTCCATCGAATGAATGACGTCGCCCTCCATCTGTGAAAATATGTAATTTTTATATCAATTACAACACGTTGCGAAGGTAACGATAAACAGAATAAATTAATCTTTTTGAAAAATATGGTTAATTTAGTCAGGCGACCTGGTCATCGCCGTGACTTTTGGATGTTTAGACTGTTAATAAATGGTCTTTTTGTTTCTTTGATAAAAGGTGTGTAAAAACCTTTCAACATTGATATGTTAAGATGTGTACAAACCTTTAAACAATGATATTAAGATGTATGTATACCTTTAAACAATGATGATACCTTTAAACAATGATATTAAGGTGTGTGTATATACCTTTAAACACTTAAATTAAGGTGTGTCCTTACCTTTTGCCTGAAGACGAACACAATTATAGCTGCGGTGATGAGTACTAATACTAGAACTGATATTGCAAAAATAAACTGAAATATAAAATACAAAATAACAGTTGTAAATTATTTTCATCTCGAATTTACAAAAACATAACGCTGCTATATACTTATGATTTTCCTTTTTTCATAGGGGTAATGATATATAATAAAAATTCTAAATAAATTTGAAATAAAGGATAATTTGTTAGACTAAGTGTGTATAGGTATAAAATAATATTGGGCCACCATGCCATAGTTAAAGATGAAAAATATACATCTGTTATAACTTTCATCGGGGGAATTTCGTAGTCTTAGTCTTATTCTTCATTACCAGAGGAAGACGCTGGATTAATTCCAGGCTCTAAGGGGCACCGAGTACAAACACCGACACTGATATCATCCTCAGATGGAAAAAAATCAAATGCCTCTCTGTCGAGATTCGGACCAACGTTGATCAGGGGCAAGTGATTCAAGTAAGCGACCTAAACCCTTCTTATTCATGAGGATACTAATACGGCGTTAAATAATTATATATGAGCCGCATCACGACGAAACCAACATAATACATCCGCGCAGTCTGATCAGGATCCATGCTGTTCGCTTACAAACCCTATAACACGCAGAGAAACTGATAGCAAACAGCATGGATCCTGATCATACTGCGCGGATGCGCAGGCTGGTCTGGATCCATGCTGGTCGCAAACCCATTATGTTGGTTTTGTCATGACGCGGCTCATATTCATATTTCAGAACTTACACAGCCAAGCATAAATTTGCTCTCTCTAAGAGACCCGCAGCATCCGCACATTGAGATAAGAACCAGCACAGATCCGGCAACAATGAGAACGTAGGCAGCTATTTGGTAAAGATCATTGCCGAGTATTTCAGACATCTGTTTGGCACCATAGTCCGAGCCGAGAATGTATATTCCTAAACCAAGTATACCCGCTCCAGCAATCTAAAAATATATAACATGTTTCGTCATAGAAAACGCAGGGGAAAATGTGATATAAATGCAATTCATCAAGCTGGCAAGAAAAACTATTTATGCGTTTATTATATACTTATAAATGAAATATTGATGAAATAAAATGCGTATTTTCATTTTCTGTATTTTCACTGTAAAAATTTATTTTTCACTGCAGTGAAACATATTTTCCGTATTTTCACTGGTGTCTTGCCGGACTACTTTCTTTTAAATTCTGCCAGTACACACAATTTAAGGGAAAGTGTTTCATTTTTATCGCAAAAAAGAGAAAAATGTATATAATAAACAGAAAATTCAAGTTTTTTCTATAAATACATGATTTATTTCATCTTGTGGCATGAAAATTACCATATTTCACTCGTGGCTACCGCCACTCATGAAATATTTATTTTCATACCACTCGATGAAAATAAATCATGTATTTATAGAAAAAACTTGAATATCCTCTATGTATTTTCTTATGAAACGTACGAAATAGGTGTTTTTCATGAAACGCCATTTTTCCCCATTTTTACGTATTTTCTTTTATTTTTTGTTGTTGTTTTTCTTATTGGTTGTTACGCGCATTGATATTGTTGTTCTTGGGCACATGTAAGAAAAAAAACGATGACATCTTGAGTCGGTTTATCGCCTTTCAAAGCATGGTTATGCTACATTGAAAAACAAAGAAATTAATGTTATATAATGTTTTGTACACAGAAAGTAAACACATACTTACAAAAATGATAAATGTGAAGAGTATATTGGCATATTTAAGAAACTGATGACAGCCTGTCGTCATCTTATCTCCCCGTCCTGAAAAAAAAATAACATGTTACATTACACAATCATCTCATTTTAAAATATTTTATTTTATAAAATACGGAAATTTATTAAAGAAATTACTTAAGTAATAAGTAGTTTTTTTTTCTAAATAAGTTCCGATGATTATTTTTAACCTATCAAAAGCGAATATTTAGCAGACCATTTAGAAAAGATAAGGAGCATTTGTAACATCAATGGAGGAGAGTTTGTCAAATCAATGGAGGAGAGTTTGTCAAATCAATAAAGGAGCGTTTGTCAAATCAATGAGGAGCGTTTGTCAAATCAATGAGGAGCGTTTGTAAAATCAAAAGGGGAGCTTTTGTCAAATCAATAAAGGAGCGTTTGTCAAATCAATGAGGAGCGTTTGTCAAATCAATGAGGAGCGTTTGTAAAATCAAAAGGGGAGCGTTTGTCAAATCAATGGAGGAGAATTTGTATAATCAATAGAATAGCGTTTGTCAAATCAATAGAAGAGCGTTTGTCAAACCAATAAAGGAGCGTTTGTCAAACCAATAAAGGAGCGTTTGTCAAATCAATTGAGAAGTGTTTGTAAAATCAAAAGGGGAGCGTTTGTCAAATCAATGGAGGAGTATTTGTCAAATCAATAGAATAGCGTTTGTCAAATCAATAGAAGAGCGTTTGTCAAATAATTGAGGAGAGTTTGTCAAATCAATAAAGGAGCGTTTGTCAAATCAATTGAGAAGCGTTTGTCAAATCAATGTAGGAGTGTTTGTCATATCAATGGAGGAGCGTATGTAAAATCAAAAGGGGGGCGTTTAACAAATCAATGGAGGAGAGTTTGTCAAATCAATAAAGGAGCGTTTGTCAAATCAATAGAATAGCGTTTGTCAAATCAATAGAAGAGCGTTTGTCAAATCAATGGAGGAGTATTTGTCAAATCAATAGAATATAGCGTTTGTCAAATCAATAGAAGAGCGTTTGTCAAATCAATGGAGGAGAGCTTGTCAAATCAATAAAGGAGCGTTTGTCAAATCAATTGAGAAGCGTTTGTCAAATCAATGTAGGAGAGTTTGTCATATCAATGGAGGAGCGTATGTAAAATCAAAAGGGGAGCGTTTGTCAAATCAATGGAGGAGAGTTTGTCAAATCAATAGAATAGCGTTTGTCAAATCAATAGAAGAGCGTTTGTCAAATCAATGGAGGAGTGTTTGTCAAATCAATAAAGGAGTGTTTGTCAAATCAATGGAGGAGCGTTTGTCAAATCAATGGAGGAGTGTTTGTCAAATCAATGGAGGAGTGTTTGTCAAATCAATGGAGGATTGTTTGTCAAATCAATGGAGGAGTGTTTGTAAATCAATGGCGTTTGTCAAATAAATAGAAGAGCGTTTGTCAAATCAATGGAGGAGTGTTTGTCAAATCAATAGAGGGGTGTTTGTCAAATAAATAGAAGAGCGTTTGTCAAATCAATGGAGGAGTGTTTGTCAAATCAATAAAGGAGCGTTTGTCAAATCAATTGAGAAGCGTTTGTCAAATCAATGTAGGAGTGTTTGTCATATCAATGGAGGAGCGTTTGTAAAATCAAAAGGGGAGCTTTTGTCAAATCAATGGAGGAGTATTTGTCAAATCAATGAGGAGCGTTTGTCAAATCAATAGAATAGCGTTTGTCAAATCAATAGAAGAGCGTTTGTCAAATCAATGGAGGAGTGTTTGTTAAATCAATGAACTCATGTTTAATATAGGACCAAGTTTAAATTGACTCAATGTAAAACTAGAAATGTGTCCATAGGACACGGGTGCCCCCACCGCGCCACTGTTCTGTCAATCTTATGACTCTAGGTCAAATATTTTTTGAAAACTAAAAAAAATCTTTTACTAAGTAAAGGGCAAGAACTTTACAAATACTGAATAAATCTACAAGCAAACCCCAAGGTGCATAAGTACACATGCTGACCAACATTCTTGTAAACTTTCAGGCCTACAAGTGAAATACTTTTTGAGCTATGCATGAACAAGTTGAAAATTGCAAATTTATACTACTGTAAGTCAAGGGCAATAACTCTAACAAAACTATAAAAAAAAAACATATGCAAAGTCCCAGGTGCATAGCTTCACAGTGATGTGAATCATTATTCCTGTAATTTAGTGATGTTGATCATTATTCCTGTAAAGTTGGTTGATTATAACTCAAGCACTCAAGGAACAAATAACAACATAATGAAATGGTTTTTACTAAGTAAAGGGAAATAACTCTACAAATACTGGATAAATCCACAAGCAAACCCCAGGTGCAAATCTAAATATGCTGAGCAACCTTCCCATAAGGTTTAATGACTGTAGGTAAAATACTTTTTGAGTTACATGCGACACAAGTTGAAAAAATGCAAAAAAAATCTACGCCAAGGGCAATAACTCTAAAAATACTAAATACATCCAGACGAAAAAAACCTGGTGCACAACTGCACATGCTGATCAATATTCCTGTGAAGTTTCATGACTCTTTGTCAAATACTTTTTGAGTTACATGCGACACAAGTTGAAAATTGCAAAATTTTACTAAGTCAAGGGCAATAACTCTAAAAATACTAAAAATATCCAGATAAAAATACTCAGGTGCACAACTACACATGCTGATCAACATTCCTGTAAAGTTTCATGACTCTAGGTCAAATCCTTTTTGAGTTACATGCGACACAAGTTGAATAATGCAAAATTTTACTAAGTCAAGGGCAATAACTCTAAAAATACTAAATAAATCCAGACGAAAATACCCAGGTGCACAACTACACATGCTGATCAACATTCCTGTAAAGTTTCATGACTCTAGGTCAAATTCTTTTCGAGTTACATGCGACACAAGTTGAAAATTGCAAAATTTTACTAAGTCAAGGGCAATAACTCTAAAAATACTAAATATATCCAGACGAAAATACCCAGGTGCACAACAACACATGCTGATCAACATTCCTGTAAAGTTTCATGACTCTATGTCAAATACTTTTTGAGTTACATGCGACACAAGTTAAAAATTGCAAAATTTTACTAAGTCAAGGGCAATAACTCTGAAAATACTAAAACTATTCAGATGAAAATACCCAGGCGCACAACTACACATGCTGATCAACATTCCTGTAAAGTTTCATGACTCTAGGTCAAATACTTTTTGACGACACATAAGTGAACGGACGGACGGACGGACAGACGGACAGGGGTAAATCTAAATGCCCGCCACTAAAGTGGGGGCACAAAAATGTTGTTGAAGTTGTTGTTTTAGTTTGTTTTGTGTGGGTTTCTTTACAAATATATATTGTTCCGAAGTCCACATTTAAAATAAATAAGTAAATTAATATACAATGTTTCTTGAAATTGTTATCTTCAACGTGTTTTAAAGTTTTGCAAAATGAATCAATTTCAATCTAGTGATGAAAGATTATGAGTTATGATATCAGTCCGGTTAATATATTTAATATTAATTGTTTATCAACCAATATAATACATGTGTTGCGTAGCGATACTCTTCGGTCATTTCCGTAATCACGTGATATGAGAAGGACCGACGATGTGTTCTGAATAGAGTAGGAAGTTTATATTTTGGTTAGGGTTATAAAACATTTTATTTCAATGAATAAACCCCGCGTAATCTGATATTTAAACCAACAAACAAATTTGTGAACAAGCATGACGCTAAAGAAAATTTGTGACAATGCATAGAGTTAATCTTACATGTATGTTTGTTTTATGTAGTTTACGAAAAATGAAGGGTTAATCAGACTGAAGGATGAGTATTTCTGAAATTCGGATTCTCACTATTTTTTTAAAGAATAAAAAGGAAAAAAGACACGCCTTCGATCAAGAATTCAGGTGGCAAAAATGTGGTCGAGATGGACCTATTCTAGATGAAGCAATGTGGTTTTCAAAAATAAAATCTCTTCCGCCATGCGTCATGCGTCACTAACACACTCCTTAACACACTCATTTCTGCAATTTTATATACCTTTATATTGTTATTGTGTCTGTTAAGAGCTTAATTATTATTCAAATTCCAAAGAAAATTTTTTGAAAAAGAAAATGATAATAAAAACAATATAAGCATGTTTTAACGTAGATTTCCTGTCCAGTTTTCGTTAAATTCGTTTTAATATATGTACAAACTGTAAAAATTGGTGTATTACGCAAATGAGAATTATAATACTTAATCTTATAATATTTTTATTGCATTTTTCTGTGTTTTATATGCATGTTATGTGACAATATAGAATGTGTTTATGTATATTTCCCTGAGTAAGTGATACGGTTGAACGAGTAAATGATACGGTTGAACGAAATCAAAGATAATTATCGATATCGCTGCGATTCAAAAAAAGCATTTTTACGTACAAAAATATTATATTAAATGTGTTACGTTACATTCCCGAATGTACTAACTGTACTGTACACTGGTTCCCAGCATAAACAACAATTTAAAATGTCTGTTAGATATATTATTGTTATTTAACATTATTTAAAATGACTGAACTTCGTTAAAAAAAACTTATGAACATTAATTGCAACACAATTCGTAATGCACTTACTTGACATTTCTATTAATTCACGATTGTTATTTATTTTTTCACTATTTTACGTATTTAAATTCCACTCTAGTTAAATTATCATTATTTTAAATGTACCAACTTCACTTAGCAATCACTGTATGACAGTTACATGATAAATACGGAAGCGGACGGGGAAAATTTAAGGCCCGGGGCTGGACTTTTTTTATTCATAAGTAGATAAGCATTGACGTTTCGTTTTCAATTTTGCGATATAAAAGCAACATGAAGCGTTCAATTTTGACAATATCACGCATCATCATACAAATTTTGAACTCACCAAATCGATGTAAACTTGACCGTGCCTATTCAATTCATGTAACATCAATTAAACGTCAAGAAGTGACAAATATGAAAAGATTACTTACCTTTGCCGCTCATTCTGACTGTAATTTACGATTATTTTTATGGTTAAAGGGCCATTAAGCCCTAAAATGTTATTTTTCGTATCTTAATTATTTTTCATATTATTTTTGGTGTCACAACTCATTGACTATATATCCACTGCTTTTTAGTACAGTTATAGTGAGCGAGTACTTTGTAAGGTAGTAAAAATAAAACTTTGTTTATGTTTTGATACCTTAAACAAGCATTAAATATGCTTTAAATCCACTATATTCATCCCCTCCTATAGCCATTTCTGAGGTGTAATGTGCCCATATCTGCCATGTTTATTTGGTAAACTAATAGATGATATTCAAAACTTACCCGATGAAGACATTTGCGTGATTTGTGTAGAACGACTTCGAGTTTTGCCGATGTGTTTGTGTGACCGATCTGTGGGTCTCGAAATATTCCCCGACGAGCCAGGGTAGTCCGGTGCCGGACACATGGGTAAATCCTTTCCATAGTACAAATAAAACTGATCCGTCGGTCCATTGTAATGCGACCAACTTCTGCTTAAATTTGATCTACTATACATCTATAAAATTGTTTTAACTAATCATTTGTACAAAGTATTTTGAAAAACCGTATCTGTGTTAACATTTATATACTTCTTTTGTTTATTTCAAGCACAATACATGAAAATATATTCCTTATTTCTACAGCACTAAAACATTATGTTAAGGTGTCGATTATTGAACAGCCTGGTTTAATATTACGCTGGACTTGCCGACAATCAGTCATTTGATATGTAATGTTTACACCCGATATAAGATTCAATAGGGGTAGATTTACATTTAGTAAATGTTTTTAATTCTGCACACTTCAAAAATTGATTAGTTTCGAAGCGAATTGACTTTCAAATTAATCTTTAAATCATTTGTATAGGATAATTAATCTCTCAAATCGTATTGTACATATTCGATGATTAATTAATATATAAAACATATATAACGGATTAACGAGAGGGTCTTTAATAAGTTGAGTAACCCCTTGCGCATGAAACAGTGATTTGAGCATGTCCTTTGATGGGGCAAAATTGACTGTAACGCAGCGACGTTACAAATATTGCTTTGTAGTATCAGGCATAAACTGTTTAGAGATTCGCAGGCTAGAGCGGTGGCACAGAGGTGACGTGTGTGTTTTATTTATGCCGTGCACAAAAGATAATATGCCGTGCTTACGAGTAACTATATTTGCGCATGAGACAATTTAAACGTGCGCACGAGATAATTCAGTCATGCGCACCAGATATTTAAGTCGTGAGAACGACTATATCATGCTGATCGCTTAAAAGAAAACGAATTTCTTCATACGTTAATCCTGCATTAAAATATTGTAGAATAAAAGCGTTTCTGCCTAAATAACAACATTCATATATGCTAAGCGTATTCTGGTTGGCTAATTATCTCGTGCACACGACAAAGTAGCTCGTGTACACGACTTAATTATCTCGTGCGCACGACTTATTATTTCGTGCGCACAACTAAGTAACTGGTGGCACGGCTAGTAACTCGTTCGTAAGACTATTATCTCGTACACACGACACACGAAGTATCTCGAGCGCACGAGATAAATAAAAACATACACATGCCACCTCAGTGCCATCGTCGACTAGCCCTCGTAGTCTCCAAGAGTAAGTTATAAGCATTTTTTCCAACGACCCCGAGAGGTAGGATTTCATTTTTTTGTAGATCAAACGGTGATGCTTTATACCAAATATGTATTCTCTGGACATTGTGGTGTAGGAGATGAAGTTTTTTAAAGATGTTTTTATAACAAGTTTATGTAAACAAAGTGACACCAACGGTGGGGCCATTTTTGACCCCAGGGCCATGATTTTTTAACTTTTGTCGAGGTCCATATCAAATATCTAAAGCTCCGGGCATCAAACATGCACAAATGAAAACTTTAGTGACAATAGTGGATTCGCTGCCGAATTAAAATACACGTTTCATATAAAAGTCGGCAATATGACCCCTGGTAGGTGTCCTTTATGGTTTCATGGGCATTATTAATTTACATGTTTTTTGTATCCGTCCAGCTCTCCACAGCGTACATTCACACAAGAATATTTAACTATATTTTCCTATACAAATTTATAATCACCACAAGACAAACCAGGGCTAGGCCAATTTTGACCCAAGCGAATGTTTAAATAACCTGCAAGGACCACAATGTTATGGTACATGCCGAAAATCTTTGGGGGTTGTAGTTGGTCATTTAAATCCAATTTGAGCGCTTGTGACCTACTGGAATCTTTTGAAAGGGCCAACGCAACATGCGTAGTGTTTTCCTATCCGCGAGCTAGATGGACATTGTAGTTTCACACAATTTTTTTAAAACTTTTTTGAAGAGACCCACAAGGCCAAATATCTAAACTCTGGGCAATGAAGTTTCCGGTGTGAAAACTCATTTTTTAAGTAATAAATTAAGTATATTTTTGTTTCTGTGACATAGGTGTCTATTATAGACTGGACAAGAAGAGCCATTAATACCAGACTAGATTCTAAAGATACACCAGATATATCAATATTAAACAAGCATTTCCCGTATATATATAATATATAATCGACACCAAAATAAATTTGGAAACTTTTAATATTCAACACAGCAGTAATAAAGCACATTACATTGTATGGAAAACCTCCCTTGGTAATCATAATCTCTACTTCAAAATAAGATTGTATTGGAACAGATTTCAAAAAATCTCTGAAACATGTAGCACCTTTTGTTTCCTAACACTGAATACTAAATAGAAAATTGACACAAAATTAATTATGAACTTAATCTAACTGTTAAAAAAAAAACTTCTCTCAAGATGGTTACATAACAACCATTCCCACTATTATCACACATAGAATTCCCTTAATTTCTTTTACCAAAGCTGTTTTCTGACCAAATATCTGCTCACAACCAAAAATAAATCCAGTAAAAAAATGCAATATTTCTATTCAACAGACAGTTTTTAAGAGGTATTTGTATTGAACAAAAAGAACTGAAATTAAAATAGTGCAAACAAATCATATAAAAGGTCCATTTCTTGTTCAAAAACATCGGAGACTAAATAAATAACTTTGTGAATTAGCAAAAAAGCAATTTTATTATTCATTTCACAACAGGCCTGCGTTAACTTAAATCATTTCTTAAGGTGTTAAGGTGTTTTAATAACTGTCATGAACTAAGTTTTGAGAACACTTTAAGCCAGTGGTATTTTATGGAGGTATGTTGGTTTTGGTTGGTATGTCTTTTAAGTACCATGGCCATATGGGGGCATCTTTACTGGTGCAGGGAACCCATTACTCCCCCCACCCCCATGTTATAAACATATCTAGAATAAACCGTAACATTACCTTAATACAGAAGACAAAAATTACAATAGTAATTTAGAAACATAAGTTTATATGACAAAAATAGAAATTAAAAAAAAAAAACTAGACAAAATTAATTCTGAACCTTGATTGTTTTATCATCATTTTATGTTTATTAGACGAATCCTATAAATAAAAACTTTGAAAATGACAAACATTATAACTGCAAACAGTCTACCAGGTTTAATTTGTTTTTCAGTGCAACACAAGTTTTGTATAGCAATATTTTGAAATTTTGTAAGGTATCTACTAACTAATGAACAAGTTTTGAGAAACAGGTCAGAAGGACAGTAAATGATCACATTTTGTTATATCCTGGGGTTTTTCTCTGGTGAGCTTATGAACGAAACCAAAGCTTGCAAGCTTTATAGCTTTTTCACCGGTCACTGAGGTCGTTTTTGTTGTTTGGGGCAGTATAAATACATTTTACTCAGACTAGTTGTTTTTTTTTCCATTTGTTAAACAACCTTATAACTATCTAAATATGTACCTGTAAAATACTGAAGGCAGTAACAATCCAAATTACAAACATGTCTCTCACATAATGTCTACCCGACATTACATTAACAAGAATTTGATTAAATACATTATCACTCCAAGCCAAACAGTTTATTTGAAGCCACAGGTTACCTAAATGTATGTAAGGTCCATCTTTTACATAGGGATTACTTCTTAATATTCATTTGCAGTGATAAAGGTACAATTTATACATGTATATCCAATAAAAAGGGAAACAGGCGAGACCAAAAGCCATGTAGCACTTAACACTCTGCATAAAAAACCTTGTTACCATGAAAATCAACAAAAACAACTTGTAAAACAATGCATTAAATACCTATGTACAAAACACTAGTAAGGCCTATAAAGCGAATCTTTCAACATTGATTGCAATATATTCCAGAGCTAAACAAACTACTTAATTTCCAGTAACTTCTTAATACATTTACTAAAGCTTTCTTTCTTAACTTTTGTACATAAAAGCCACATTTTGTTATGAAAAATAAGCTGTCCCAACTGAAATCTAAAAATTTGTCCATAAAACAAATATGCCCCACTTTTGCTTGTCATTTGTTTGTTTCATTTAACGCCAAAATACCAAGAGCGCATCTTTCTGCTGAAATTTCTTCTGTGTTTACAGTGTAAAAATGACATTGTAAACAAAAGGGCAATAATTTGCGTTTTTTCAATTTAGTCTGAAAACTCCAATGACACAATGCCTTAAAATCACCATCATTTTATAATTCAGTCTATTTTCTACATATTCCTATCACTTTTATGGTCATGAACTTGGAAGGCTAAAAAAAATCTGTTAATTTAACCAAAATATACAAAAAAAATTTGCTTTGAAGGTCCATTAAACCCAAAATATGCTGTTATTTCATTTTAAAAGCTTTATATTTTTTATTTTAAGTTTCCGTAACAGTAGAAAGTGGTCATATAGCTGAATCACCTTTTGTTTTAACCAACTGAGCTATTATTAATAATATTTAGCATTTTGTATGGAAGACAAAATACTACTTTGTTTACATTCTGCTACAGTTATGACAAATCATTCAACATTCAAAGCTGCTTTTTTAAAATAAGCATTTAACATGCTCTAAATCAATTCCAAAAATATTATGAAACACAGTTTTGCTTTTTCTGAATTAAACATCCTATTTATTTCCGATTTTACAAGTGCCTAACATATTGAAATGTTTTTTACATCACTGAAAGTTAATATCGCTATTGTAAATGAAAACACATTTAGAAAATCTTTCCTTAAAAATGTTGAACACTTCATTATCATATTGCAAACTTTACATGTACTTACAGACAAGAAAATATGTGGACAGTATTGCATAAAATGAAGCGCTATAGATTTCAGGCAAACAAGTATTTTTGAGTGCAAAACACATGATAACTATAGTAACAAAAAAAACATAGAATCTACATGAAAAACTACAAACTCCTTTTAACGCAAATGTTCCGGTGGTTAAATGGTTAATATAACATTTCCTAACCATCAAGCAAACTGAATTATGCGAAACTTCTGGTAAATTATCCCATCATTTATAACAATGATAGAACACAAAAGCAAATTGAACGAAAACTAAACTTTTTTTCTATTTTTTTAGCAAATAGTTATCGAAATTACAAGACTTTATTCTTGTTTGCGATCTTCGTCTGCGTCATAAAATGAGTCGTTATCAGCGGTCGACTGTGAGAGTTCCGGTGAAGTTTTCAGATCCGATGCGTTATCTGCCTCATGGGCATCTTCATACTCCTCTTTCTCACTCTCGCCTTCACCTACGTCTGATATCTACAATGATGACATCACTTAATCATTAATGAGACATTCACTCTAACTTTAACATGTACTTGTTATAAATATCTTCTTATAACAAAACTTTCTCAATGTATAAAACAAAATAGAATATCTAAATACCCTTCTCAGATTCATCTCTGTAATGGATAGAATAATCCACCTTCCGAGATTCTGCCAGAAATAAACACATCAACAGTTTTGTTTGGTTTAAACACGTATTTTAATACATTTCTGTTTATATTTAGTTGATCTAACCAGCTTTCCTGGATAACTAACGAGCCACAAGTTACTGACTACTAATCCCACATGATTTCTGCATCAGCAGTGTAAAACAAATGATGCAATGTCCACTATTGTCAGAGACACGGAAAATTCAGGGATTAAACCAGAGAAGACAGGATTACAAATCCGATGCGCTCCCTATCGAGCTATTTGGGCAGACTTAAACCAAGGGAGAGAACTTTAACATTGCAGCAAATCAAGATAAATCGTTTACTTTATCAGTCAATATATGAAGGTACTAAGAGTAACTGTAAATATGTGTCAGATTGCAACAAAAAAGGACATACACTCTGGTAACTACATAAAAAATTCTGGTAGATAAGGAAAAGTGATTTACCGGAGGGTCTGTTTTCTTTGCATCCGCTACAAACTGACCATCTCCTGTTTCTGTAATATATATAAGTAGTCATGAAAATACAATACATTGTTAAGAATAAATTAATTAAGAATAATAATTAAGAATTAGTAAGAGATGTATTCTACAAAACCAAAACCATCTGCTAATATTCATTTACCTGTTTAATGCTATTTTTTTCATAATTTCAAATATTATAGGATCTGGCTACATAAAATCACTTTATTTGAAAAATAGCTCAAGTGTTTACCAGCTGTATTTTTTTAATAAAACATCATGAATCTGATGGATGGGTATGTTGTTGTTGTTTAAATATAGAGTTTTTTGTTGTTGTTTTTTTTGAGTGTGCCAAAATACAGCACTAAAAAAAGACGTTTTATCACATGCTCATCCAACCCAACAAAGATATGGTAAAAATTCCTATTTCACTAAAACGTTAACAAAGACGGTAAAGGTCGTTTAGTCATTAGGTGAAAGTGTATACAAATGTAACACAATAAATCCAAAATAAATCTCTTCTCCAAAGGTAGAATAGATTCTAAGTATAAATGTTTTACCTTATGAATTAAAGCTGCAGATAAAATGAAAACATATGGCCAAGGTGTCCATAAATATAACATTCAAAGTACATTAAACATTTGATTGAAATTAACCAGCATCTAGAAATAGACTTGATTTACATCATACATCATAAAATATTTTATAGGGCGACCACTTTGTGCAATACCACTAGCCTGTAAAGGAAACTTATTTATTTTGTATGGCATAATCAACCAATGTTTATAAAAATAACCCTTAATGTTCTTATCCAGCAAATGATTAAATCCACAGTTAGAAATATGTAGAAAGATTTCACTTATTGCATTGTGTTTGTTTTTATTTAAATTTGGTAAGGCATGCCTCATTGCAAAAATAAAACTTTCAGGTTTTTATTTCAATTCCTATCTCATTTTTCTTCTCAACTAGAACTGTGTCCAAAGGACACGGATGCCCCCACTGACAACATATATATGATATATAGTGAAAAAATCAACAAAGGGCCATAATGTAAAAAGATTTTCACTTATTCCTTCCTTTTCTTCAATTTGGTAAGCATGCCCTAATTAAAAATTACATTCCAGGTTTTAATATTCGTTTCTTTATCGGACATTATTAGATTGTTTTTCTTCTCAAAAAGTATGAAGACACAATATTAATACCCCTTTTTCTTGAAATTTTAAAGTCATTAAGTAAAGTGCTATATGGGGCAATTGCAGTATACCACAGACTATAAAAGTGACTTCTCTACTCACTGTTGCTGAAAATAAATGTAAGCAATTGATATAAGAAGATGTCACTATATATCAATAGAACATTAAAGATATACTATGCTCATCCTTGATTAAAATATTTCAATCACAGTTTGAAATCTATGAAATTCTTACTTAATATGTCTTATTTGAATAAAGGAATGAATAAACTATGTATGGGAAGCTGTGTGTTCCCTATTACAGGTCAAGTAAAGTTTATCTTAAAAAAAAACAAAACTGCAAGTCTTTTATGACACTATGTACTTATATTGTGACCACCTATATTGTGCAAAATTTCAAATATATTTACTTTATGTAAAGCCAAAACGAGTTTATTTTACATTTACAAAGACTTTGTGTAGCAATTATCAATATTTTCTAATATCAAATTTGAGCATGGTATATCTTGAACTAAAAGTAGGCAGGTAAACAGTTAATTAACACCTGAAGCTAACAATATGATCTTCCTGATCTTCAAGTAACAAGAAGCAAAGCAAAATAAAAAGCTAAGCAAGCAATTCAAATTTCATCAAAAAAGTAATATATCATTCACATTCCTTGTGATAAATACAAGTTTCTTCTTGTATCACTGAAACATAAGCATGAACAGTAACATAGCAACATGATGTAAACATTAGAATTCATGCAGTAACTTCATGCAGGTTGAGTTTGAACTTGCCAATTTCTCACCTGGGTCACTATCAAGAGAATTCTTATCAGAATGACAATCAATGTCAGTTATTTCAGTATCATGCTCTACTGCATCAACTTCACTAGATTCTGTGACAGCTGTAGACACTACCACATTATCTTGATTGGCATCTCTAAAGTCCTCCTGTTCATCAGAAGAACTGAGAAGATCTATATTAGCTACATTCATACTTTCCTTTAATGAATCTGACACTTCTTCAATTGCGATCACTGCTGTTTCCTCCATATGTATTTTCTTATCTTGTGGCTGTTCTTCATCAATAATTTCCGAGTCATGATCATTCTCCTCTATTGCCAGTTCTTTGTCAACAATTTCCAATTCCTGCTCAATCTCTTCTAATGAATGTTTCTTATCAACAATTTCTAAGTCGTGCTCAGTCTCTGCCGTTGTTCTTTGTTCTGTTTTCCAAGTCCAAGCTCAAATTTGACTGTTGAATTTTACAACAATTCAGAGTCATCTCCCCTGTTGACTCAATGTTCCTTTCAGAGTCTATGCTCAATGTTCCTTTGCGACTGTTCTTTATCAACAATTTCCGCGTCATCCTCAGTCTCCCCTGGCGACTGTTCTTTATCACCATTTTCTATGTCAAGCTCAGTCTCCCTTGTTGACTGTTCGATATTTACAAATTCAGAGTCGTGCTCAGATTCCTCCAATGACTGTTCTTTATAAACAACTTCTCCGTCATCCTCAGTCTCCCCTGACGACTGTTCTTTATCACCATTTTCTACTTCAAGCTCAGTCTCCCCAGGTGACTGTTCTTTATTTACAATATCCAAGTCATGCTCAGTGTTCCCTTGCGACTGTTCTTTACTAACATTTTCAAAGTCATGCTCAATGTCCCCTTGCGACTGTTCTTTAACAACAATTTCTGAGTCATGCATAGTGTCCCCTTGCGACTGTTCTTTATCAATAATTTCCAAGTCACGCTCAGTCTCCCCTGGCAACTGTTTTTTATTAACAATATCCAAGTCATGCTCAGTGTCCCTTGGCGACTGTTCTTCACTTACAATTTCTGAGTCATCCTCAGTCTCCCCTGGTGACTGTTCTTTATCAACAATTTCTACGTCAAGCTCAGTCTCCCCTGGCAACTGTTCTTTACTTACAATTTCAGAGTCATGCTCAGTCTCCCCTGGTGACTGTTCTTTTTCAACAATATCTGAGTCATGCTCAGTCTCCCCTGGCAACTGTTCTTTATCAACAATTTCTGAGTCATGCTCAGTCTCCCCTGTTGACTGTTTTTCACTTACAATTTCCACGTCAAGCTCTGTCTCTCCTGGCAACTGTTCTTTATCAACAATATCTGAGTCGTGCTCAGTCTCTCCTGTTGACTGCTCTTCACTTACAATTTCTACGTCAAGCTCTGTCTCTCCTGGCGACTGTTCTTTATCAACAATATCTGAGTCATGCTTAGTCTCCACTGTTGACCGTTCTTCACTAACAATTTCTACGTCAAGCTCAGACTCCCCTGGCGACTGTTCTTTATCAACAATATCTGAGTCGTGCTCAGTCTTCTCTTGCGACCGTTCTTCATAAACAATTTCTGAGTCAAGTTCAGACTCACCTGGAGACTGTTCCAAATTAACAAATTCAGAGTCATTCTCAGTCTTCTCTAATGACTGTTCTTTATTAACAAACTCAGTCTCCCCTGGTGCCTGTTCTTTATCAACAATTTCCATGGCAAGCTCAGTCTCCCCTGGCATCTGTTCTTTACCTACAGACTGTTCTTTACTTACAATTTCAAGGTCATGCTCAGGCTCCTTTACTACATGTTCTTGATCAACAATTTCTGAGTCATGCTCAGTCTCCTCTGGTGACTCTCTGACAACTACAGAGTCATGCTTAATCTCCTCTGGTGATTGTTCTTTATCAACTATTTCCGAGACAAGCTCAACATTGTCCTGTAACTGTTCCTTATCCAGAATTTCTAGATCATTTTTAGTTGTCTCTGGTGACTGCTCTTCATTAAAAATTGCAGAGTCATGATCAGTTTCCTCTGGTGACTGTGGTTTATCAATAATTGCCGAGTCATGCTCAGAATTCTCTAGTGACTTTTCTTTGTTAACTATTTCAGAGTCAAGCTTAGTTTCCTCTGGTGACTGTTCTTTACAAACAACTTCCAAGTCTTTCTCAGTCTTTTCTAGTCTTTCTTCTTTCACAACTATTTCTGAGCTCTGCTCAGTCTTCTCTAGCAATTGTTCTATATCAGCAATTTTAGAGCCATGGTCAATATTCTCAAGTGAAGGTGCTTTATCAACAGTTTCTTTGCCATGCTCAGTACTCTCTACTGACTGCTCCTTATCAACAATGTCAAAGTCATTATTTTTCAATATTTCTGAGACATTATCAATCGCTGCCATTAAATTTTCGACAGTATGTGCACTCTTCTCTTGTGACTGTTCTTCGTGATCAATCTCGGAGTCATGCTCTTTATCTATATCCTCACTTCTTGATAAATTCCCCTCTTCATATACTATTTTAGACTCGCTACCATACTCCAAGGAGCAATAATGCACATTAATTTCAGGTATAACCTGGTCAGCGGTTAAATCACGTTTTGAATCTTTGCCATTTTCAAATTCAAATGTACCCGAAGTATATGTTATTTTCAAATCCTCCTCTTCCTCAAGTATGCTTGAATGTTCATTGTTTCCTTCAGTTGCTAATTCTGTCAGAGTTTCCTTTATCAAATTCATCTCAATCTCTTCATCCTCTTTATTAACTGAGAATTTGTTTTTCTCCTCAAGTTCTCCTTCACTCTGCTGCTCTTTACCTTCATATGTTGAAGCACAGAACATACTAGATTCTTCACAAACTATTTTATTGCAAAGATCTGCAACAATAATACAAATTTCCTCATCAATGCCATTTACCTTTGAAGTTTTGTCAGAGAGATTTTCATCAAATTCTTCATTTTCAATAATTACAGTAGGTATTTCCTCACTTGCAGGCAACATTTCATCTTCACTTTTTATGTTTGAAACAAATTGACATGTCTGATTTTCATTGTCACTTTGTTCATGATCAACATCCCTATTTTCTAATATATTCTCTTTATGATCACATTCAGCAGTATCAACTTCTTTCACTAATTCAAGTTCACTTTCCTTAATATCAATTTGATTTAAATCTGGTTCAACCAATGGTATTGTCTTCACAACATTCTGATCGTCCATAAGAAATCCCTCTGTTCTTTTAACATTATCTTTATCAGTAATGTTTGGAGACAAACAATTAGAATCAAGCATAATATCATTCAATACTTTCTCCTTGTCTTCAGTGGTGAAAGTTATAATATTTTCAATCTGAAAGGGAGCATCAGCACCATTCTTTTCTCCACCATTTCCATGTGTAACTAAGCTAGAACATTTGATACTTTCTCCTTCAACAACATGGTCAGTTTCCTCACACACAATTCTATTATCATTCAAGTCCTTATTTTCATTTTTAAAACCAGCATGGACATTTTGATAGTCATTAGTGTCAACTTCATTGTCAAGCATACCAATTTCTTCAGAAAATACTTCATTAGCTACCTCAATCATTTTCTGAACATTTTCATCATGCTCTATATACTCTACCACTACTTTATCTCTATTGACTGTTTCCGAATCAGAGTATTTAGTATTTTTCTCCTGCTGACAGAGTAGACAAACATGGTAAGAAAATTCAGACTCACATCCAGTGGTGTCAAGAGCCGAGGAAATATTTTCTTTACAGTTTTCACAAATCACACTATCAGTTTGACTAGTATCATAAGCACTTGTAAATGTGAAATCAGAAACACTTGTCAATGTACTCGGGTAAGTGGTATCTGATACACTTTGGAATGTTTGATCTGAAATACTGTTTTGAGGAAAGGTAACACTAGGCTGGGGAACAAATAATGGTAATTCATCTTCTTTTAAATCAGATTCAACAACTAGTTCTGTTTTACCAATTTCACTATCTATTTCTTCAAGGTTCTCAATTTGTTTCTTTGGATTAACTTCATCTACATTATCACTGTCATTGTCATTATTTTCAGTCTCTGATCTTATGCAGGATTCCAAATCTTCACCTTCATAAAAGCTAAGATCCTCTCCTCCCCCTTCAAGCCCAGTCTTGTCATAATCAGAAAACCCAGTAGTATTGAAGTCTGCAGTGTCAGTGCTTTCATCATAATCTTTTAGGTCGGTGGTGTCAAGCTCACTCGTAGTGTAACCAGTTGGACTATATTCAAACTGTCTGTAGCTTAGATCAATATCACTTTCTTCAGTGCTCCTGGGATCTGTATCACTAGCAGAGTACCTGCTTTCCTCTATATTGTCTGCATTGCTTTGCAAAAGGTCTTTTTTTACCTCCTTGCTTACATCATCAAGACATTCAATTTTATCTGTTTTAACATCTATAGATTTATTCTCTGTATGAAAATGGATAAAAACCATAATTCACTTAGCAACATCAAATAACAAAGTAACAACTGTACCTGAATAATCTGAATTTTCTAAGAAAATATAACATTTGAATTAGTTTGAAAACAACATATTTCTTCTGTTATTCATCAAGTATGGGAACTATGTGAAATGAAAACTAAGATATGCACAATATATGACATGAATATATTGACATATAACAAGCAAGGGCTGTTTTTCCTTCTATACCAGTGGCTGTTTAAAAGGCAGCTTCCCCTCAGTAAAATTATCTAAGATTGTGCAGACTTTCCCTAAAACGCAATTATCATTAAGTTTTTTCTTCCCTTTTTCAAACTTGTTTTGTTGTTGTTGTTTTTTTTTTGTACCAAAAACTTTAGGGAAGGAGCCCTTACCTGTACTGTGAAAAAAAAGCCCTGCAGGAAAAGTAAATCTGAACCCTGAAATTTACCTGAATAGTTGAACACAACAAATAACTTCTGGTGAAGCTTACTCAGCAATGTTAAATACTTACTCTTATTTCTTAATTATAATTAGAGAATTCCCAAATTATTCATGAAAATTTACACGAACAAATTGCAAACTTCCAACAAATATGGACTATCCATTTGAAATGTTAATTATTATCTGAATAAAGTAAATGTTATCATGTTTGATAATGTTCCCAATTTACTGACATTTGTTCACACATTATTAGAAAACTATTATCATGGACATCCACAATAACATATGATACAAAAAGTCTATAAAATTATTTCAACTAGAACTGCCACTATCTTGGCGTGAATACCCCCGCATACCACTTTGTCAGAATCAACAGTGGCCATTTAGAGCGCAAGGACAACCTCCCTGCCAAATCTGAGGTTACTAAGCCATTGCATTGCTAAGTTATGTATTCTACATGCTTCAAATATGAAAATGTCAAAATCAATACATTGCAGACAGGACATTCTTTAGCAAATGAGAAGAAAAGCTTTTTTTTTTTGTCAAGGTCCCTGTGACCTTGAACTTTGACCCAGTGACCTCAAAATCAATAGGGGTCACCTTATAGTCATGATCAACATCCATGCCAAATTTGAAGACTGTGGGTCAAAGGAATCTTAAGTTAATGGGTGGACAAACTTTTTGAAGTCAAAGTCCCTATGACCTTGACCTTTGATCCAGTGACCTCAAAATCAAAAGGGGTCATCTACTAATCATGACTAACCTCCATTCCAAATATGAAGACTGTGGGTCATAGGAATCTTAAGTTATTGGGCGGACAAGCTTTTTGAAGTCAAGGCCCCTGTGACCTTGACCTTTGACCTGGTGACCACAAAATCAATAGGGGTCATCTACTAATCATGACTAACCTCCATTCCAAATATGAAGACTGTGGGTCATAGGAATCTTAAGTTATAGGGCGGACAAGCTTTTAGAAGTAAAGGCCCCTGTGACCTTGACCTTTGACCTGGTGACCTCAAAGTCAATAGGGGTCATCTACTAATCACGACTAACCTCAATGCCAAATATGAAGACTGTGGGTCAAAGGAATCTTAAGTTATAGGGCGGACAAGCTTTTTGAAGTCAAGACCCCTGTGACCTTGACCTTTGACCTGGTGACCTCAAAGTCAATAGGGGTCATCTACTAATCATGACTAACCTCCATGCCAAATATGACGACTGTGGGTCAAAGGAATCTTAAGTTATAGGGCGGACAAGCTTTTGAAGTCAAGCACCCCTGTGACCTTGACCTTTGACCTGGTGACCTCAAAGTCAATAGGGGTCATCTACTAATCATGACTAACCTCCATGCCAAATATGACGACTGTGGGTCAAAGGAATCTTAAGTTATAGGGCGGACAAGCTTTTTGAAGTCAAGGCCCTGTGACCTTGACCTTTGACCTGGTGACCTCAAAATCAATAGGGGTCATCTACTAATCATGACTAACCTCCATGCCAAATATGACGACTGTGGGTCAAAGGAATCTTAAGTTATTGGGCGGACAAGCTTTTTGAAGTCAAGGCCCCTGTGACCTTGACCTTTGACCTAGTGACCTCAAAATCAATAGGGGTCATCTACTAATCATGACTAACCTCCATGCCAAATATGACGACTGTAGGTCAAAGGAATCTTAAGTTATTGGGCGGACAAGCTTTTTGAAGTCAAGGCCCCTGTGACCTTGACCTTTGACCTGGTGACCTCAAAATCAATAGGGGTCATCTACTAATCATGACTAACCTCCATTCCAAATATGAAGACTGTGGGTCAAAGGAATCTTAAGTTATTGGGCGGACAAGCTTTTTGAAGTAAAGGCCCCTGTGACCTTGACCTTTGACCTGGTGACCTCAAAGTCAATAGGGGTCATCTACTAATCATGACTAACCTCCATTCCAAATATGAAGACTGTGGGTCATAGGAATCTTAAGTTATTGGGCGGACAAGCTTTTTGAAGTAAAGGCCCCTGTGACCTTGACCTTTGACCTGGTGACCTCAAAATCAATAGGGGTCATCTACTAATCATGACTAACCTCCATGCCAAATATGACGACTGTGGGTCAAAGGAATCTTAAGTTATTGGGCGGACAAGCTTTTTGAAGTCAAGGCCCCTGTGACCTTGACCTTTGACCTGGTGACCTCAAAATCAATAGGGGTCATCTACTAATCATGACTAACCTCCATGCCAAATATGACGACTGTGGGTCAAAGGAATCTTAAGTTATTGGGCGGACAAGCTTTTTGAAGTCAAGGCCCCTGTGACCTTGACGTTTGACCTAGTGACCTCAAAATCAATAGGGGTCATCTACTAATCATGACTAACCTCCATGCCAAATATGACGACTGTAGGTCAAAGGAATCTTAAGTTATTGGGCGGACAAGCTTTTTGAAGTCAAAGTCCCTGTGACCTTGACCTTTGACCTAGTGACCTCAAAATCAATAGGGGTCATCTACTAATCATGACTAACCTCCATGCCAAATATGACTACTGTAGGTCAAAGGAATCTTAAGTTTTGGGCAGACAAGCTTTTTGAAGTCAAGGCCCTGTGACCTTGACCTTTGACCTAGTGACCTCAAAATCAATAGGGTCATCTACTAATCATGACTAACCTCCATGCCAAATATGACGACTGTAGGTCAAAGGAATCTTAAGTTATTGGGCGGACAAGCCTTTTGAAGTCAAGGCCCCTGTGACCTTGACCTTTGACCTAGTGACCTCAAAATCAATAGGGGTCATCTACTTATCATGACTAACCTCCATGCCAAATATGACGACTGTAGGTCAAAGGAATCTTAAGTTATTGGGCGGACAAGCTTTTTGAAGTCAAGGCCCCTTTGACCTTGACCTTTGACCTAGTGACCTCAAAATCAATAGGGGTCATCTACTAATCATGACTAACCTCCATGCCAAATATGAAGACTAAGGGTCAAAGGAATCTTAAGTTATTGGGCGGACAAGAAAAAACCGACGGACGGCCGGACGGACGGACGGACAAGCTGATTCCAGTATACCCCCCTTACAACTTTGTTGTGCGGGGGTATAAAAATTGGCCAGCATAAGTAGTTCATATATCAGGTATCTACATTAAATATATGGTATCTTTGCTGCTCAGCTAATAACAGCTAAACAACTATGGTGAGCTGAACTTACCTGAACAGTACTGAATAGTAGTTGGATGCAGATAAACTGTCATATGAATTTTATTTTTTAAGCAAATCCACAGAGAGAATTGACTAAAGACCTCCTTGCTATAAAAGCTTCTAATTTCCGCTAAAGGAATAGCTGACATAAGCATAATGTGAAAACATGCTCTAGTGATCAATCTTAAATAAGGAACAACATACTAACCTTTTTTTATATTGTGACAATTTTGACATTCTATCATACTGTCTTCTGCAGAATTTTTAGAAGAGCACTCATCACACACCCAATGAGTTCCGTCTAAAGTATGCACTGATGAATCTGTGGTTTCACCCTCAGTGAAATGAGATGTATCGCCCTCAGTGAATTGGGAGGTATCACCTTCAGTAAATTGCGAAGTGTCGCCCTCGGTGAACTGTGAGGTATCGCCCTCGGTAAAATGAGAAGTGTCGCCCTCGGTGAACTGTGAGGTATCGCCCTCGGTAAAATGAGAAGTGTCGCCCTCGGTGAACTGTGAGGTATCGCCCTCGGTGAACTGTGAGGTATCACCCTCAGTGAACTGTGAGGTATCACCTTCCGTCAAACACGATGTTTCATTCTCAGATTCAGTGATACAGGAAGTATCTCTCTCTGTGACAAATGATGACTCGGCAAGATATGAAGAATCTGGTTCATATGATGTTTCTCCTAAATCATAGCATAGCTTTTATATAAATATCTACACAACAAATATAATGTGTTATCATAAAGGCATCCAAAGCAAAACACATATCTCATGTACATTTTTGTAAATACAGCCATATAATTATGCAGCACAAGTAAATCCATGCTGGGTACATCAAACCATTTACACATAAGGTATTAGTATGCACTCTTTACAAAAAGCTGTCAATCACCATTTATTATTTCATTGAAATTGTTTTAACATGCTGTTTATCATATGAGGTATATATACATTTCAATGAAGTTTATGGAAGAGAAAACTAAACTTAGAACCTAACCTTTTATTCAAACAGAGTTTCAAAGTTTATAAACTTAAGCTGTTGATAAGTTAGGTAATATTGTACAAAGTAAATTGTTAACAAAGGGACAAAACTCCTCTTTGTCAGGATCTGATGGAAGTTTACTGTACAACATCTTATATTGATCATTGCAATTTAAATACAGACAAAAGACTAATACTTTCAAAAGTAAATACAGAATCAATCTTTTTTACTGTGTTTATTTGTTAATACAGCAGACAAATTTCCTAAAGTTGTCACTATTTTCAACATTTAAGTGGTTATTATATTTTTTTAACACTGCATCAGAAGGAAATAAGACCTTATTATAAAGATTTAGTTCATATACCATACCTAAATCTGAACTATCCCCATATGAATCTTGCCTTGTCATTGACAACTCATGAAATGATGTCTCTGAAATTAAGAATATCAGCTGACAAACAAAAAGAAATAACACAAAGTGTAACTATAAAGTTTTATATCCGCTACCCATCCTTTGCAAAATAATTGAATTTCAAAAAAGAAAACTTTCAAAATACGTGGTCGAAACAAAACTTGCTTGTATATTTCCTTTATACCAGTGGCACATGCATGAAACTGTTGCCAAAACAGTTAAAATCCTACTAAATACAGCAGCATAATATTTTGTTCCAGAACATTTTATACGGTGTCAATTTCCTAATCCACTTCATCTTTAAACTTACTGTTATTATAATACTGATGACTAACCAAATGACCCGCGTCATGACAAACCCAACATAGTGCGTTTGCGACCAGCATGGATCTAGACCAGCCTGCGCATCCGCGCAGTCTGATCAGGATCCATGCTGTTCGCTATCAGTTTCCCTACTTGTAATTGAGTTGGTAAGCGAAGGCTGCTCTAGATCCATGCTGGTCGCAAACGCATTACGTTGGTTTTGTCGTGACGCGGCTCAAATGGTTTCATACCATACCTGCTGTGTCAGCTAGTATAGACATTTCAATCTGTGATCCAATAATAGGTGCAGCCATTCCTAATTCTATCAACATATGGTTTATAGATTTTTCACCCTCATCTCTTGAAGAAACAAAGACGTCATGAAGACCTTTCCTGTAGTTGTTTACATACAACACCAGTTTGGAATCTTCATCCATATCTATGAGAAAATAGAGAAGTTGAACAATGGTTTTATAATTTAATAAACAAAAGCCACTGCAAGGTAAGTCATATCTGCATTAATCAACTTGAGTCAGTTTCGTCATAAGGGTTGCTTTATCCAAGCATGAATTTAATCTATAAAGAAATAAATAAAGTTATCACAATTTAATTGAATGATTTGATTTTAACAAGTTATTTTAAGGTCAAGGTCAAATTATTCAACATGTCCATTATGCCATAAGTGTTGTTTTGTCAAAGAATAAATCAAATTTGTAAAGAAATAGCAAAGAAATCACAATTAAATCATAACTAGAAGGGTTTTTGTCAAAAAAACATATGACTCCCAAAACTAAGTATGGTCACTCATGGGAAGTTTCATTAAAATCCCACCAGTAGTTTGACCTGTGAAGGATGTACAAAATTTTCCTATTGTTAGCACTGGCGGCCATTTTGTGCAATGAGGTGGTGCGAAGCAAAGCTAAGCAGAATGTGCCGGTGACATGCACAACTAGGGATGGTACTGATCACTCCTGTAGAGTTTGGTTGAAATCCCACCAGTAGTTTGACCTGTGAAGGCCAGACAAGCTTAATTTTGGGAGGGAGACATAATTCAATAAATTAACTTTGATGGTCAAGGCACATCTTCATATGAAGTTTAAATTTTTTTGAGCTATGCACTTTGCTTAAATGGCCACTTTTGATGTTTTGTTACTTCAAGTCCTAATAACCTTAACCATTGACCTTTTGAGTTGAAAATTGGTAAGGCAGGTATAGCTCATCAAGGGGCATGTACACATTTACATACAATGTTTCAAAAGCAATATAATTTATAAGACAGTTTAATATTTTCTTATTACAAGTACAACTGACCTTGACCTTTGACATTCTGTAGATGCACTTTCATGAGTTCTACATGCAACACCCATTTACAGGTAAAAAATATGCCAATTAATTACCATAATAGACGCAGGACAATGAGCAAGTAATCACATACAACAACTTTTAGAATAATCTTTGTGTTTTTACTTGTTTAGTAAGGGAATTCAATAAGTAAACTTACAATGCTCTGCTATGAATTCGTAGCATTCATCAGTCCAATCTTCATCAATAGGTTCTATCTCATCCAGGTGACAGATAACAGCTTGTGCTGGTAATTTCATCAATGTGTCTGGTATTGGTCGAATATTGGTAGCGAGTAGCTCAAATGTAGAACCATAATCCACAAGGAACACCTATTTAAAAATATATCCAAGTTCATGATTTATCTGTAGGTGTAGCTCTAGATTGCACATCTCTGTGCAGAATTTCTTTTTATGTCATTTAAAGCCTATTTCTATTCTTAAGCCCGGAAGCAATCTTGTTTACCCAAATGAAACAGTTGAAGCTTATCCTTTGAAGCAGTACCCAATTATCATTGTTATCCATTTTTGTTTAAATTTACACAATGGTAATGGTGTTAATATCATTCAGAGCTTTTTTATTTTATTTTTAAGCTGTCATGTTTAAAAGACAGTAACAAATTTAGCTTTCATTAAAATCTACAACCAACTGCTGAGAAGATGAAAATCATGTTATTAACTCGACTTATTTCTAATTAAATTTCAGCTCTTCTTCAACAGACCTGAATAATAATGGCTATTTTTTTAAGGACTGAACAAAAGAGCATTTGTTTAGAGATTCATCGTAATCAGAAATTTATTTTAGTATTAACCAATAAAGACTCTCCCTATTTTCAAGAACTTATAAACCTTAAACAAACCTTGCATGTTCGGGAGACTTCGTCACCTTCTGATTTCTGACAACTGCTTCTAATATTTGCTCTCTTCCATTTACCATCTACAGCACATTTGGCAAGACATGGCCCTTCTGTTAAATTATCTCCCTTTTCGCTTGTGTCATCATCAGCAACAGTTTCTGATATAGCCTTTTCTATCTCCTTCATAGCTGATATACCATCAACAGTATGAAATACCAATCTGTTTAAATCACTACTGTCTATCAACACTGAATCATAGTCTGTATCTACATCTAACTGGACATTCTTAAATGCACCAAAGTTTTCTGATACATCAATTTGATCATCTAACACAGATGTATCAACAGTCTTGTCAAACTCTGCTACACCTTTTCCAACTAGAGATTCGGCAATATCTTTTCTATCAATAGTCAATTCAACAAGGATTTTCCCATCTGTTTCTGTCACTATAACTATAGTGGCTTTAGCTGAAGCTGGTAGTTCTGTTTGATCACTTAGTTCTAGCAACGTATCTTTAAAAACCTTTTGCACATTTTGAGTATCAGAATCTATCGGAATCAACCCAGGGAATGAGCAACAGAAAGCTAGCTGCGGGTAAGTATCACATTCAGACTTTAATTTAAATACACTAGATTGAGGCACTATGACATTGTCTCCAACATCTACAAGTTTGACATTCACTCCATCATCACTCTCGTCAACAACTGTACCTCTAAGGTAGTCTTTATCATTGACATAAACAGCACATTTTACACCTGTAAACCAAACAATAATCTCACATGTATAAATAATATTGGTATGTGGTCACCCATGAATCATTTCTGTGAAATAATTACAAAATCAAACAAAACATCAATTTTTTAAACAAGATTTTTAAAGTTTTCCATTAATACAATGTACATATAGGGGGAACCACATCCCTGTGCTGACAAGAAATACTCAGCTATTTCCGTCACAGACTTCTCTAGAATCATTCCTTTGTCATTCCATTATGAGCTACACAGCAAACAGCAGATGAAGCTTTTGTTTAAAGCTTATTTCTATTTTCTTTCACCCTTGTGGTAATCTTGATCAGCAGTCTTGCTATTTTGTACAGTATCATGAAACAATCAAAACTTCAAAACCTGCCTAATTGTAAGATGTCTTTATATTTTTTGGGTTTTTTTCGTTTTTTTTTGGTGGGGCTTTAAGTCCAATGATGTGGTGATCATATGGCGATTTTCCAGCATCATTTCAGGCAAGGGCAGCACCTTAGTAGAACCACCAATGTTTAAAAACTACCTGGATACCTTCCTCGTGTAATACAATGGCAGAATTCAAACCAAGTGGTTATGGAAATTGGTTGGAAGTCAATGGCCAAAACCACTCAGTGCTATTGTATGTTTTGAATGCCATTATTTTCAATAAACACATTAAGTTTAATCAAACGCATGCTATTAACTATACCTTTACAAATATCAACAAGTTGTTCTCTATTATCACTGTAACTCTCCTGTAGTTTATCTTGATAAAACTCATACGAGTTGTCTTGTAAGCGACACCAGAACTCATCTAGGCTGGTGATGGATGTAACCAACACATTATGGGTAGATATGGTAGGATCATCTTCACACAAATCTCTCAACAAGTATCTGTCACAATGAAAATAACACTTTAATAATAAGGGATATAAATTAACTCTAAAATTCAGTTAGTAAATGAGTCAGGTTCACATAACTTTCGTAATAAAGTAGCCCAGCTTGAGATATTTAATCTTCTTTTTTTTCTGGATGATTGTTAAGTTGGAACTGATAAACATATAAATAATACCTAAACAGTATTTTACTTTTCAATTTTAATTGGATTTTATGTTGCATCAAAAACACTATAAAGGTCATATGGTGATTATCTGGCATTACTGGATCAGGAAGACCTAATGTGCCTCTCTGTGCATTATTTCAGACACAAACAGGCACCCAAGTAGAATCACCAAGGCTTCGTAAGCTAGCTTGATAGTTGCCTCACATGAAAAAATCTGGATGAGATTTGAACCAATAAACATATAGGCAAGTGGTTTGAAGTCAACAACATCACACTCCACAACAGACACCTACCTGCAACAAGTTTCAATTCTGAAAGAAACTTTTTTTACTATTCTATGCTAAAAATACATGTATGATGAAGCAACGTATTGGCTTACCCGTACTGTCCAAGTGTTTTAGAAGATTTAGCAGAATACAGTCTAGTGATGACATTATCGTTGGTATCTGGAGTAAACACTTGCTTCACTTTGGTGCTCACAGCCACAGGTGTAGCCATGTTTACACCTATATTTCTCTGTATCAACTGGTCACCTACAGACATTCCCATATCTAATAGTTGAACCTTGAACACACCTTCCTCATCAACATCTCCTACATCTAGTATCAGTACTCTACAAATATAACAAGCATTTGATAGTATTGCAGGCAATACAGTAGTCCCCTACCGGTCCCTCAAAAAGTTCTTTAATTGTCATACACTCCTGTGTATTGCCATTTATAATGAATTTGAGGATGAAGTCTGTATTTGAAAATATCGACCACAAAACATAATAAAATAAGTTTGTCTATATCACAGTAATGTGTTAAGTTTCCATGCTTAGTAAGGAAATTATGTTTATACAACATTGTCATATTATTACGATGTGGGATTTTAAAGTAAATCCTATAAGGAATGAAGAAGTTGGAGTGAAAATACCAGTTTCTCGAAAAAAATCTAAGTTCAAGGGGGACATAATTCTGGAAATAGTCTTGCTAGATTATTTAACCTTCTCAAAAATGATTCGAGTGATAATAAGAAATATATATATATGAAGTTTGAAGTAGATACATTAGGAAATAAAGAAGTTATTTAAAAAAAGACAACATTTTTTCCCTAAAAAATCTAAGTTCAAGGAGGGTAATACTGATATTTTTTGTGCTAGAGTTATAAACCTTGTCACATATGATGTGGTTGATGACCAGAAACTTATATTTAAAGTTTGAAGTAAACACCTTAAGAAATAAAGAACATATAGTGAAAAAGCTGAAAAATTTAAATCAGAAATCTTGAAATTCAGGCTATTTGTTGCCATAGCAACCAGAATTTTCAACATAAGAAGAAAAAAAAAAAAGATGTGCATAATCTCCAGACTGCCATCTACCCATATTTCAAGTTTCATAAAAATATTTTCAGTACTTTTTGAGTTATCACTGGATCCAGTTTATGTGTTAAATTTGCCATATTTTCAGACTATTTGTTGCCATAGCAACCAGAATTTTCAACATAGGAAGAAAAAAAAAGACGTGCATAATCTCCATACTGCCATCTATCCATATATCAAGTTTCATAAAAATATTTTCAGTACTTTTTGCGTTATCGCGGGATCCAGTTTTGTGCACGGACGGACTGACGGACAGACGGACGGAGGGTAAACCTAAAGTCCCCTCCGGTTAAACCGGTAGGGGAATAATAATGCACAATACATATTGATTTGTTACATACAATGTAGTACCTTGACATATTATATCTTAATTCCCAGGAATTTACAGTCTTAAAAATTCAACAGTATATGTATCGTGTTCAGACAGTAAGTCTGTACTTGTGAATCATTACGCCTATCTTATCTCATTAACTTCTTATTCTGCCTGTATTTGCTTATTTTTTTGTCGTCATTTTTCCAAAATGCATAAAAGGACAGAGATTTACAAGTTAACTTTTTTGTCAATCCATAATCCTGTTACTAAATAGTAATCCAATTTGTTCATGTATGCAAGTATGTAATTAGTGATATAAAACATTTTCAAAACAAGACAGAATATAAATCCTTAAAATAACATTAGAGTCATTTCATAAATTATCTTGCAGAGTAGAATTATTACATACTTATCAGCTGTGAGCTCTGCAAATACTTCCTTCACTTCATCATTCCAAACTTTCTCACATGGTTCAACACCTCCAAGACAACATTCTATACCCTGTAATATCATACAATAACATTTATACCTTAATAAGCAATGTAAAATCATACATTTTATAAATCAAACAATGTCTGCATTTCTTTCCATATGTTGAAATCTTCAAAACACCTTTCTCTAAATTACAAATGGTGACTACACAGGAAACAAGTGATTATTCTATGGGTTATGACCACAAATGAAATTGTCCAACTTCAAGTAAGTTATTGTTACATGTTTATTATTCATATTCAATTCCTTATTTTAGAAACCTATAAATACTGCATGCATGTAATGTCAGTTTCACATGGACAACTTAGGATGTTTCTATAATCCTGTAAATTCAAGTATTGTTCATTTTCCTTAAACAACAGAATTGTGCAGCATAATGAATTGTTTCAAGATCTTTTACATTGTTTTTAAACAATCAACAATTAAGTATATATAACCCTCAAATGACTTGGGTTATATAACTTACAACCATTTATACTGGGCCATATTTCCTGTTAAAATTATTTATAATAAGAATGAATAATAGGAACTGACATTTGTAAATGGTCCAAACTTAATCTTTAAATAATTATGATCAATTGGAATTTAAAAGCTAAATTAAATGACAATAACTTTAAATTGCAAGCAATAAAAAAAGAAATTACCTGTATTGGTAAACTTGCAAATTGTGTTGGAAGTTTGCGTAGAGATTTTCTAGGTATCACCTCAGTGTTTCCATGGTCGATGAATGTAACTTTCACTTGTTCCTTGTTCTCACAGCTTACGACACGCGCTCGGTACCAGGATTCATCCTCGTCAAATAATGCAGCAACTAACATGTCTTTTTCTACAGATTCTACAGCTAATCTCTCGTCCTCACATACATTATAAAAGTCAAACATTGTATTGAGTAAACTATCAAGTTTGTTGTTTTCACTCTCCTTATGCACCCAGAATTTTGATGGGGACTCTGAATGGCCAACCAACACATTTAGTCTTTGTCCAATGGTAAGTGTCTCACTGTTTAAAGCACATACTTTGTCAGTAATAGCATCCATGTTAATGTCTGGTACAACAACGTCATCCTCTGTGTTTGCTGGAACATCGTCAGCATCTGAAATAATGTCATTATCTCCCTCTGTTGGTACACTTTCATCTATTTTGTTTGTTGAACTATCATCATCTTTATTTTTAGTAACATCATCACCCTCTGTGTCTTTTGAAATGTTTTCAACATCTGTGTTAGTTGGAACATCCTTACCCTCTGTATTTGATGAAACATTGTCACCTTTGGAGTCTGTTTGAACATATATATACTTTATTAATAAAACACATAAATTATCCAGTAAAACATAATTATGATTTGCATATATTTCCCCACAATAAAGCAGTACTTAATTTTAGGACTATAGTCAACAGTTACTATTTCTGGCACATTATACCATCATCTTTTCAACAAGTATATTTTTCTTTATTTTGTTTTAAATGGCATTAAAGGCCCTCTGCATTGCCAATATTAGCAACAATGCCCAACTTAGCAAAAGGTTATGCAAAATATATGTACAAAACAACTCAAATATAATATTTAACATCTAGATTCAAATGTCAAATCATATACAACCCTCTTCTGTAGACAATTAAACAAACTGAAATTTACTTTTTAATTATGATTTCCTACCTTTATATACTTTTTGTGTAATGTCTAAATTTTTTATCAAAGTCATAAAATAGTGTTCCACATATCCACTTTTAAGTGTTTAACACTGAATAAAACTTAACTATTTAAATGGTCATTCTCAATTTCATATAAATGGATGAATAAATGTTTGTCGTACTATTAGAACCACACTATGACAAATTCAAGCATTTAAAAAAAAAACAATTAAAAAGGAATACAAACCAGTAACTTCGTTTTCTGTTTGTTCTTCTGTTACCTCGCCTTGCTGACTCTCATCAGTATTGACAATCAGCTGACCAATGTCTTGTTGGTTCTCATCTTCTAACTGAATTTCATATTCTGGGGCAGTTGTAATGAATGTGACAGTCAACTCTTTGTCCGCTGTAACATCTTTCAGTAAATCTATTTGACTGCTCTTCAGTTTCTTCAGTCCACGCAGGGTGCAAGCATAGGCAAGCGGTGGTGTCACCTGATGATCTTCCGGTAAAGCTCTCAAATCACTTGCTTGCTGCACATCATCACAGTTCCCATAGTCTACAAACCTAACTTTAACCAAATTGTCCCTGGTACTTATCACTACAGCTCTGTACCAGCTTTCGTCTTCGGAAAATTTCACACATACCAAGTCCCCTTTTTTTACTGATTCAAGGTCTAGTGGCTTGTTAGAATGTAAAGTTTGTACCTTCTCCACCTCAGCATTCAGTGTATCTTCCTCACACGCAAGTTGTACATATAAACTTCCACTCTCATCTACATGTGACACATAGCATGACACACTATCAGCTGGCACTGACTGTGGTGTAAACTGACCTTTCTGTTTACTAGGAGACACCTGTTCAGTTATTTTACTACAGTAACCTTTTTCTACAAGGCTGTCAACTACATCTGTACCATCCAATTTCAAACAAACATTATTGCCAGCCACAAATTCACACTGAAGTACTTTCTCTGATGTTTGAGTTTCAAAGAAAACCCCGGATTCCTCAGACCAATCTCCTTCTGGTTTTACTTTGTATAATTGACATCTAACAGCAAATGGTGTTGCTGCCATAAACTCTTCTTTCAGTTCTCTTATATTTGCTAGGGAAGTTTCCTCCATATTTCCATAATCTATAAATAGAACATTAATTTTAGCACCTTCAATACAAGTAACTTCAGCTCTATACCAAGCTTCATCTTCTGAATATTTAGCACATACAGCTTGACCGTTTGACACAGAGTCCATCATAAGATCATCTCCTGAAGACTCGTAAAATTGCACCAACTTTTCCATCACCTGATTAAGCTTTTCTTCAAGGTCTACTTGTTGAACATAGAAATCTCCAGGAGAGTTTACATGACTCACATAAACGTCTACTGGCTGTTCAGGGAAGGTCTCCTTTTTGTATACTAAAGGTTTAACTTGTTTCTTAGCAATTGCCCTAACACTTCCTTCAACTATCTTAGCTAGTCCACTATCTACTAAGGCTTCAGCTATATCAGTAGTTCCACATTTTATTATCACCTCTGATCCTTTAACCACTTCACAAAGTAAATCTTTTCCTACAGCCAAGTCTTCAAACTTCTTAATAGATTCCTCACACCATTTACCATTGACTGGAACAATACCTTCAAGGCTACATTTTAGCACAAATGGTGCTGCCTGAACTAATCTTTCTGTTATGGACCTTATTTCATCAATTGTGGTTTTTTCAGAGTTCCCATAGTCTACAAATTCAACAGTACAGTTTTTCCCTGTAATTTCAACAATTTTAGCCCTGTACCAACAACCATCATCAGCAAACTTAGCACAACACGCTTGTCCAACTTGAGGTGCTGAAATACGTTCAGCTTCTGCAGATTGACAGAAGTCTGACAGATCAGCCATCAGGTCATTTAGCAGCTTTTCCTTGTCAGCTTGCTGAACATAAAACTCTCCTGCATCAATTATCTGAGTAACAAACACCATAGTGGGCTCACATGGCATCACTGTCTTGGGATAAGACAAAACATTTGACCCTGATTTTGATACTGTGCTTGCTGGTTTAACAGGAACTGGTGTGGTTGATCCTGGTTCTGTCAAACCCAATTCTTCACCGATGTCCTTCCCAGAAGGTAAAGTCAGGCATACAACAGCACTGTTGTCCAATATATCAACAACTGTAGCTTGGACCTCTTCCTCACCAATCAATTCTTTAAATTTTGCTGTCAACTGATTACTTGCTTTGCTTGCATTAACAAGCTCACACTCAACTGCCTGAGGAGGTAATTGTATTAATTCTTCTGTCAGTTCACAAACATCTGTCTTTGAGACTTTCTCAGTGTTACCATAGTCTACAAACAAAACCTCTACAGTGTCAGGATAAGCTGCTGTTACTTTAGCTCTGTACCAGACATCATCTTCACTAAACTTTGCAGCACAGGCCATGTCCATGGGAAAATCTTGAATTCCAGTGCCTGACTGACAATGGACTTCCAACTGAGCCATTAAATCTTCTAACTGAACTGCAGATCTAGCAGGCTGGCACCAAAAACTTGCCACAGAGTCAGTGTATGAAATAAACACACCTTCTGTTGTACCAACACTAAGCAGCATTTCATTGCTATATGTGAGAATACCTACAGATGACTTTGATGATCCAGCTTTAACATTTGGTGAACTCTCTTTTATCCCTCTAACAACAGCTGTTTGAATCAGCTCTTGTGCAACATCTAGTTCTTTTGATACTAATTCAACTGCTGCACATCCATTCGATATATCTACCACTTTACATTTCACTACCTCATCTTTCACCAATCCATCCATAATATCCCTAGCATCAGCAGTCCACTGTCCAGCTTGTAATGGTCTTACTCCAACAAGCTTACATTGCGCTGCATAAGAACTTTCCTTCAAAAGTTCATCTGAAAGACCACGTATTGCCTCTTTCCCAACCACATCAGAGTTACCATAGTCAGTAAAGCGAACTTTAAATTGACCAGCTGAAACATTCTCAATATAACCTCTGTACCATGCTTCATCTTCAGAGAATTGGGCAACAACAGCTTGTCCCGTAATAATGGAGTCTACATTCATACCTGTTCCAGCACCACTTGTATACAGCTCCTGTACTTTTTCCACAAACTCTGTCAATTCGTTTTCTTTACTGACTGGTTGAATCCAGAACATTGCAGGGTTTTCGATCCATGATATATATACATCAATTTCCTGTCCAGCCTGTATACAAGCTAGTGGATATGGGTTCTTAACAATCTGCTGCTTAAACTGGCGATGTTCTAAACTCTTTTTTAAAAGTCCTTTTTCAAACATGGGTTTCCCGCAATATTTTTTTTTCCCTTCATAAAGTTTTTCAAGATAAAGCAAAGGGGTAAAGTCAAAACCCTTCTGTGTTTATTTTTAGCACAAGATTTTTTATTTTGGGGCCATCCCCCTTTTAAAAATCTTCAAGGGATTTTTGGTGTCCATTTTTAATCTTTTGAAATAATTTTAAATTGCGACTTTTTACCCCTTGTATTTTTAAAGTCATAAATTTCTGGCTTCAACTTTTTTAAACTTGCTCTTTTTGAAAAGGGTTCTCTTATTTCCATTAATCAAAAACGGGGCCCCTCTACATTTGACTGGATGGAGAAAGGTATGGCGGGGTTACCACATGGGGGTTTCAAAAAAAAATTTTAGCAGCAAAAAGGCACCCCCAATCTCGGGGGTTGCCTAGTCAAATTCCCATTTTTTCGACACAAAAAATTGAAAAAATGGGGTTCATATCTTCCTTTAAGTTTTTTCCAGATTTGGAAAAGTTTTTATTACCTGAAAAAAAAACTGTTAAAGGGTTTCCCATACCTACAAGCCCATAAAAATTTGGGTTTCTTTTGTACCCATTTTTAAAGAAACAATTCTGAAACCTTTGGGCCCAAACCTTGTGTTACTGGCCCCATCTCCAGCTGGATTTGGGGTACCTGTTTGGGTCACGGGGGCTCCCCTCTGCCCCCCAGGGTCCCCCAACCACCACATCTGTCTTCTTCGTTTTTACGTAAACCACTTCCCCCATTTTTTCTCAGAAAACCTTGCCCCCAAACCCCATTTTCTTGAACCAAAACCCCTCCTCCAAAAAATTCCAGGGCACCCCCAAACCCACCCCACGAGATGATCGTAATACCTTTCCCCCCCCCCTCGGGAAAACCAAATCCCCCACTAAAACGGGTTTTTTACTTGAACATCACCCAGTTTTCGGGATAAATTTCTTTTGCCCTGGCCCCCAACCCCCCCAACCCTTTTTTCCCAAACCCGCCATTTGGATCTGCCCACTGCCTCCCCCAAAATTTTTTCTGGGCCCCCGGTTTTCCCTTTGGGAAAATTTTTAAAATAATTCCCTTTGATTATTAAAAATTTAAATACATATCTTCATTTTATAACTTTTTTTAAAATGAAGGACAAAATAGCAAATATTACAGGGTTTTTCCCTTTTCACTAACTTCTCTTTTTTTAAAAACATATTTTTCCATTCATTTTAAAGACAAATGTGGAAAAATAAAATTACAAAAACCAAACACATTTGTTTCTGGTATTCTAATAGCAGAACGATCATCCCACATTTAACTTATTTGTGGGCTTACAGGTCTGTCTCCTTAGGTCATTTGAATATGCACAACTTTTTTCTATTTAAACTATTTAGAAATAAGCAGAAATATTGTTTTGTGGACAAGTTCAATTTTAGCCATCATGCACTACCACAAAAATATCAATCCTTTAAAATAAGATCATCATATTAGCCTAGCATAAAAGACTGGTTAACAAGAATCATCAAAATTGGTTTTAATTTTTGATCTAAACCAAAGGAAATTTATTTTGGAAATGTTGTATAAAAGATAGTTAAACTTTAGGGGGGAAGGGGGGGGGCCCCCAGCAAATTTGGGTCTATCTTAAAAATTAAATTTAAAGGGCTGTTCTAAAATCATCCCTTTTTAAGTTAAAAATCAATAAAAATTTATGTTGCTTATTTGTCACGATCAAATTCCTTGCAAGTATGTCAAGAATCTTTATAGATAAAAGAATACATACCTTTAGGTGGGTTAGTACAATCTCTAGCCATGTGTCCACTTTCTCCACATTTATAACAATCTCTGCCACCACCACCTCCACCAGCTGAAACATTAAACGTAGTTGGACTTGAAATGCTTAATCAACAATAATTCAACTCAAGCAATGAGCACCTGTATCAAAGCAATGAACAAATGTATCAAAGCAATGAACAAATGCATCAAAGCAATGAACACATGCATCAAAGCAATGAACACCTGCATCGAAGCAATGAATACATGTATCATAGCAATGAACACATGCATCAAAGCAATGAACACCTGCATCGAAGCAATGAATACATGTATCATAGCAATGAACAAATGCATCAAAGCAATGAACAAATGCATCAAAGCAATGAACAAATGTATCAAAGCAATGAACAAATGTATCAAAGCAATGAACAAATGTATCAAAGCAATGAACAAATGCATCAAAGCAATGAACACCTGTATCAAAGCAAAGACCACATGTATCAAAGCAATGAACAAATGCATCAAAGCAATGAACAAATGCATCAAAGCAATGAACACATGCATCAAAGCAATGAACACATGTTTCAAAGCAATTAACACCTGTGTCAAAACAATTAACACCTGTGTCAAAGCAATTAACACCTGTGTCAAAGCAATTAACACCTGTGTCAAAGCAATCACCTGTATAAAAGCAATGAACAAATGTTTAAAAGCAATGAACACATGTATCAAAGCAATAAACACATGTATCAAAGCAATGAACACCTGAATTAAAGCACATACATCAAAGCAATGAATTTATACATCAACACAATGAACACAGCAATGAACACATACATCAACGGAATGAACACATACATCAACACAATGAACACATATATCAAAGCAATGAATACATATATAAAAGCAATGAATATGCTCGAAGTGAAACATGTCATGTCCTTAAAGTCATTGTATCCAGTGATGAGTAAACCCAGGTTTGTTTGAAATATGGGATCAGGTAGAGCTTTAAAGTTCTAAGAGACTGTACTCCTTTGGCCACAATTCACAACACACATGTTTCATAAATACAAATTTTTAAACAGTAAAGTTTCTGTTGATAGAATGATTCTTGTGTAACAAACATATGTGAACAAAAATAATCATTTCTTATGATATTCACCTTCCAGCTATGTTCGTAAATGACACAGCATTTTTGCAGAGTAATTTAGAAATCCATCGAGAACCAACACTGAAATGTATGGACATGGACCAGAAAATATTTTGTTAACATACTGACATACATGACAAGACGAGCAAACAAACAATACCTTTAGGTGGGTTAGTACAATCTCTAGCCATGTGTCCACTCTCTCCACATTTATAACAATCTCTGCCACCACCACCTCCACCAGCTGAAATATAGAGTCATCAATATTAGATCTTGGAAAAGAAATGGACCATATTTTTCTAGGGTTCTTTGGAGGGATTTTTAACATTGCCTTTAACACATTTATTTGTTATCATATCTTACTGTTGGGCCACCTAACCGCAGTTCCTTGGTAACTAGCCAGTAACTACCAATTTCTTCATTATGGCCTGCCTACTAACCAACATCATTTTATTGGTGAGATAAGTTACCATTACACTAAATGTCAGTGATCAATTGTCTACACAGAGCGTGTTGACACCTTGATAAGAAACCGATGCTCTACCTATTGAGCTGCAAACTTCTTTTGTAATGAAAATAATGTTGTTAGAACATCGAAAATACCATACTTTGCATGACCTTCAACTTGAAGCAATTTTTTTTGCAAACGACCTATCATTTCAGGATAGTCAACATTTTTGTACTGTAATCAAGGACATGGATCAGACAATATTCTGTTAACATATATGATAGGAAATACAAACAATACCTTTAGGTGGGTTAGTACAATCTCTAGCCATGTGTCCACTTTCTCCACATTTATAACATTCTCTGCCACCACCACCTCCACCAGCTGAAAAACATATTTACTAAATTATACACATATAAGAAAATTTATAACCCCCTCCCATTGCTGGGCAGGGCTAACTTTGACCCAAGGGCTGTAACTTAAACTCAGTAAAGGTTTACCTGCTAAATATCTAAGCCCTAGCATTTGAGTGTTTAGAGAGAGATTTAAGGAAAATCCATTAAAATCTGGGTGGTGTCAATTTTGAAATTAAATATCATTTGAATAAACTGTGGACAACAGAGCAGACAATAGACAGCCAATGATCCTAATAGTTCATGCCATCACTGCCTGACAGGTGTACTAAAAAGCGAGAAAATGTTAAGCATTGAATGCTCAAACAGAATACTCAGCTCTCAGAAAGGTATTCCTTCTTTAATTAGGAATTTTTAAATGCTACTTTCCCATAAAAATAAATTTTGCTTGAAATTTAATGTCTTTTCGTAACATGTGTATAGCAGAAAAACTTAAATTGTATACTTTCTGCTCTGCTGTAACAATTGGTTGAATTTAAAGATATGTATACCTTTTGGTGGATTTGTACAATCTCTTGCCATATGTCCAGATTCTCCACACTTGAAACAGTCTCTGCCTCCGCCACCACCTGTATTACCAACATCAACATGTCAATTACTTATAGCAGGGCAGCAATTTCTAACTAACCTTCATTTATTTGTTTGTTTAATTGGGTTTTATGTCACACCAACACATTATAAGTCATATGGCGGCATTCCAGCTTTACTGGTGGACGAAGACCTCAGGTGCCCTTCCAAACATTATTTCAGACAAGAACGGGCACCTGAGTAGAACCGACATTAAGCTAGCTGGATAGCCTCCTCACATGAAAGAATCAAAAGTCTCTGTCGGATTCGAACCCACAGCAGGGAGGGGTAAGTGGTTTGAAGTCAATGATCTTAACCACTAGGCCACAGACACCCCAACCTTCATTTATTATCATATTCATTTTTGTTTTACACAAGCTTTCCTTTCAAAATGCTATGTTAAGGATAAAGCCCAAAACTGGATTTCATCCATAGACCCGACATTCTTTCAGGGTCCTTAATTTTTTTAGAGATAATTCAAAATGTACTCGTTAGCATAACAGATGAAATTTATGGCTTAACCACTAACAAATAAGTTTAAGAAAGTCAATACCTAAAATTCTCAGTACACCGTATCCCTACCTAAACTGAAAATATAGTCCAGTCCCAACCATGTCCTTTTTTTTTTTCCTGAGTTTTTACTGTATTTGTGAGTAATTATCAACCTTTCAGCACAATAATTAATATTTAACATGTAACAAGTGAGGATTACCTTTAGGTGGGTTAGTACAATCTCTAGCCATGTGTCCACTCTCTCCACATTTATAACAATCTCTGCCACCACCTATATAAACAGTGTTAGTACAGTTAGGTTTAACGGGGGGAGATGTTTTGACCATGCAATCGTTAAATATATATTGTTGGGCTTAAATAATTTCACAAAATAGATTAGATTTAGGAAAACACATGATGGTGAGGATTAAACTTAGTTAGTAGTCACCACTTACTAAACTGCAGAATGAGGATAGATGGGATTCAATAATGCAAATATCTGTACCTCAGTAACCCTTAAATTGTAAGTATTAGTAATCAGTAAAGAGGCCCTCACAAGGTTACTGTATTTGATATACCTAAGATATTGGTCAACTTAGGCAACGATAAAAAGTTCCAAATGGAAGCTTTTAATTAATTTGAAATTTAGTAGCATGCAAAACAGGATTTATGCTGACACCAATACCAACAACAGAATAATTCAAATAACTTTTGTTCAAAAAGTGCAAACCATTCATGCATGCAAACAGTATCTTAAGTGACAATACCTTTTGCGGCATTCGGGCATTCTCTCGAGAAGTGTCCAGATTCTCCACATTTGAAACAATCTTTACCTCCACCACCACCTTCAAATTCAATATATAATACCATTCACATCAAAAATATCGATTTTTAATAAAATCATGTGGCTCTACTGTAATATTTCTTTTGCAACTAGATTTTAACTTTTTTAAACCAAGATGAGCCATATTTTAACACAATTTAGAAATGACCTTACAGTACCAGCAACTTTCACAAAGACTTATCATCTTTAGACTATTAATAAGTTTTAACCTTTTAAAACAATGAACACTGCAACAGCTTACATCAATACATGATCAAATATTGTGATTTTCAAAATGTATCCGTATTTGTTATTCTTGTTTGAACATTGATTTCAACATATTTTATTGGTCATACATGTATCTCAGCAAGCATAATCTGTTTTCCTAGATACCTATCAAAGGTGTATTAAAACATGCAAGTTCTTACAAGTTATTCTTAAAAATATTCTATAATAAATGTAAATGCTAACAAAATTTTCAAGCCCAAAAGGGTCAATTTTTCAACTATCCTCTTATTACATTTATCTGAGCAAGTATGTTTGTCCACATCTTATACTTCTTGGCAAAGAAATTGTATTCCTTAACCTGCTATTATTCAAACGCGATAGCCTTTGCCACCAGTATAGTGCCAGGCAAGTTTGAACAACTGCGCTCTCTAAACATGCTCTATACTATTTGGTAGCTCATTTTTTGTATTTTTACATTAGAATCCTGAAGACTTGAAATGGACAGTTCAAAATTCAGCAGCTTAAAGCTTAATTCAGATAATAAACAGTAACTTGTTTTATATAATTTCAATTTATATAATACATGATGTCGTAAGACAACAACTTCTTTTGGCAATTGCACATAATTCAAGAATAACTAATTTATTAAATGAAAATTTAACTACCTGCACTGGATCCAAAACCACTAGACTTCCCAAATCCACTGCCCCCACTACTGCTCCCAAATCCACCTCCACCACCACTGCTTCCAAAGCCACCTCCACCACCACTGCTTCCAAAGCCACCTCCTCCCCTACCACTGCTTCCAAATCCACTTCCACCCCCACCGTTGCTCCCAAATCCATCTCCACCACTACTTCCAAATGGTTTTTTGCTCCCAAAACCAGATGATGATCCACCAGTGTCATTATCATCCCAGCCACCATCCCTTCCGCCTGAACTCTGTTTATTCCCGAAACCACTAGACCTCGATCCAAACCCACTAGATCCACCACTTGGCTGCCTGCCTGAACCAAAAGATCTGGCTTTGCCACCAAAACCAGAGTTTCCACCATCTTCCCAATTAGAATCTTCCTCGCCTCCAGCAACCTGTGGAAATTTTACCTTTGTCTTTATAACATGTCTAGTTTACTGCAAACAATGGTTTACAAAAAGACTAGAGCAGTCACAGGAGTGACAAATACCCCCACCATCTCTATGACACAGGATATTGAATGTAGGTCCATTTATCATTATATTTCAAGGCAAAGTTAACATTTGCCCCGAGTTTAAAATAGTTACTCCTAGTAGTTAAGCAAATGCACAAATGCAACAAGTAAATCCAATTTAGTTCCCCTCAATGGAAAGGGTATATTAAGTCCACAACAAAAGTAAAATTAATACTTACCAAGACATTGTACATGTATACTTACAACAAATTAATTTTACTATCATCAGGAAAATGCAAAGAAATGAAAAGAATATAAAAGAATAAATAATGTAGTCCTTTAATGTACCTTGAAATGGACACCAATGAAATATTTACAAGAATTGAAGTTTTGTCTCAATTCCAAAGTAATGTTTGTACAGTACAACCTTTTCCAAGCAACCCCTTTAGAGACACAAAGATTTTAGTTTCCAAGATGCCTTGCTCTGAGATGTTAAGTCTCATTTTGAGAAGAATTTATACTAAATTACTGATTATGTCAGAGGTTATTGCTCTACAAAGGGTAGCTCTAAAGAGGTTGCACTGTACTCACATTTAAAGTGGGGTGACTCAAATTTTCAGAGTAAATATCAAGTTAACCTGTTTTTGAAAAGATTCTAACACTCGGGAAACATATTCTTTTGTTTACAAACCAAAGGTATGAAATGACATAATGAAAACCTACCGTGACTTTGATGGACTGTCCGAATTTTCCAGCAGAGACTGATCTGGAACAGGGACCACTGTCTTCCTCAGAACAGGTTGTGCCAGTCATTGTCCCAAATTTCTGGTTTATATTATTGCCTTTCTTGTCAACAAGTTCCACTTTATACATAGTTTGTCCCTGTTCATGAAGCTCAGCTTTAAATGTTGCCATAAACGATTGTTCCTCAACCATTTCTGTGAATTGTACAATGTGTTCCGGGGACCAAAAGCCCTGTGATGATGACACACCTATAATAAAACAAAAGCTCCACTAAGGCAGGGCACTCAATAACATGTTGATTGCAACTTAATCTGTATCTTAATATAATATAGTAGGGCATAACTCTATCAATAACAAGCAATTATCATAGTATTGCAAGCAATCCACAAGTTCCCTACCGGTTAGAACCCCAGCAACATTCTGAAGGACCATTGGCAATTCACGTATGTTTCTATTTTAAGTAAATTTGTTGAAAAAGTTCTTTAAAAGTGATCACAGGAAACAGTTTTTATGTACAGACAGACGGACTGAAGGACACTCTACAGTTATTTTTTAAACATCCCTTTTATCAAAATATAACATTTTTAAAAGCAAAATTTTTAAAAAGAGTTTAAGGAGGAGATAATTCTGGAAATATGGATGCTAGATTTATAAACCTCGTCATATTATGATGTGGGAGTTTGAAGAAAATCCTATCATGATTGAAGAAATTGGAGTAAAAATTACCAATTTCTCGAAAAAAATTTCTTGAAAAAAAGTCTAAGTTCAAAAGGGGCATAATTCTGGAAATAGTCTTGCTAGAGTATTCAACTTTCTCACAAATGTCGAGTGATAATAAGAAACATATATATGAAGTTTGAAGTAGATACATTCAGAAAAAAAGAAGTTATTAAAAAAAACAATATTTTTTTCATGAAAATTTTAAGTTCAAGGGAGGTAATTCTGATAAATTTTGTGCTAAGAGTTGTAAACTTTGTCCCATATGATGTGGTTGATGACTAGCAACTTATATTTAAAGTTTGAAGAAAATACCTTAAGAAATAAAGAACTTATAGTGAAAAAACTTAAAAACTAGAATCAGAAATCTTGAAATTCAGTCTATTTGTTGTCATAGCAACCAGAATTTTCAACATAGGAAGAAAAGAAAAAGACGTGCATAATCTCCATACTGCCATCTATCCATATATCAAGTTTCATAAAAATATTTTCAGTACTTTTTGCGTTATCGCGGGATCCAGTTTTGTGGACGGAAGGACAGACTGACGTACAGACAGACGGACGGAGGGTAAACCTAAAGTCCCCTCTGGTCCCCACTCTTTTGAAATTTCCCATAGAAGTTGGAACAAAATTAAATGATGGTGTTGAATTAAGGTCTTTTACTGCCTTATTAGTATTTCCCAGTGCTTTTTGCTTTTCTATTTTGAAGAACTTGTTAAACTTTTGTGTTAAATATGAGACACCTTTTTCCAAAGTATGCCAAAATCATGCATATTTTCCCCAAGAAAAAGGCTGAGGCCCCTTCCCATAAAATGGTGTTTTGGCCCTGATTGCTAAGAACCGAAACGATACTGTTTAAACTGTGGTACTTCCACAATGTATTCAAGTCACCAAATGATGACTTACTTTCTATTTGTAACACAAGTACAAATAATAATGTCCGACTCAGCACATATTTTCTGCATTGTATCCTCATTGCGCTCTTTTGAAAGATCAAAGGGAAATCAGCTTTACCAAATCTGTATTATGTCACGAGCGATTATTGCATGGTAATGCTGTGTAGAGGGTTAAAAATACCTATTTTCCGTATTTTACTTTGGAATAAACCAATTACAATTGATAGAATTCATGATTACAGGCAAGGATTAAGATATTTTATAAGACAATATGGTCATTTTGATTAAACGGTAAAAATTATCATAAACATTTACGACTGAAAATAGAAATGAATCCGTTTAAATGCGTAACCATGGGGGGCTTATCTATATGAGAACACTAAACCAATACAATAACATCATCTTATCTTACAAGCTAACCAGAAAACTACTTCTGGTGCTTTTACATTGACAAGCACTGAGACTTTTTTGTCTTAAACTGAACACTTCAAAATCAAGTCTGCTCCCTTTAATAGAATTTTTTACATGTTGTTGTCCTGGAATATATACTACAACATGGTTCGTACAGACATCCAATGTAAAAAAAGAAGCACTTTTTCAGGACATTTCAAGAGAGTAATAAAAAATTCAAGGTTTCTTAAGCACTTATTTTCATTTTTAAGCACTTTTTAAGAAAGGGACTCAAATTTAAGCACCATTTAAGACTGTACAAACCCTGTGTAAATAGGTTTAGCCCCCTTTGTGATCTTAACAAACTTAATATACAACTAGAGGATGCTTTTGTAAAAAAGCGCATGTCTCCCCCACTGCACTGTGACCTTGACCTTTGACCTACTGACCCCAAAAACAATAGGGATCATCTGCTCTATAAGACCAATCATCCTATGAAGTTTGAGGGCTGTAGGTCAAAAAGAACTCTAGTTATCATACGGAAACGAGAAATTGACCAACGGTCACTGTGACCTTGACCTTTGACCTACTGACCCCAAAAACAATAGGGATCATCTGCTCTATAAGACCAATCATCCTATGAAGTTTGAGGGCTGTAGGTCAAAAGGAACTCTAGTTATCATCCGGAAACGAGAAATTGACCAACGGTCACTGTGACCTTGACCTTTGAACTACTGACCCCAAAAACAATAGGGATCATCTGCTCAATAAGACCAATCATCCTATGAAGTTTGAGGTCTGTAGGTCTAAAGGAACTCTAGTTATCATCCGGAAACGAGAAATTGACCAACGGTCAGTGTGACCTTGACCTTTGACCTACTGACCCCAAAAACAATAGGGATCATCAGCTCTATAAGACCAATCATCCTATGAAGTTTGAGGGCTGTAGGTCAAAAGGAACTCTAGTTATCATCCGGAAACGAGAAATTGACCAACGGTCACTGTGACCTTGACCTTTGACCTACTGACCCCAAAAACAATAGGGATCATCTGCTCTATAAGACCAATCATCCTATGAAGTTTGAGGGCTGTAGGTCAAAAGGAATTCTAGTTATCATCCGGAAACGAGAAATTGACCAACGGTCACTGTGACCTTGACCTTTGAACTACTGACCCCAAAAACAATAGGGATCATCAGCTCTATAAGACCAATCATCCTATGAAGTTTGAGGGTTGTAGGTCAAAAGGAACTCTAGTTATCATCCGGAAACGAGAAATTGACCAACGGTCACTGTGACCTTGACCTTTGAACTACTGACCCCAAAAACAATAGGGATCATCAGCTCTATAAGACCAATCATCCTATGAAGTTTGAGGGTTGTAGGTCAAAAGGAACTCTAGTTATCATCCGGAAACGAGAAATTGACCAACGGTCACTGTGACCTTGACCTTTGAACTACTGACCCCAAAAACAATAGGGATCATCTGCTCAATAAGACCAATCATCCTATGAAGTTTGAGGGCTGTAGGTCTAAAGGAACTCTAGTTATCATCCGGAAACGAGAAATTGACCAACGGTCAGTGTGACCTTGACCTTTGACCTACTGACCCCAAAAACAATAGGGATCATCAGCTCTATAAGACCAATCATCCTATGAAGTTTGAGGGCTGTAGGTCAAAAGGAACTCTAGTTATCGTCCGGAAACGAAGAATGGACGGACGGACGGACTGACGGACGGACGGACTGACGGACGGACGGACTGACGGACGGACGGACGGACGGACAGGGCAAAAACAATATGTCTCCCCCCGAGGTGGGGGAGACATAATAACATGCTTTACCTGAGAGACGGCATTGGACAGCTTGTGCAGGAAGTGACATAAACTGTTGTTGTATTTCCTTCAGAGCATCTTTTTCCGTATATTCATTGTTACCATAATCAACATACATAACCTCTGCTTGCCCATCAGCCATCAAACCTGAAAATATAATCCATGGCACCATTTAATCAAGAAAAACAAATGTCTGTATTACTTATCAGAGAATATGATTAAAAGCTCCAAAAGATGAGACTTTTTTGATAGAGCTGTCATTGGTTAAGACCAAAGCATACCAATGGTTAATTGATGTGTTTTTTTCAACAAATGGCAAGATAATTTTCACAACCTTCACTGAGGTCAGCTAGACAATACTTAAAATCTATTCACAGTTTTAGAGCAGATTTCAACAACTTTTCTTATAGAAATCTTTGTAATGAAATAATCCCTGCAGACAAGGCTCATGATTTATGACATTTTACCTGTAACAAGGGCTCTGTACCAGCCTTTATCATCTGTGAACTGGGCAACACAAGCCTGACCAAGAGTAGGATTCACCAACTTGTTTGAGCCTGGTGGCAGTTTATCATAGTACTCATGCAGCTGATCCATCACATAGTCCAGACTTGCAGTCATCTTCTCCAGGACAACCTGAACAGTTGAACATAACACATCATTCTTGATACTATTGCGATTTTATCAATTCAAATAAAAAAATTTGAAGAAATATCCAAATATTATAAAGAGAAACAATTTTCTTGTATGGACAACATATTCAGCAACATTTTACATGATTTACTTTGTTAGTAAATGGAAACATAACCTTCAAACAGGTGAACCTACACCAATGAGTGGGTAATAACAGCTCTTCTTTCTCTTTGAAAAGTGGAGCTTAAAAACATCAGAACAAGAATGCAAGAAGGATAAATTCCTGTGGCATGAAAGTACCTGAAAGTTATTTGGGCTCTTCACATATGTAACCATAACCTCTTGTGTTGAATTGACTACAACTTCTTGTTGAGTGTAAGCATTTCCAGAAGACTTCCTCCCTTTCATTTCCCTATAATAGTAAATAAATGAGAGCTTATGAAGATATATTTATTTCTAAGTAAACATTATGCACATGCATTTTAGGTGTAAACAATAAACTAATAGGGATACTCTCAAACACAGCAAATGTGGGTTTTTCCCACCTTGTCCCAGGTACAAACAAACTTTCACACCTGCAAATGCAATGCATTGACCTGCTGTACAGTGAATCTAAAACCGTAAAAAGTTGTTTGTACCCCGCGATTAGATGGAAAAGCCCACATATGAGGAGTTCCAGACAACATCTATTATCGTATGGCATTTCAACCTAACGACCTAAAAAGGTATCAAATTCTAAACAATATGCAATGAAAGGTACCATTATTTAATGTTTGTTCTTCAGTAAAAACCAGCATTAACCCTTAACTTGCCGAGTTTCTTAAAACGTATTGTCTATTTTCAATTTTTGGAAATATCCATTTATCAATTTTATTTACAAATTACATGTATATCAAGTCACACAACAGTATAGAGCCCCGTCAGACGAAACAGAGGTGCAACCGGACTTGTAATAACACTGAACTGGAAGCAAATTCTTATCAGCTTCAATCCCAGCAGGTTCATCATATATCTGACATGTACATGTAGGCAATTACCCACAGAAAGTTCTTGAATTCTGTACATATATATATTTTTCTTCAGCAAGAAGTACTTTCTCAACTAAAATATTAGCACTGTTTGACAACAGAATGTCTCCAAAAATAATCTACATGAATAACACTCTATTTGAAAATATTGTGTTCAAGTACTGGGCCCTTAATCCAATTTACAAGAAGTTGGTTGCTACCCTCAGCAGGGGGATTTTGGCGGATGGGGAATTTTTTTCCTTTTTGGTCAAATAACAATAAAATTCCACTTAAATATCAGTGGTGTTTTTTTTTTTCAATATGACTTGCTTTTGTGAAACATTCTGAGGACGAAAGTCTCCCGGTGAAGACATACAATATTCCAATGACAAAAACACTGTGAAACAGATTGATTTTAATACTCGAAAGCAACAACATAATTATTGATTTTTTTTTGTTCGATTTTATCGAGGGGGAATTGTTAGAGGGAAAATATACATACTATTTTGGTGGGATATTCAGTCGCATATTTGGTAGATTAAGGTTCTGAAGTAAGCTGTTCATAATTTTCAAGTATTATTGAGATAAAAAGAAGACGCTTTATTCAACATATTCATTGGTATGATATAAAAAAATTTTGTTTTACTTTTTAAAGTAGTTGTAAACATGCACTGAGTGTAAAACTTACCATGAACTTGTTCAGCAGACTTGTTTGATCAATACAAAGAGGATAGACCTTTAACCTGCTATTTAGTCAGTACATACTTAAATTCTTAAAAAATTCCCCCCAAACTCAGAGCTTGACACTAACTTTTTTTAGGGGTAGTCAGAAGGACTACCTACTTTGAGGATCAGGTAGTCCTTGGCAAATCTAGGTAGTCCTCATTTTTAAACATAAAAAAATGTTTCTTATTCTATTTAAATGCATTTTGAGTGTATGTATCTGAAGATAAGAAAACAATTGCATGAGATCTCTTCAAATTTATTGGAAAAAATCACCAATAGTTAAATCATATAAGATCTAGTAAAAGTTTGTAAGCTTTACTCTGCATGAGATGTAGGTTTTGGCTAGCCTCTGAGCTCTTCAAAGTCATCATCAACAATTTTTTTACATATTTTTGTTATAAAATATGGCAGTGTGACACACAAAAGTCAATAGGTTTTGAAAGGGTTCTACTAAGGAATTACTATGGTGTGTTTCAAATAAAATTGCTAGGCAATCAGCTCAGCTTATATTATTGACAGCTTATAGGGAAGGGGAGAATATATTGGCAATATGAGCTAAATAAGTATGTCAGTTTTAAATTTATGTAATACCTGGCTTTTGTATAAAAAAAAATATTTCAATAGAGCTTACAAATCTACTTTTCAGGTATAGATAATGTATGACCTTTTAGATGTGTTTTTAAATTCAAAACAGAAGTAAAAAGCTTGGACAAGAACAAAATATGTTTGTCTTTACTCTAATTGATTTATTCTACAAACTTATTTTGTCAGACATAAAACAACAAAATATCAGAATAACAAACTTTTACTAGTGCTAGTAATTCAGTTATTTAACTGTCAGAAGATTTAAATAGGGACATTAGATTAATATCTGTTGTTCCTGATTTAAACACAAAATCAGAAATGTAAAGCCATTTAATCAAACTATATTGCCTTAGTTTTTTATGCCTAGGGTATTAGTATTTGTTAACAATTGTTTTCTTCATATACATGTATTGGCATTATTGCTTACATTTGCTTGTACATGATTAAGAAATGCTGACAACATTGTGAAGTTATGGCAAAGACAATTACAAATACTTTAGAATATTTCTTTTCTCTTTTTTAAAGAGATTTAAACATTTTTCTTCTCTTTTTTTATAAAGAGATTTTTTCCCAATCAATAATTTCATGTCCGAATAAATTACATCCGAAATTAGATCTATTTCAGACAACACGTTTATTTTGGTTATCATTGTCAGTGTGATTTACACCAATCAACAAATCATATTCTTTTAAGTTAAAACCCTTGAATAGGTTCCAATATAAGCAAATATTTTCATTGAAATGTTTAATAGACAAAGAATTCTATTGAAGTAGGCTGGAAAAATCGGCAATTAAGTTGGACTTCCGGTTTCACTTTTCGCAACTTTATAGAGATTAAATAGAATCTATTATGCGTCTGCTGTGACTGACACTAGCTAATTATTTACTAGTAAGATGAATTTATCTTTCGTTTTGAATCATAGCCTAAAAAAATGTTATTTTATTAATTATTTTTAGTGAATTTAGAGACATCAGGTCACTGAAATTTTGAGTAGCCCGACGGGATACCCAGCTTGGAAACTCGGGTAGTCCTTGGGGAAAATTGGTAGCCTCGGGCTAACGGACCATCGTTAGTGTCGAGCCCTGAAAATATAAATATGATGAATGGTTTTGTCTGGACTGAGAGATGGACAGGTCCATTTAAAATAATTACAGTATCACAAGCGTTACCTTGAATGAATCTTACCTTTGTACAGATGAAGTTTCGTCTTTCTGTGGTCTTCCAAATGTCCTACTACTTGCGCCTTTAAATACTGCTGGACGGGACCCCTGAGGTTCTTGATACTGTTCTAAAATTTGTCTGTCTGTTATTTCTGTCCCATATGTTGGATACACTCCATCTGCAAAAACATTTAAACAAAATCTAAATCAAAATTTATATAAAATGCTTAAAATTTGCAATACAATTGCAATTAATAATCTGTCAATGTTCTGCTTTAATTAATAGTGTTACATATGAGAAAATTTGCTTTCGAAAAATATACTAGTCTACTAGTAATATTAATATTATAGAATGATATTGATGACTTTTCATGACATAGAATTTCTTATTACCTTCCTTTCCATTCAGTTTAACTTCAACCCTTTTATTGATCAGTTTTTCCAGACCGCTTGATCCAACAGTTGATGGTAGATTAACTATCTTACATAAAATACATTGCTGAGGAAGAGAGCATAAGCTAGGTGGTAGAATCTTCAAATCATTTACTGATTTCATCACAGAGTCTCCGAAATCCA